CAATATGCATCAGTAAATTGACGAACAAGTCATAAATGGATGTTTCAAAAATTCAATTTTTTTCATGTGAGCTAATTCTCAAGACTGTCTTGACAACTAGGGTAAGGAAAAAGTCAGTTTTAGCTGGAAATTGCAATAACTCCCTTTATTTTCAGCTAAAGCGGAAATCATTGCGAACGATTTCCATACCTGGACATCACTTGTCACCCTGTGCACAAACCCTATGAGACTGGTCTGAAAAATTCCAAGTGTTTTCTCTGTACATGCTTCAATATTTTCCCTGCTAAATTTGACTTTTTAGGACATAAAACATTCTGATGGCAGATAGGTCATTGCAGGGAAAATTTAGTGATGGCCAGGTATGGGAATCTTTCCAATCCTTGGTCCTCAAACTGTACAATCTGACTCCCCTCTTAAAATATGCCTCTTTAAATTTAAATGTTAGAAAGTTGAACCCAAAAAAAATAACTGAAGTGTGCTTTGAACCTGTGACTGCCGGATTGCTGTTCCGTTGCTCAACCAACTGAGCTATCCAGCCCTCTGTTGGCGGTTCCCCATTATGTTAATGTCTTGCTTTTTAAATTTACTTAGAAAATGAAAGAAACTGGCCCAGCTGCAAGTGCAGCAACAATAGTTAACAAATCTAGAAAATGTCCCGGTGAAATATCGGAAGAGTCTGATGACAAAACTTTATCTTTAATTACAGTTCAGATGCAAGACAAAATCAGTATGAAATGACCAGTTTTGCCACACGGACAGTTCAAGAAAGTCTCAATTCTGCACCATTTTAAGGAATGTGTTCATCTTTTTGGTCAAGTACTTCAATTGCAAGACGATTTAAGCATGTGTTGGCTTGCAACTGAAATGATTTAAAAATGGAGTTTACTGGAAAGTCATTTCAGAGATAACATAGTCATTCTGAATTTTACGGATAGAATATGGTAGCAGAAACTGGTCAATATAAAAAGGTGGTACACACACTGGTCTGCTTATTAGCACATGGTAAAGAAAGTAATGAACACAATCGAATGATGTAGATAAGTCCAAGAAAAGGTCCACTTTTTGTCCCACACGTAACACTGTGCTTTTTATAATTACATAATCCTCAAAAAGACTAATAACATAAAATTATTGTGGGTATTCTCCTTGCAGATACCCAACAGTTGAATACAAAAAACCCCTGAAATACATGATTATCTTGGACGGTTAAATGTTTGTTATGTATGGGACATGGTGTGCACGAATTCTTGGACTTGCCCTGTATCTGAAAGACAGTTCCTTTTGGTCATGGAGAAATGTTTGTCCTTGGTTTCCCCGAGGACATGTGAACATTCATGTGAATTGGACAATGGTTAGCTAAAACTGCACACATAAAGCCAGTACTTGACGGGAATGGGAATGCGAAGCGTAGTCGACAGGAAACGCTGCAAAATTTGCTGGAGTTGAAATATGTTCAACTTTTGCGAATTCGCAGTTCAAATACGTGCCATGACGTTACAAATTTGCGATTGCGCGCACATGCTTATAATAAATGCGCCGAGTACGAACCAGCCTTAAAGATAGCAGTGCACATGCACAAGTTCACACCAACTTACGCTGGAAAGAATGTTTTGAACCTCACTGGCCCGTATTCCATTTTTCGAATAATACAATGAGATTTTTTTTTTTACCAGAACTTAAATCTTAAGAAACCATGTTATTCCTCATAAACAAGGATAACACATGTATGCTATGAAGTTATGGCTCATGCAAAGCAGTTATCACGAAGGGAAAGGTTATGATCAATTTCACTGAATTGAAATTATACAGCCTGTCTCAAAAAATGGTACAATCAGAAAAAAAATTGGTTAAATATGAAATTTCAAAATAAGTCATTCCTACCGTACTTGGCATATTAAAGAACAAAGACTGGGCTTTCTAATAGTGTTTGCTTGATCTTATTTGCTTTTGTCAATTCAGAGATATAATCAATTTAGTGCGATACACCAAAATCAATTTTGTGCCACTTTTATGCATGGGCAGAGTTGTTTCGAGTACTGTGCCATGCTGTCTTGAAGCTCACAAAAGATTGCAACTTGGCAAAAGAAACAAACTCGATTTTTCTGTTCTGCATTAAACTGGAGTTATCTCTGGATTGACAAAAGCAAATGAGATGAAACAAAAAGTATTGGAAAGCCTGGTCTTTTTTCTTTAATGTGATGCTCAAAATAAATTAATTAATATTGAAAAAAAAAGTCGTTTTCGATTGTACCATTTTTTTTGAGACAGGCTGTAGAATTAAAAAAGAAAATCTCTAAGATGGCTGGAATGCAGAACAACTACACTGCAGTAGGTATTGCTGTTTGATATTTAGGTTGAAAATGTCAAGATAACAGGAACAGTGCGTTGTCATTTAAGTCCATGCAAACTAATTGCTTTGCTAACGACGCTGTTTCATCCACCAATTAATTATCAACACAAGCATTTTGAATTAAAAAGAATTACTAAATTACTGATTTACAAAATTCAATCCACCCTTCTCACCATATGTCTATACAGTCTTGATTTCCAATACAAAAATATAAAACAAATTATCTTTTCCCCATTTATATAGATAAAAAATTTAATCTACCCTTACAAAGTCTACTGATATGTTAATTTCCAAGATTTTACTCGACATGTATACCCTGACATACAGCCATGTAAGCCAAAAACAGATAGTTTTGTTGTTGACAAATCGATATCTTGTATGTAGATAGAACATGTACATATAAAGCATCTAGATAACTTCCTGGATGCCCTTTGCTTTTTACACAACAAAAATTCATTCAACTTTGATCATGCCTTGGCGAGGAAATAAAACATACCAAAACGACTGAAGGTTTTAAAACTATTTGTTTTTCAACTTGAAACAAACACAGGTTATATAAATACTGCACCAAATGGACCCAATTAAAAATACAGACATGCAAAGTAAAGTCCACTTCACGAAACTCCTGAAACAAAGTACAAGACAAAAACATTAAGCAGAGAAAATAAAAACAAAAAAAGAAATAGTTCAAACATCGAAAGGTTGTCAGACCTCAAGAATCTGCCAAAGAATATTGACAAAAAGGAATCACCAACTTCACACAGATGTAAGTCCATCTGAACTGGGATACTGACTGAACATGTAAATTTAAAAAAAAACTGATACCGATAAACCAAGGATTCCTCAAAAGAGGGAAGACAATGAGAAGAAATTACAGCTTTAGAGGTGGGAGGAAAACCCCAGAACAGGCCAGAAGAATATTCTGGGGAAAACCTACGGAATCAGGTAGGTATATGTACATGTAATGACCCCATTTCTGGTTTTTTTTAAATTCAAAATGAAGCAAGTACAGTTTCAACAATATAACATGATCCGATGACGTGACACCACAAACAAGGCGTATTTTATGAGACTCTAAAGGTCCCTCAACAATTTACAATGAAAATCAATACATGTAATGCTTCCATCTGGATATCAGCTATGTACTCAATGCAGATCAAAGTGATTATTATTAAAGATATAGTCCATCATTTGTAATTTGTGCATTTTGTTCATTTGAAGCAACAACAGTGCTCACAATCTAAAGAAGGGTGCTAAACAACTAACTTGATGAAGTTTCAGCTCAGCTTCAGCTGTATATTCAGCAGAAAAACAGCATACTAGGATCTCAATTTCAAATCGAAAGTTGCTGAATCATGTTTTGAATTGGGCCTGAATTCAGCGTCCGAGACACGTTCTCACTGAGCCGATTGCAGCTACGCAATGTCGCGCACTGATCCGACGAATTATAGCAACCGCGCCTGCGTGAGCGTTGTGCCAATGCTTGCGCTTTGCCGAATAACAAATCGAACTACTAATTTTAATTTTCCTACGGTGCGTCTTAAGAAGCACCGTTGGAAAGGCCTTCTTTCGTTGATTACTTCAAAATGACAGCTTGCCAGAAAGAATAATTTCACAGGGAGTTTAGTCCCCTCACTATCTTTCAACCAAGTATGTTTTTCAACAATAATTACGCCAGTTACTTTTCGGATAGCTGCAAATGATGGACTATAGCTTTAACCAGGAAGAGCTATTAGTTGTCTCCATTCACTGAAGGTACATGTAGTCACCATCAAAAACAATTTGAAGTGCAATGTTGAAACACTTTTTAGTCGGTGGTCTGTTTTTTTTTACAGTAGCTCAGCCAAACATTGTGCGCTCAAATAAAATAGTGAAACAATATTTCAAACCAAGGCTTATAAAACTCATCATGCAAAGCCTAAAACGGACCACAAATAATGGAGAGGATACGGGTGGAAAATGCACTACTGGGCCCAAGTCTATGTGACTATGAGCAGTAACTCTTATGACATCAGAACGTAGGACTCCACTTGACTTGAGCCCTTAACCTACAAAATATCCTTGTTTATAAGTAGTGACAGCAGCCACATTTTGTTGGTATACGGTACTGGTATACTATTTTTTTTCACATCAGTTTACTTCCTTGTGCGTAAAGGGTATGACAGTTTGATATTAAGATTTAATAAAAAATAATTTTGATGAACAAATATTCAGTTGCTTGTGATAAACAAGGATATTTTCTTACATCACCATAGTCTTGCTCCAAGACTGAATATGTTTTTTGTTTCCCCAATACAGCCGGTCCAGATCCCTGGTAAGCCTGATGAAGTTGCTGCGGTGGTAGAGGGCGCCGTCAACAAGATTAATCAAGTCCAGTCTTTGGGGACTTTGGCATTCAAGTAATTTCAAGCAAACTTCATTTTTTTGAATATAGCATGCGTGAGGTATGCTCCGAATTTCTGTGGTGTGTGAGTGCCAAACTTCTTAAGACTGGATTTGATTCATCTGATTGATAGCGAAAAGCTCTACTGCCGAAAAGCTTGCCAGGTACCGGCTTCATTACCGGAAACAAATCCAGTCTTGGGCCAAGACTAATCACTACAACTGAATTTCAAACACAAGATGGAATACAAAAAAAAACCTGGGATGTTTTTTCAAGGAGCTAATTTATTGGTCCCAAACAAACTTTGATCCCACGTCAAATCTGGGCAGCCAGTGCCGCGGCCGATATGTTATCACCACCACCTGCGGTCTTACGGACCTCGGTGCAGACCAGAACAGGAGCCAGGCAGATTTGGTAATCATCCTCCTCCCAGCAGGAGACGGGCCGGTTGTTCTGGAATAAGATGCGATCGCTGCCCTCCTGGCGCGACAGGGAGAAGGAGTCGTCCATGATGAGGTGTGCCTTGGCCACCTCGATGTGGCTGGTCCCGCAGACGTGCCGGTGGGCCGTCAAGGAAGCCTTGGCCGCTGCCGCCATCGTGTTCTTCCACTTGGAATTCTTGGTGGTCAGGATCGCCTGGAAGGCTAGCGTGTGGACGTGTAGGCGAGTCAGACCCCTCTTGTCTGGCCCCCGAGCCGTCTTCAGGCTGTTATACACGGACCTCATCTGGTCTAGCACCGTGGCCACCCTCGGGTATGGGTCTGAGACCACGCTGATGTTGCCGTAGTTCAGAAGGCTGTATAAGTTGGGCAGCTCCTGCTCGTTCATGCCCACCGAGTCCGAGTACAGCACCACGTTGTTGATGACATCTAAGGCCGTCGCTTCCTCCACGAAGGAGGCAAACTCAAAGTGGATGGGGACGTCTCTGGGCACATCTCTGGTCAGCATGTTGCGCAGCTTTCCAAGCCTCTGGCTACGTGAATCTGTGTGGACATCCAAAGTAAACTTTTCATTGTTTCCATTAGGCCAAAAAAAAAAAGGCTCCGGTTTCTGGTATGCGTGCATGTCACCGTAGCCATGCGCATCAGCAAAATTAATAAGTTTTATTTTCAATGTAAGATGATGTCTCAAAAGGGTTTATTTAGAGAATTGCACCACTTTTCAAGTGTGGTTTTTGTGGTGTCATTTGTCACAGAGTTAAAGGCTATGGTTACCAATCAAGGCAGGTGGGTGAAAAAAGAGATTTTACTGTGAAAAGTGGCGCAATTCTCTAAATAGACCCTTTCATAAAATTGGTCACTGCTCAGTCAACCGTGAATAAAAGGACATGATCAGGGTATCATTTTAAAGAGGAGACTCAATCCTAACAGAGGATATTTCCCTTTGATTCACATGTGCCCTACTTCTGTTCCAATTAGCAGAAAAATCTCGGATTCGTTTTTTTTTTATCCACCCTGTACAACTTTGTCTAGTACACAAGATAGCATTTAAAAAAAATGAACACATATTCAGTAAACTCGCAGAAATTCCAGTTGTTTGTATACATTTTTATATTTATATGGAAAAAAAAATTATCAGAGTTTTGTTCATGCTACTATTGAACATGCAAATATGCAGTAAACAAGCACAAATGGATGATATTATCTATACACTGTTAAAAAAGAATTAGTTTTGCTGGAGTGTGTAGACCAAATAAAGACATTTCAAAGCTATTTAATTTGTTGCAACTTGTTAGAAATGTATTTTTTAAAGGACCCACCTCCAGCAAAACCTCAAATCTATGCACATGAACACAGGAACGGCCATCTGTTTCTCAGAAACTGTTTAAAATATAATAGCTTTTCATAAAAGTCAGTTTTCTAGCTCACGAGAGGTCTGCTGATGACACCATGTGACTATCACTCTCCCGTGTTGGTTCTGAAAGGACTGGTCGTGATCACTCTCCACAAGATGGACAGAGAATACGGGATAAAACTCTCTCATCGTGGGCTCTTTTGGAACCCACACTTCTTGACAGAAGTGCCGTGGTCTAATGGTTATTGTGTTCGACTCTATGCGAAGATACATGGGTTCAAAAATCAAGATGGAGTACATGGTGATTGTGTTCTTGGGCAAGACACTTTACTCTAATTGCCTCTCTCCACCAAAAAAGCACAAATGGGTACCTGTGAGAGTAGAGACCAGCTCGACAGCTGATCTTGAGCTGCTGCAGAAATGGCCTGATGAACATGGTAATATTTTCAAAGCGCTTTGAGACTTTTCAATAACCTTTACTCCCTAGATTCATTTACTAAGTACTGGACCAAGTCCGCCAAAATCCATCACTGACCCTGCTTCACATAATGCTTCAGGACCAAATCTGCTGAAATCCACCACAAGACCACCACTACTATAAAGGATTTTGATGGACTTGGTACTCATACCCAAATCCCTAAAGTGGGGGGATGGATTTTGTTGGAGTTGGGAAGGTTAGGGTTAAAGCCCTATATAAGCACCGCATTATTACATCATTATTATCCACAAACCTGATTAAATTGTTTTCGTTTCCCATTGCAAAGCTTCACATCATCATGTGCCAGCTTGCAATGTCTGTAACACCAAGCGAGTATTAACTTACTTCCTTTGAAGGGGAAGTTGTCCATCATCTGCAGTCCCCCGATGACCACTGCGTGAGGCTTGAAGGGCCTGAGCTGCTCCTGGAAGGATTCTAAGGAGGACAGCAGCGGATTGGAGGCATCGCTGTGAACAATGAACCTGCACGACAAACAAGCAGAACTACGGCATCAGAAATCAGATGTCAATGCAATAAGGACCATGCTTGAAGTGTTAAATTTACCTTCATTTTGCAGCTAAACCTCATACTTTATATGAAATTTTGATAGTTTTAAGGGCAAGTATTGATAGTTTTCTTCTAGTCAAAATTGAATGACCATGGCATTTTGACCAAGTGCTATCACCCCCTGCAAGCCAGTACTATGTCTGAATAACGAGTGCGCTATGAGGAGCCCTCTATAAATAGGACCGCCCCCATGATTGGATTTTTTTTCTCATCCCTCTACCTGCCCAACTTCGCGACCTGAAAAATCCGTAATCTAGGGGCAAGTTCGTGCAAGAACAACTGTTGACCAATGGTTAACCATAGTTTGACTAAAGTTAGCCTGACTACAGTTGAGTCTTGTTATAACAAACTCGTTCGGACCTAGCCAAATTGTTTGTTATATCAGAATTTTGTATTAAGAGGAAACATCAGTCCCATTCATTGCGCACATAAATGCACAGTCGGGACTAAGGCTTTATGTTTGTTATAACCAGAATTTTGTATTAACAGAGTTTGTACTAACGAGAGTCGACTGTATTTGGAACCAGCCAATCGGGGCTGGTCGTGCAACGATTTATAGCCGGTTATCAATAGAAATTTCCATAGCATAGTGCAAAGGGGACCAACTATCAACAAAAATGGCGGAAAACAAAACTGTGAGTGCTAAATTTCATTTTCATTGCACAGTTTTTCCATGTTAGTTTATGATTATGTCACTTTTGTCACCATTGCACAATCACTATTATTTGTGTAAATAAAGAGAACAACAAGTGTTGAATAATTGTGCGACCGCCATTTCTTGACGGTCGTTGACATGACTAGAGTCGTTCGCACTTCAACTTCAGTGCGCATGCGCGAGGTACGCCACAAACCAACCACTAGTTAACCACTGGTCCTTGCTCGAACTTCACCCAAGTTGTTAAAAAAAACAGCGGCCTTATTTTTGCTGGCATCACGCCACACGCCCGCATGCACACAGTTTGTCCCGCACATAAAGCTCTCGATAGTGAATGCAAAGCACCATCCATATAGAGATCAGTAGAATACTCTGAATACTCGTTTTCGTTTTGTGGATGCCTCAACCCTCACCTGTTAGCCCTGGGTGCTGTGAAGTCCCCCCATTTTTCTCCAGTCTTGTATTCCAACACCATGTGGATTTCCTCGTCTTCTTCATCTGGGGAATGATTGGTCACTGACGGGGGCCAAACAAGAATTACAATTTAAAAACATTGCCTGTTGCATACAGTTCAGCCGAGTGTCAAGGCTATTATTTCTTGTGCATTAACATGATTTTGAACTATTCTCGCATCAGCCACATCACTGACGTACAGAATCATCAATTCTGTAGTTCTCATGGACTCCGTGCACAAGTACCCCCTCAACGGTTACAAAGAGAGAGGTGGGAGGGACCGCTGACATCACAATGGGAGAGACACTTGTACGCATTGGCGCCGTACGCCTACTGCTCGAGTAAAGACACAACGCGTCTGTGCATATTTCAGAGAAATTCGAAACCATTAGGAATGGTGCATGTTTGGGATACAAATCGTCACCGTTTTCACGAAGCGGCGAATTTAGTATTTCACTGTCTGAACAAACATTCGAGAAAATCGCGTTTAAAGTTGGTCTTTTTTTCATTTGACAATTTGAAACTTAAAAATGCATAAAATATGCAAGATTTAGGTATCAGAGGAAAGGAGAGATTCTAATCTTCCTAAATTTTGCAAAGTGGCTGTTCGTGAAAACGAAAAAAAGACCAATTAGCAAATTCGCCCCTTCATGAAAACAGTGACGAAATGTGGCCTGGTTTCACCAAACCCACATACATAGATTTTAATGAGAAATTCACAGTGGCCATGGTGTGCCCGATGAAACCACCACACAAAAGGGTGATTCAACAAGCAACCTTTCCAAGCCGCATATATGTATCCCATCACGTACCATTCCTAATGATCCCCATTATTTGTGTGTACTTCATGTCGTGCACGCATGTCGTGTGTCGCTCCCAAAGAACAGTCACAAAGCACCATATGTCAGAGCGAAATGGACTGATACAAAGACTGGAAAATTCCTACCTTAAAGGGAAAATACAACATTTGCAAACATCAAAAAATAAAACCACCAAATCATTTTGAAATACCTTGCTGGACTGTTAGTGAATGACAGTGTAAAGCATCCTGTAAAATCATGGCACCTGGTATACTGTCATTTTCAAGAAAAGTGGAATTTTTGTATCAATTTCCAACGCTGGTCGGCCGACCAGCGTTGGAAAAAACTGGCTTTTTTTCAAATACTGGCCCCAATTGACCATCGCACTTGTTTGCAATCGATTACACACCTATGAACGGGTACAAGCCAGCTAGACTGGTTCCCTGACCTTACAATTCCCCAATGTATGTAAACTGCTCTGTTTCTTCTTATATGGAGTCAGGGAACCAGACTACAGGAAAATGATTGTTTTTCTTGGTTTTTATAGCATTTTCGAACCCAAAACCTCAAAAAAGTCAGTGTAACTATATTTGCTATATATTTCCAACCCCCCAATTCCATCCATTTCTGAAAATTACGGCAAAAGCAAGTGATGTATATTCCCTTTAAATGTTTCTTGCAAATTAAATCCATACATTATTTACTACGGTGTGGATAGATTTGTAGCAAATTTTATTCTATTTCACTGGCCCAAAGGGCACTAGACTGTCGTATGTGCCATCATACCACATCAACAACAACTTTTATTTCCCAATTTTGTTTAAACCTTTTTATTTACACTTTGATATATACCGGTAGGCCTATGTTCAGGTCAAATGATTTATTTCATAAATTAAGTGAACTTCGCAAACTTTGCATGAATTTGTAGTTCCTTGAAATCATGGTCTAATTGCATGGCACTCCTAAATGCTTAGGAAAAATTGTGCCAACAACTGCAGAAAAAACTGCAATGACCTATCATTTCTTCCTACTAACATATATTTGGGCGGAGCAGGGCCTGCACAATGCAATAAGCCTACCTACACAACTAACAGAAAATGGACTGGCATGCTAATGCTTGAATGTAAATGGAGATTAATTTAGCTGCATCACTTATTGAAAGCAAAGTCTGCCACTTGATCTAGTGTGTTTGTTAGCTGCCCTGACACTGACTATTACTGTCTCTGAGAAATGGACAGACTGTTCCTTTGGCAAACCATCATGGGATTAGAAGTATCAACAGGAAGCCACCAAAATTGGGGAAATTCAATGTTTTACAATACTCTCTGCAGTGTTTTTTCAACGTTTAATGGCAGACAACAGAAGAAAAAGAAGAAGAAATCAGCTGATCTGAGAAAAAGTTGCACATCTGGGAGTGGCATAACCCACCTTTAACACCAGTCTCAATCTCCTTGGCGATGGTGTCGGAGATGATGCTTCCAAGGAGTACTTGGCAACCTTCTCGGGCCATGCGATTGGCCATCACCGGCGCGTTGCCGCCAATTGGCCACGTGGCCTCTGGCATATCTTTGGCAGCCGCAACCAGCCGTTTGAATAGCATCTTGTCGTGCACATAGCGTCTGCAGAAAAAGAAGAAGACAGGGCAAGTCTTGTAAAGCTGGTTTCCATTCAACTGATTCAGAATGGCTATTTAGTGGAAGTCTGTTCACGCATCTGGTCTACACAATGGGCAGGACTGAGCCCATTCATTGGGGTTATGGGGTAATCCTATAATTCCACGGTTACTCACGTTACATTTGTGATGTACTTTTGAGTTTCCTTGGGCTGTAATTCCCTTACTGAAAAGGTTTAATAACTGTTATCCCCATGGTAGATAGAGTAGACCTAGACCTACCTTACCTAAGCACCAAAGATGACATCCAGAGAAAGGTGTTATGTATGATTAACAAGATGCACAAAATCGGTTACTCACATTACATTTTCGTAACGTAACCAATTTTGTGCGTCTTGTTTATCATACATAACACATTTTTCTGGATGTCATCTTTGGTGCTTAGGTAGGTCTAGGTCTACTCTATCTACCATGGGGATGACAGTTATTAAACCTTTTCAGTAAGGTAATTACAGCCCAAGGAAACTCAAAAGTATATCAAAAATGTAACATGAGTAACCGTGGAATTGCCTCTATACGATAGCACTGCCCGGCTCTTTTCACTAGTCTACAACCATTCTAAGTCACAAGTGACAGTCAGTCAGTCCGCGAGATAAATACATCAAAAATATTTCTAGGCTGGCTCTCTGGGACAGACAAAATTAAAAATAAACAAAATAACAACAACAATTATATGGAAAGATAAGCACGTTTACAAAGGACTTTTACAAAGTTACAATGACTTTTGCAAATTCCTTGCACATATTGTAACATTTCAGACTCAAAATGTGCATTATAATATCAACAGTCAATGTTTTGTTAAATCAAAATTTACACACATGCAGTTTATGTTAAATTCATGAGCAAATGAAGCCACATAAAAACAAAAAACAAACACGTTTTCAATGTGTTGTGTCGCTACTTGATATTCCCACTTCGTATACACTTTAAAAAGGTGCTATAAATTCATGCTGAGATCAAGGGTTATTTGGATGCATTGCACTTTTTAAAAAATCCCTCCAAAACTTTGTGAAAGAAGTGGAAGTTGTAAATGTTAAGAAATACAGGATCTCAACTGTGTTCTATGCAATGCATCTTGTCAAAGTTGTCATCGTCTCTCTCTCACTCAAAAAATATCTTGTTATATTAATTTTTTTACAGCTACCTTCCTAAACAATCACATAACAAAATCATATTGCACTATTAAAGCATCAAATGCTGAATTCTTTCCTTTTTTCAATTTAACTTACTCTGCAGCCGCTCCACGTTTGAAGAAATACGCGAAACCCTCGGCGAGATCCCTCTCTGATCCAAGCGAGTCATGGTGTCTGACGTCTTTTTCCTTCGGTGGATCCAAGGAGACTTTTTCAAACAGCTGGACTGCCGTGGTGACAGAATCGAGACAGGAGCCCAGACCGATTGCCACGCGACGAGGCCCAGTGGAAGTGCTGGCCACCTGGGAAAAATAGCAAAAATTCAATTAGAACAGTTGTTGTTGTAGTATTGAAGATGGCATAATGTCACATTAGACTGTGCCCTTTGCGCCATTAACCGTGTGTGGTTTCTGCATTGAAACTTAATCGACACTGGCATGGAGTGGTGCTGGATGGAGTCTGTCAGGAATTCGAAAACTAGAGGAATCGATACTACAAAAAGGAAAGGAATAAAACCCTAGACAATGGGGGATCAGTGGGTAATGCATAGGGCAAAAGGAAAGCATTCGTAATGGTTTAGACATAGCGTCACGAGATAAAACTCCCGGTGGGCTGGAACGTTTCCCCTGCAAGTTAAGGGCCCGGGCCCCGCCGGTACATTTGCAGTTCCCATGCCCCCAGGTGACGACATTATGATGCCATGTTCGGTCAATTGTTCACACCTCCCCATCACCCCCAAACATTATAGCAATATCAACTTAATTCAAGAGGTAATCTGCTGTAACAGGAATTAGACAATAACATTGCAATTTAGAACAGCTCAAGCTATTTCAGATTTGTAGGCATTTAGTGATTTGCAATATACCAGAAGGGGGGGGGGGGGGGGGGTTGCGGGAGATGGCAGGAGTTGGGGTGGGGGGGGGAAGGGGTTGGAAGCCCCCCCCTTCCTCATTTGTCTGCGCCCTATCACTGTGCCCCTTGTTGCAGCAAACTTGACCCTTGCTACATCACTGCAACTTGACGAGCTTAAATATTAAATGTACAGGGTAAGTCACAAAGTAGGAAACGCAAATGGTGCCCCCATTTTTTTTCCAAAGAAGTTCTGCATGTAGCATGTTCAAGATCTAGGATGTAAAAGCCTAATTAATAAGCTTGATTATCGTAAAAGAATAATTCAAATAGCTCATGTACTTTTCAAGTTATGGACTGTGAAACATAAACACAGTTCTGTAATTCTGATCGCAGATCACAATCAAGGTAAAGTGATATTTCAGGGTAGAACAAACAATTCAAGTATAAAAACAAACACAGCAGAACACTCTCATAACCATGATATGATGATAACTGGCACTAATCATAAACGTCATTAAAGACCCGCTGCTTCAAATGTTAAAACAACATGCTTTATAATGTCAAGAGTTTATAGTCTTGCCCTGCCTTCAACTTGGCTTCCTGGAGATTTATGGGATTATTCTGATATTTGTTTTCATGATATGCCTTGGTTTCACTATACTGAAATATCATGATCCATGGACAAAATTTTGAAACTATCTTTGCATTCAAATTTCCATAACGCAAAAAGTACATGAGTGATTTGAATGATTCTTGTACTAAAAGAAAGCTTTTATTTTAGCTGTTACTGGTACATCCTAAATCTGGAAACCGCTACATGCAGAACGTCTTTACAAAAACAGGGGGCGCCGTTTGGGTTTCCTCTCTTTTTTGAAACTCACCCTGCAGACTAAAACAAGTTATTATGAGATAAAAGAGTGATGTGTTTTTAACTTCCAATCGGCCGGGCATTTCATTTTGCGATGACACAAATGCAGGTGTGTTTGTGATATTCAGAGATGAAATGAGAAGTGCCAGCATTTTTTACCTAACCCAACAGACCATAACCTCACAGTCACAGCACCAAGAACCGGCTTTGAATTTGTTAGTGGGAAAGTCTTCTTCATAGTATAAAACTTGGACGGGCAAATGGTATGCAGTAAGTCCCTTAATTTACATTGCAAATTTCAGGTAATGTTCACTTTTTAGCTGTACAGTAGAATTTTTTTACATGCAGATCACTATAACCTCGCAGCACCAAGAACTGGCGTTGAATTTGGTGGGGTTTTTTTTGGGGGGGGGGGGGGGAGTCTTCTTTATGTTCTAAAGCTTGCGTGGGCAAATGGTATGCAACAAGTGACAAGTCCTTTACTTTGCAAATTTCAGGCTATGTTAACTTTTTAGCTTTGGAACATTTTGCTGATCACTATGCAAAACTATTGTTTCGTTGCTACGCAAGAAAGATGCACTAGTTTGTTATAAAATATATGAACAACTTTTGTTTTTAAGAAATCGCTCACTGGAGCGCAAATGTCTTATTATTTTGGGCTTTAAAGGGAATATACAACATTTGCAAACATCGAAAAATGAAATTACCAAGTTTTTACGAAATACCTTAATAGGATGTTGGTAAATGACAGTCTAAAGCATCCTGTAAAATTATGGCACCTGGTATACTGTCATTTTCAAGAAAAGTGGTATTTTTGTATCAATTTCCAACGCTGATCGGCCGATCAGCGTTGGAAACAACTGGCTTTTTTTCAAATACTGGCCCCAATTGACCATTGCACTTGTTTGCAATCGATTACAAATCTATGAATGGGTACGAGCCAGCTAGACTGGTTCCCTGACCTTACAATTCCCCAATGTATGTAAACTGCTCCGTTTCTTCTTATATGGAGTCAGGGAACCAGACTACAGGAAAATGATCGTTTTTCTTGGTTTTTATAGCATTTTCGAACCCAAAACCTCCAAAAAGTCAGTGTAACTATATTTGCTTTATATTTTCAACCCCCCAATTCCATCCATTTCTGAAAATTACAGCAAAAGCAAATGATGTATATTCCCTTTAAACCATCAGAATAAATCTTGTGAAAAGGAAAAATTAAAACAGAACAAGGAGAAAGGAGCAAAGGTAAAAACAGCAAAATATCAACCAAATTTGTTCCATTATATAAAACGCAGACATGCACAGATGTCATGTAGTTAACAAGCACAGACTTTTAACCCACAAACATTTACTGCCGGGCATATTCTTCTGTAATAATTAACAGACAAAATTCCTGAGTTTAAATGAGGGATGTGCAGTAATTATCGGAAAATCAATTTTTTGGTTCAATAGACCGACAGCTGTTCACTAATGACTGTGGCGTTTCCATGACGACAAATTGGATCCATCTGCAATGTCCACATTTCCAATCAGTGCATTCACAGATGCTTGTCAAAAAAAAAGTAAATAGTCAGTCAAATCCGAATAATGCTGTCCTGAAAATATAAGCGCCTGCTTACAATGCACTACGTGTAGCAAAAAATCCTACTTTTGATCCTAAATAGCTGTGTTATTTACCAACATGACCAATGGAATTAAACCAAAATTTCAGATCATGTACATAAACAAGGCATGACAAATTTTATGGAGCGAGTTTCATCAGCTTTGTGCAAGAGGGTGAGATTTCAATGCCATACGAAAAAATGTTATTTAGGATCTAAAGTAGGATACTTTTTTGACACGTAGTACCACACAAGACTTACAATGTGTCTGTGAATTCATTATAAGGAATTTCTTTTGCGTCAGGGTGATTTAAATTCAATATTGGGTTTTTTCCCCTCACAGACATATTTTTTATAGACACTGTACACTTGGTGTTGTCCAGAGTAATTGTGAGAAAAAATTACTCGACTGGGACTCGAACCCATGACCTCCTGCTCACCAGTGCCGACACCTTACCACTCAACCATCGAGCTTGCCGGGGGTCCGCTGGCTGGTTCAAATCCGATATAGCAGCGGGTACCGCAACTAAACATATACTCATAAGACAAATTTTGTTTTCTCACAATTACTAAGGACAACACTTAGTATACAGTGTTGATAAGAAAATATGTTGGTGAAGGGAAAAAAACCCAAACATTGAATGTATAGATGGATTGTGAATCTGTAAACAGATGATCACCATTACCAAAACTTGTGCAACTTACACGATTGCATGTATTTTATTTTTTACTTTATCTAAATCAAAAACAATTTGAGTGCCTAATGTTTCGGTCCTGCCAGGACCACAACGTTAGGCCATCGATTTATAATTTTTTTTAAATTGTCTATTCCAGGTCAATCCAGTCAGTAAGCAGTCTGCCGCAGTTTTATTCATTTTTTATGTTTTAAGTCTATTTATAGTAATTTGCCAAACATATGCTGGCGGCATTGTATCGCATGGTAAGATTTTACAGATTTTAAAATTTTTCAGTGGATTGGGAATCTGTAAGTTTGTTTATCCCACCCAAAACTTGTGCAATTGTCACTATTTCAAAAAATATTTTTGTTTTAATATTAAAACTAATATAATTTGTTATATCGTGTGCTTGGATACTGTATTTTCATTGGTCCAGGACGGCCACGTGTCCAGTTTGTAAAATAACCATGCACTTCATATACGCTGCATTTGTAAATGAGCCTGATACACGGTACACTGTGTTGCATATATTGAAGTGAAGGGGCTGATCGGTTAAACAAATACAACACTAGAAGTCAAGTGATGATACAATTTAATCTGAACTAACCACTTACAAACAAGTACCAGCACCACGTATTAAATTAAAGGGAATGTACATCATTGGCTTTTGCTGTAATTTTCAGAAATGAGCTATTTAAGGGGTTAGTATAATAGATCAAATATTGTTACACTGACATGTTTGAAGTTTTGTGTTCGAAAATGCTGGAAAAACCAAGAAAAACAAAAATGTTCAGGTAGTCTGGTTCCCTGACTGCACTAAAGATAATAGATGCTGGAAAATTGTAAGGGAACCAGTTTAGCTGGCCTGCACCCGTTCTTGAACATGTAACCAATAGCAAACAAAATTTGGACTGACAAAATTAAATTTGGAGCAGTAGTTGAAAAATAGTTAGGTTTTCCCAACGGTTGTCGGCCGACCACCATTGGAAATGTATACAAAAGTACCATTCTCTTGAAAACGACTTCACACCAGGTGCTATAATTTTACAGGATGCTTTAGGCTGTCATTTACCAACATCCTAGTAAGGTATTTTGTAAAAACTTGGTAGTTTTATTTTTTGATGTTTGCAAATGTTGTATATTCCCTTTAAGCAATTTCAGTCAAGTACTCATATAAATTATAAGCAGGACTGTACAAGCATTACATTCACTATGTGGACTTCCGAACAAAAGAGGTCCACATAAACCAGGTAGCAGCGAAGTACATAGTGTGGACTTGCCCACGTCCACACAATGTTTCCCCCTCTCTGGAAAACAGGTTTAGAGGCATTTTGGGGTTAGGTTTATCCCTGGCAAAATGAATTTTTTAACGAAAATAAAGTTTGAAATTGTGAAATGACAAAATTGGCATGGAACCAGATTAAGATTTATCACTGTAAAAATGTGTTTATCAGTTTAGTCCCCCAAAAAGTCACTGCGCATGTTTAGTGCCTATCTCGCAAAATATTGTTTACTAGTTGAAGAAAGGCGGCGCTGGCTAAATATTTACTAGAATACTGCCTTAAATTTAAGGACTAAACATGTAAATATTTACTTTACTAAAGGACTAAACACGTATGTAAATATTTACTGGAATACTACCTTAAATTAAAGGACTAAACATGTCTAAAACGAAAGAGGGGCCCGTACCGGTATCTACCCGGTGTCAACTTCTAGAATTAGACAAGTTGTCAGTTTTGGTGGACTGTTTACTGATGGATCTTTTCATCCTTTTTTTGTCAAATTTAGAAACAGTCCACCAAAACTGATATCTTGTAATGACACAGCGCAGCGTATTCAGCGCGCCAAAATGTCATACATCATGATGTACTGTTTCGCGATGCAAAACATACAATCCCCCTCCATCTCAAATGGTCGAGCCGAATGTAGAGTTGACCTGCTGAGGTCACGCCAAGATCAGCGCACGCGCAACGTACGTAAACACATATGAACATGACCACTGTATTCGTTGGATCGGCAACGCAAGGCTGGTGAATAAAAACTCAGATTTTCCACCCAAAAAATTGTCCCATGATCTAAATGTCAATCGTTCTAAAACATTTCAGAGTTATAGATCAACCAGCTCAACTTTTTGGTGGATTTGTGTTTCAGAAAGTGGAATTTCAGACAAAGGTATTTCGACTATCAAAGGGCATTTCCAAAAGCCACAGCGTGCTGACCCCCGAAAAATCACCATGCTAGAAAGTAGAAGGCTGACGGAGAGAAGCCTTCGGAAAAATTTCCGTACTGGGCCACCATTTTTTTCAATTAATTTTCAAGCGCCAAAAATTGCATCCTTTAGGGTTATTTCTTCCACTTTCCCTCCTCTACTCTCACCTTCTCCTTTCCTTTATTTCTATTTATTAATCAGTCACTTACTTCATCGAGATTCGAACCCTGGACTCTTGCTTGATACACAATTCGCTCGTACCCCCCGCCCTGCAAACAGGACGCTGGGATACTCTGATGAATTCACGCTCTGATTGGTTGGATTCTGCGTGACCTGTGACCTGCGCGTCATCACGGTCATGACTCTGCAAGGTTTGAAACGGCCGTTAAAGACTGATTCATTACTCTTTTATTCCAGTTTAGAGATTTTTGTTTTTGTTAAAAAGCGTAAAAAATGTAGGAAATTCTGTAAAACTTATCTGTGTTCAGTGTGTTGTAAATGTTATAATTCCCGTCACTTGCTCAGGCTCCGTTTCGAATCACGAACGGTCGGATCCATTATGCGACGCTCAAAATTTTGTCCACATGGTCCGCAATGAAACAGAAATCACATCCGGTACGGAACGTGTGCATTTCTATGGAAGTTTTCGGATAGCATTTGCGCACATTGTCTAACTGCGGTCATGAACAGCTGCAGCCAGATGCTTTATACATAGGTCATAGGCCACTTCCTTCACAAGATTCTGTGAAGCTCATCAGAGTATCCCAGCGTCCTGTTTGCAGGGCGGGGGGTACGAGCGAAGATACACAAGACTTTTAACCACTAGGCTGCGCACGATTGCTGTTGCAATAATCAATCTTTGGACGTATTTGAAGTATCCATTGAAATAAACTTAATATTCATGAGAAAATAAATATTCATAATGACGTATTGCACTATCATTGGCCGGCTCATGCGTTGTCATGGTTGTCGATGTCATGCGTATAACGTACCGCTGTCTTCCAGACACTTCAATCAATTTTTACCGGCTGCTTCAGTCCTTCTGATTTGAAAACCACAGGTGTGTGGAAAAAAGCACACCTGGATTTTTCTAGGCATGTGATTTTTCTAGGCGTGTGATTTTTCTAGGTGTGTGATTCTACGGTCCAAGCTGGGATATTATTTCATAATATTCATCTTGGTTTACAATAAAGCCATTTTCTCTTCTCTGACGTACTTTATTTTTCACAAATTGCGAAGTATAATTATGCTGTAAATGTATGCTGAGGTGTGCGGTACTGAGGGATTCAGGCGTGCAATTATTCGCACTTCTTGGGAAGCTTTTAGGCGTGTGATGGTGTGGGGGTGTGATCGCACCCCTCAAAACAGAAGGACTGCTGCTTCAACCTACTCCTACTCCTAGAACTATGAGGCTCCACGTAGTGGCTCCACTACGTGTGGCTCCACTACGTGGAGCCTCATAGTTCTAGGAGTAACTTCAACCATCTTCTGCACGACGTGTGCATCCAAAATGTGCTCTAAAAACACATTTTGCCAAATTTTTTTTTGCATTTACACAACTTCCTGGATTCCTCTTGGGATTGGGTGAAATCACAAGGCATGCAAGGTGAGGTGAAAAATTGATGTGTTTGGCAGCAGGTAAAGTGGTGGCCCAGTATTGAATTTTTTCCGTCCAAAATGTCTACAGGGAGTACAGGCAGTACTGGCAGAGGCACAGGTGCCCTTGACCATTTATATTGACAACTGACAGACAGACCATGCACAGATAATCTGATCATGACAGTGCACAATACCTTATGCTCTGCTCGCAGTAAGTTTTTCAAAACAGTTTGAAGTCGTTCCTTCAGTTGCTGCTCCGATCGCCTCTGCAACAAAATAGCCGCCAGTACAACGAGTAAAGTCACGGTGCCAGCCTTCAAATATGCCATGATGTCGGTCTCCGAAAAATCTTTCACAGCAAGCAGCAGCAGTAACACATCGGGAAAATGATGAATCAGCGTTGTTTTGCCAACCCGACCTCGTCCCGTGTATCCAGATCGGACCGGTGTTTTGGGCCGGCTGCAGTCCACGCTTCAGTGAGTCGACTTGCATGACTTGGCATAAATCGACGGTACACCTTGTTCCACGTTTGTACCACTTCCCACTGGTAAAAACGTACTTTCACAAAATCGCTTATCAGGTACCAGACTTTATTAAAGTTTGTCCATATTTTAAGCATAGCGCCCTCAATCGAGAGATGCATCACCGGCTGACACCACATGTTTGATTTCGACATTTAAATTGCAGAAGGCGCTCGTGTCACTAGCGTCTCAGATCCGCCGTGTTCTTATTCCTCCATGCTTGCACATAGAGCTACACATGATGTAGGACTTTAGAAGGCGTTGTAAGGTGGGTAATCCTTAGGACCATGGTTGTAATATAAGACTCACCAAAACAGCTGACTAAATGACACTCTAAATAAAGTGACATTCTGATATTGTTGATGTACCCTAACGTGGCGCGTCCCCTAACGTGGCGCACTTGGATTTTTCGCCGGTAGCGCCTAGCTAGAGCAAAATTTTAAACTGAAATTTCACAGAAAGTGAAATTTCATCAAGTTCTAAACGGTCCTGTTCATAAATCGCGAGTTTATTTACCCGTAACAAAGTTAGAAGGAAAACATATTTTGGCATGATTTTCCGATTTTATTTTCAAGTGCAAAGTGAACCCTTTGAAAATGCCCTGAAAAATAAGAAAATAATTTTCGGACAAACATTTGGCTGGGTATGTAAGTAAGGATATTAATTATTTATCAGAATTTATCAAGTTTACAGGAATTCGTAGGTGTTAATTTGGTATTTTCCAAGATGTATTCAAGTGCGCCACGTTAGGGAACACTCCGCCAATTTGTGCCCAATTTCCGGACACCACTGTTTTTGAATTTCGGATTAAATTTTATGAAACTGAAATTGTTCACAGAGGTAAAATAGCAAGCGTTGATAAGGTTAAAGTACTAGTATTTCATCGCATGAATTTGAGGTTTGTCAACAAAGAGGTTTGGCAACACTACACGAGGAAAGTCGGGTAAGCTTCGAAGTGCGCCACGTTAGGGTACACGACTATATTTCTTGACACATTTCAGTATAAACTGACTAGTACTAGTAACTGAATCAGTTTGCAATGACACCTTCTTGATTATCATATCAGCAGGTATGCTGTGTGTACATGCGATGACGTTGTGTCACGTGATGACCATCAAAACATGTGGGCGTTGTACCAGTATGTGGGTATCGTCTTGCTTTCCACGACATGAAACAGTCATTGTCTTACTTTCGTACTTACATCACTCAAAAATAACGTTTGCAACCTCGGGCAATCCTCTCTTATTTTTAATAACCCTATTTGTTTGAAAGTTTTGAACGTTTTTTGGGAGAAAAGGAGACTTTCGTACCTGATATTCCAGTAGCAACGCCAACGGTGCAAATCGATGGCTCTTGAACTAGGGTCGCACTAAAAAGCGTCAACACCTCGTCAACACATGACAGAAGCGTCAACACACCGTCAACACATCCAAAACACATTCTGAATTGACAGAAAAGGTTTATAATTGTAAAGCATAGAATAAAAGAGAATTTTCAATGGATTGAGTTTACATTTTGTTGTTAAAAATATAGTATTTTCACGCGAAAAAATGACCCTTCACTTGCACGGCCGTTGTCCGCCATTTTGACTTCGCACAAAGCTTGGACTACACCATTTAAAGTAGGGGTGTGTAGGTAATCTTGTCATAAACAACAGAGGGTGCCTTGCTGCAGAGAGGAACACCAGTGCACTCTGATCTGTGAGGGACTGAGGTTTATTGTACAACGCTATCACCCTTTAGCATAATGGTATGGTCCGCGCTGCCACTGAGGCAACATGGCAGCCGATCTCGGAGCGGCACGGAGAGCCAATTTTCTTGAACGGAAAATCGCAATTTTCAGACGTTTAACCTATTGATTTTAAGCCAAAATCTTATTTCTGTCCATACCGTATGGGTTACATACTGCTTGTGTCAATTTTAATGCATTTTGGATGTGTTGACGCTGTGTCGACGCCGTGTGTTGACGCTGGAGTGTGTTGACGCTGTGTTGACGCTTTTTAGTATGACCGCTTGAACTATGGGGGGCTCAGTGAAGCCGAGCCGAGCTCCGCTTCGCCGAGCCCTCATACTAGATTAGGGGTGTGAATCTACACACTCACATAGCTGTCATGTCTGTGATAGTGTTTTGTACAATTCCAGGTGCAATTGGTACCCTCGGCTTTGCCCAAGTTGCCATTTGCATCGACGCCATAGACTACATCACAGTAGACAATATACAAATAAATCATGCATGTTGAAATTGTGCAGGAGTGACGGAGCGTAGAATACTTTTGAAGAAAAATATGTTTAAAGGAAGACATACATCGGAACTCGGGTGCAGATTGTCACAAGTGGTCCATATTCAAGTTTCAGTGACCAAACATACATGTACATGTATCTGACAAATGCACCTATTCAATGGTCATACCTTCAAACATGTACACATAATGACGTCATGCTTAGTTCACATACAAGTTTTCCTATGGTAGCAGACCAGTAAATAAACTTCCATAGACCCCAATGGTAAATGCTCCCACTTCAGAAATTCGGGAAAAATACTCACAACTCTCCAAGGTGTTCGAGATACACATCAAATTAAAGCTTATTTCATCATCTTTCATTTTCTTTTCAATTTTCGGGGTTCAACTGATGACTTTTAGGAGAAATTTCTATCTGAAGATGATCACCCCTGAAAATAGTCCTGAAGCCCATCGCCATTTTGAAAAACGATGCCTACACTCAATTGCAAAATAGAGCGCTTTTAGGGTCCAAATTACGTCCAAATTACACAGAACTGCAAGCTCCCAGTCCTGTGCACGGCTTCCACCCATATTTTTTACAAACCCTCAAGTTCATGGCCCACAGCATGCTCAAATACTGAAGATTTTGAGGGCATGCAAATCGTGATTTGGCCGGCGTAGGCAATTTCAGACCGATTTACTGGTCTGCAACCTTAGGGCCAGTTTTGTAATTCATGTGAATGCCATATGCGGAGCCAATTTGATGGTCACAAAATGTAATATTGTGAAATTTACCAGAGTTGACATTTGAAAAACTTTTACGAATTGCGACGCAACAATTTGCTGTGACATATTACACAAATTCATAATGAGCAATACATGTAAGTACGAGCCATGTGAGTGAATAGTTACATGTATGTAATGTGCTTGATCATGTAGGAAGAAACACAAAGGCTTCCTTCCTTCATGATACACTTCACCAGTTAGCAGTGCCCCCCCCCCCCCCCCTCCAGTTTGCACCCCCTTCCCTTATGACAGGAAGCAATACAAGCTGATCATCCTCTTAAAACACAAAAGAGGATTTACATTCCTCTCCCCAGCACCAAAGACAATAGCAGCCTCATTGCTCCCCCTGCAAGGGACCACATTCCTGTCAGGATTAGCAGTTCTTAATCTGCTTATCAATTCTAGCTGCTTATAATCCACACAAGCCACTGCATGCTGAGTGTTCTTTATAAGATAATCTTTTTTTGCAAAGCTGATTAGGGTGTCCTGTTGTGAGAGCCAGTAGTTTAACTTGTACCCCAGTTTAAGAAGTGCATTGCCATTGTGCTTGATCATGGGGCATACTGTACATTGGGGGAGTTGACTTGGGCCATGAGGATGATCTGAAGTTGATCAGTGTGGATGGAATGGCATTATCCAAATCTTTCTTAAAGACTTAAGATGGAGGAGAGCACAGCAGGAAAAAACTTTTGATCAACAATACTTGACAGCTTTGGCAGCTTTCACAGAATTAACATCAAAGATCATAGCTTAAATTGATTATTCATTCCAATTTGCGTATACAGGTAGTCATTTACAATCTATCTCAGTTACTCCATGGAGCTATAAGTATAACCATAGCATTAGCAGCAACCTTCAATGCTCCAACTCAACAGAAAAGGAGAAATAGGGGGATGTGTGCATACATGTTGATGATCTTATTGAATGACCTTTTCCTCTTGAAAAGATGAAAAATGTGTTCAATGTATAATCGACAAATTGAATGAAAACTTACTTGCGTGCTTTAAACTCATTTGGCATTGAGTTATCCGTTTTAGTGCATATACTGTACACTGTTCATGATGATACATAATTTCTGGGGGGGGGGGGGGGTTTCCTGCAGTAACACAATGTATATTAACAAAAAGGTACATATTTAACGTCAGTTTTGTTCTCAGTATAAAACGATGAATATAATAAATATATGTCTATGAATATTGAATGTGTTTCATGGGTACTCAGTACATTGCACTAGTTCCACAGATAGTCCCTTTGAACATATGCTAAGTTCACTTTCAGTTCAATCCATGACTTTGCACTTAGGCTAATACATTTGAATGATTGATTGGCGAGTTGCCAAATTGTGTGCATTCCTTTATTTGGGACTCAGTCATGACCCATCAAGTGAGCTTACATGTACTTTTGTCCTGTCAATTGGCATACACAATGCATCCAGATTCAGTAGTCACATTCTGGTGATGTTCTTTAGTAGCTGTTCTCTGTGGGGGGGGGGGGGGGGATAAAATGGCTCATGTGATAGACCTCATCTTGTCAAATAGGACAAGATGTTAAGCATCATGGTCATGGACTGGTAGCTTTTAAATTACTGTATTACATGCACCGTTATCACAGTGTTTATGCATAACATATTTAAAAAAAAAAAATCCACATTTTAAAAATTTGCTGTTTATGGAAGTTAAAATACATACTGCATGTACCTTCAGCAGCCATATTACTGCATCATACATTTTTACCCTTTAAAATACAAAAATGTACTTCCATTTTTAACAGGTGGTCTGAAACACTTCTCTGGAAAGAGAATAGCCAATACAAGTTCCCGATGCATATTCATAAAGTTGCTCATTCAGACAATGCTACCGTTCCAGCCATTGATTCGACCACTACTCCCACTGTACTATGGAATGCCACTAATGCACTCCCTGCCATTGTGCTGGCAGTTTGAATCATTGCCATCGCACGCTTGCTTGGGGGCAAATGTGGCTATTTGAATACCAATAAGGATTAGTCCATTTCTGGAATGTGCCAAGTTTTTTCTCTCAGATTTTGTTGCCCAATCCCCCAGCTCTCTTTAAGATATTTCCACTTTTATCTTAAGTAATCTGTGCACGCTCAAATAGCGAGGCTTTATTTTGAAATGTTTTTGAAGGCGTTGAAAATCATTGTTTATATTTATAAACTCTGAATAAGTTTATTCGCGGCCCTGCTTTGATAATGGTACAGCCCAGAGGGCCTGGTATGTGGCCATGGAATTAGATACCTACGTGTGTATGCTGTATTTTCAATCCAGAAGCACACACACTGGTAGCAACAATAGTGTTGTTGACTAGCGAACACCTTACACGGAATCCCTTGAGCTTGATGAGTTATATTTTTTCACAACAATCCTTTTCTTTGGCGTTTCTCTAACCGCTTACCCCATGTGCCTTATTTTCCAGGAACCAGTTGGACCTAAAAATGCACTTGTACTTTACATGTGAGAGTATTGTGGATGACCTTGGTAGTACTGCTGGTTGTGTTTCACAACTGCAAGATTCTAATTGACGGAATAAGCTGTGTGATCATGGTGTGATGCTCTTTGCAAGGCAACCAAGTAATGGAGGTTGAGAGTTTCCGCTAAACCAGGATTATACGTGCGATTATTCTTGGAATTTATACCTACCTGCCCATCGCTGATTTGACTGTGAAACCGGTGAAACCAAGACAAAGAATTGAATGGTTGGTCTGCATTGTCAAAATTAAGGTAAGCTCAAAGTCTACGCTTTTGCATGATGCATGGATATTGTTGACAAACAAGTATATCAACTGTGGCAAATATCGCAGAATTGGGATGGTACCATCAATCTATAGACCTACATGAGTTGGGACAGACAACACAGTCTTTAAGCTGAAAGGCTGCTGATAATTGGATTGCAACAATTTTAAAGGAGATCATTTGTCATTTGTCATGTTTGTTTCGTTTGAAGCAACAAAAGTGCTCAAAATCTAAAGACGGACAGTGCTTTTACAACTAACCTGATGAAGTATTTGTACTGTGAATGCTGTGTATTTTGAGAAAACAATATTCTAGGATCTCGATTTCAAGTCGAAAGTTGCAGAGTCATATTTTGAAGTGCGCCTGAAATTAGCAACCGGAACGCTATTTGCAGCCATGCGATGTCACGCACTGAACCGATGAATACTAGCAACATGACAGCAGGCGTGTGTGCGTCGTGTCAAAACTTGCGCCCAATTACAAACCAACTACTAACAGGAATTTCCAAAAATGTATCACTTGACTCATCTTTGGAAATGGCGTTAGCTTAGTTTTATTGTTTTCTTCAAAATGACAGCATGCCAGAAGGAATAGTTTCACATGGAGTTTAGTGCCATACTATCTTTTAACCAAGTCAGATTTTTAGCAATAATTTGGTCAGTTACTACCTGTTATTAATTTGGTATTCAAATTGGGGATATGCTGTTGCACTTTTCTTCAAAGTGAGGGAATAGGGCCTACTCTGTGAGTGTCCAAAACTGTTTTCAATGGTCAGTTGTGGTTGGGGAGAACTAGAAGAGAAACGATTTTAGAATACACTAAATGCTGCGGCATTTACTACATAATACATTTGTCCCGGTATGTACATGAAACAGGAACTGAAGAAAACTACAATGCTCATGAATACATTCTCATAAAAGAGTGTGTTGCTATCATTATCCATCAGCATACACAATCAGACAATGGAATATATTCAATTTGAAAAGAAATTTTTTTTAGAAAATCCTTTATTTCCAAAAACAAAATCCAGGTGTTTTTTTACACAAAATTTATAAAGTACATTTAATTAGTACATAAAAAAATTATATCAATCATAGGTACTGTCTTCTTTTCTTAAAATGTTCTGCTGGGCCCTTTGTGTAGATGGGGGCTCCATCAATAGCCGGACAGGTGGTCATTTGCAAATTGCATGGTCAACAGTGACAGATGGACGGTACACTGGTCTTCATGTCATAGACTGAGCAGTGATGATGCTTTTCATTGGTTCTCTTAATGAGCAGTTCTTTGTTCCTGAGGAGTGGTGCCAGGTTTTGAGAGAGTCTGTAATAAGGCAGCAGATATTTAACATGAAATCAGCTGTACTTTTTTTTGGTTGGGTATTTTTTGTTGAACAAAAGATAAAGATTTACATAGTATTTTCTTATTGTTGGATTCTATTTCAGTCAGCATTGGGCCATGCCTGAAATATATAGTCATTGGAATCTTTAAAGGAATGTACATTTGCAATTGCCCGCAAATGATCCCAGATCTAGATGTACCTTTAATTAAGGGTCATCCAAGAATTCAGTGTGAGTCCACATAACCTCTGTAGTGGTTCTTTTGAGCCATGTACAGAGTTGACTATGCCGTGCTACCTGTTCGTTTTGTTAAAAACAAATTCTTACAATAGCAACAAGGTCCATGTGATTGGCCTACAGAAGCACATGTATGTCTTTATTATGCTAAAATCATCCATGGAATATTATTATAGTTTATTCAGATTTTTGTCTCTGCTTTGCATTCCCATGGGACACAAAGCATACATGTACATGTACATGTACAAATGTATTTTGAATATAGGTTTAAGACCTACAAATATGTACAATTTTACCATCAATTTGGCGAATTTATATGCATGTACTGAGGTTGGACATGAGAGATAACTCAAGATCTGAATACAAAATGACAGTATTCTGTTGCCAGTATCAACACATTAATGAGATTCAGATTGTAACAAAGAATTCTCACGATGCCAACATTTCAGAGAATGACTTAGCAAGTTTGAAATAATGGATGAATGCCCTTTTTCAAGATATTTTTAGTTCAACGCCTACGCATTGCATGATAAAAATAGAGCTTCAGTTTTCCCCCTTTTACATGTAGGATGCTTGGAATTGTTAGGAATTTTAATGCTATATTTTACGCATGGCTGTTCCATCACTCGAATAGCCCAATCTGTCAAATCGTTCAAATGGAAAACCGGGAGTCTTGATTTGCATCGAATTGATTTCAGTTACTCAGGGGGAAAAAATCTACAGAATAGAAAACAGTCCCAAGGTAAAACAAAATAAAATGAGAGACGGGCAACAAAAGTTCATAAAAACAAATTACATATATTTATGGTCGCATATCAAAACAGACATTAAAATGTTCTAATCTGCAATTTGAAATACGATGTACTGCTAAAAATAACGTAAGATTTATAAGAAGGAAAGAAAAAAACCAGAATACTAAATACATACATGTATTGTACTCTCCCTCCTGCTATCTGAACAGTCACAGACAGTCAAAAAATCAATCCTCTTCCCCTGCCACGCCTTTTACGCAGGCTAGTCACCAACAGGCAGATCTATCATAAATTTCAAGCAAGCACTGTGACTGGTCAAATTCAGTCAACAGACAAAAACAGACAATGTATGTTTGCATACATGTAGGAGGGTTAAAACAAATTAGGTACATGTAGTTTCATTCAGAATATGTACCAAAATACAGATAAAATCCCTTTGCAAGAAGTATTTTCTACAGTTGTTTTCAGTTTTACCATGGAGCTATAATTCGCATCATGCATGTCATGTGATCAAACATTTCGTGACCAGTTTATAAATAACAAGCAAATAGCCGTACTGCTTCATACACTGTGCACTTGGGAGTATGATTTCAAAGTCACGAGCACAGTGTATAAATCCACTGAGATTTGAAGAAGAAAAAAAAAAGGTGAAGCGTTGCTCCAGATTGCAGGCATATTTCCTCCGTGAGTCACCTATCCCACCTGCAGCTGATCCAATCCAGAGAAATCCGCCAATAATTCCCATAATTGATTCAATTTGTAGAATATCAACCAGGAATTTGGGCTTCCTCACATGTTCTTGGGATGTATGTATGCATGTACTTGTTCCAGGTCAATGATGAAAATGATGTGTAGGCCATGACACACTTGTTCTGAGTGTTTGTGTTGAAAATTAATTGTGTCTTATGAAAGTTGAGAAATGGTTTGATACATTGATACATTGGGGAAAGTACACCTTGTTCACGTCACACACAGGTTCACGTATACCGCAACGAGGTTTCACCCCCTTTTTGGGGATAAAAAAATGGGATCTTCCACAAAATGGTATGTTCCAATGTCACCGGTGGGGGGGGGGGGGGGGGGGGGGGGGGCCTGTGGGTGAATTGCCATGGTTTTTGTCCATTCCATCAGCAGGTTCTTGTCAATTTCATTTTAGTCATAGTTGGGTGCCGGAATCGTTCAACTATGAATACGCGTACTTATTCACGTACACATTACGTGCTGTAATCTAATAGTGTACTGTTTGAAGTTTGTGAATTGTGAATTTTTTGGTGACACGAGTATAGACTTCAAACACGAGTGCTTCTTAAAAAAAATCATGATTCTGATTGTACAGATGTCCATGTGAATGCACAAATCATTCAACATAGTTGTGGAATAATGTAACGTAATTGTCATTATTATCGATTCGGTTTGCGGTAACACCATGTGGTAATAACTACTGCTTAGAAGATATTAGTTCTGAAAAGAACTTGTCCTGCTTATTATCAACTTTGCCCTATATGATACTGTATTACCGTATCCGCCAAACTCCACCAAAAACCAGGGTTTGGATTTTGATGAAGTTGGGATGGTTAGGGTACAAAGTTTTTGGTTAACTGCTCAATGTTTTAGGGTTCGGGAAACTTTCTAGAAAAAATTAGTATCGAGGTTGTGTGTAGTGACTTATTAAAAAAAAAAAAAAAAAAAAATTCAGAAACACCTTGGCAGGGCCTAACCATATATTTTTTTTTTTTTAACATATACACATTGACTATGTCGTAAAATAAGTGGTTGACATTTTTACTGGGCCTGACATATTTGAGGTTATTGCCAAACTTTTCTATTTTGTGGTTTAGGTTTTTTCCCTTAGTCCTGCATACAAAATGATGTACTTGCATGCTGCTGCTTATCGCTGTGGATTTTACCTGCTGAGTAGGGCCTATTCGATTGTTTGCACGTCCCTTCTAAGAAAAAGCAGCATGAACACTGTGGTTGTTTCCAAAAATAACTGTAATTATAAATGGCATGTGTACATAAAATACCGACCCCTAACCACAAGAACACTGTGACCCTTGTTTGTAAATTAACGACTTTTTAAAACTGATTTCTGCGATCACAGTTTTGGTTTGTGCATCATTTTCATATAGTGCACACCAATCAAGAAAATAAGGTTTGCTATATTATTTCAGTAAATTAATACACAAGCACACAATCATGCAGGCTTTTTTTGACTCACCCTGTATAGTACATAAAAATGAAGTAATGTATACCAAATTTACAAGTTTTTTTTATTTTCAAAATAAATTTGTTTTTTTTTGTCTTTCGCAACAGATGGATTGTTGTCCACAGTACACCAAGAACTTTGCAAACATGCTTTTTAAATGCCTTGACTAAATTTGCAATAAACACTTAGGACCATAAAAGTTAATTGCCAATCTCAAATTATTATTGTTCAGTTTTATCAACAATAAGTAAACTTTGCCTCAACCTGATTTCAATTGAGAGAATAAATCCGAACAGACATTTTTGGAATGGAACTGTTTTGTAAACATGTACTGTAATTTGTATAAGGCGGTGTACTCTGTGGTAAGTTTTTGTGTGCGCACCAAGTTTACAATATCAACTTTCCGGGCAATAGATTTGACGTAATTAAGCGTGAATTGGTGGAATTCCACAGTCATTGTCCAGGAATTCATTGGGGGAGGTCACATGCATAAAAAGCAATTGTTGGCAACTTTCAATCAAAAAGTGCAACGTGCACTCTGCGAGTTTTAAAGAGGTGTGTTGGAACGCAGTACTTATTTTGTCAACAGTGGCTCAAGCAAGTGGCTACAGTATGGATCAGTTCAGCCTTGCCCTTTTATATGGATGCATTCGTCTCAGCAATTTAGCATCATGGGTTGCTTGCAATGATTGTATTGAACGTTGTTATGTTGTTGCATACATACATGTACATGTACATTGTACATACCGGTATGCAGTCATGCATACACACAGATTACGGGCTTGAAATACATTTGTACCTGTGAAATGTTCATAGTACTCAATCTTAAAGGGAATGTACAGTACATCATTGACTTTTGCTGTAATTTTCAGAAATGAACTATTTTGGGGGATTAGTATAACAGATCAAATATTGTTAAACTGACATGTTTGAAGTTTTGTGTTCGAAAATGCTGAAAAAACCAAGAAAAACAAAAATGTTCAAGTACTCTGGTTCCCTGACTCCATTAAAGATGAAATGGATCAATTTATACATTTGTAGATGCCGGAAAATTGTAAGGTAATGGAACCAGTCTAACTGGCCTGCACCTGTTCAAGGACATGTAACCAATAGCAAACAAAATTTGGACTGAAAAAAATTGTAAATTTGGAGCAGTAGCTGAACAATAGTTAGGTATTCCAATGGTGGTCAGCCGACCACTGTTGGAAATTTATACAAAATACCACTTTTCTTGAAAATGACTTCACACCTGGTGCCATAATTTTACAGGATGCTTTAGACTGTCATTTACCAACATCCTAGTAAGGTATTTTGTAAAAAATTGGTAGTTTTGTTTTTCGATGTTTGCAAATGTTGTATATTCCCTTTAACAACAGCGAAGTCTGTATGTTTTCCTGCTCCAAATAGGGCCCTTCTATTTCGTACACAATATATGTCAGAAAGTTAAATACAATGTAGCATAGGGTCAGGGTTAAGGGAATGATCCTATTTCATGTAAGTTTGCTTGATTAACACACACACATTTTGGTGCACTCTTGACCGAGTTCAGTTTTGACTCGTAACCCATTCTGTGTTACGAGTCCACATGATCTGCTAAATTGACATGTAATTGAGCTTTAATCTACTCCAATCAAATCATATACTTGGAGTAATTGATGTTTAAAAGTGCAAAGGGGAAAAAGAAATCAAACAAAATGGGATATGTCCTTGGCGGGTGTTTTGGTCAACCTTCACCTGTTCTGGAATGTTGATTTGTTATTGGTATGTTGATGGACTGATTTAATCGCAAGGAAAACTTTTTCCCCTATCACAAGCTGTGGTATAAATATGGTTGGTAAACGGTCCTGGGGAACCATTTCTGGGTCTGAACTTCTGAAGGCCGCAGGGTTGATGCTGATTGCTGAAGTACCTGTACCACGTACTTGGTGGTAAACCACAGTGTTTCATTTTCTCATCATAGCCACTTGAAGTTGAAGCAACCTCATTATTCTGGAGGAGATTTCTGACCATTGGGTTTTTGATCTGCGAGAGCCACACCACCACCATTCCGCAAGTGTCAGTTTGAATTTAAGTCATGGCATTCTTGAAAGTCTTTCTTTGGACTCTCATAGGACAATGGACAGTGGTGGTTATTGCCCTGTGGTACATGTAAAGTTTCGGTCCAAGGGCTACTGACATGATGAATTCGAGGAGTCATCTGACAGAGTTGAAGACCAAGCAGGGATATATTTAGATTATGACCTTACATTAGGCAGTCTAATTTTGTTTGTTTCGGGTCAATCCAGTCACCAAGTGCATTTAGTTTGCAGCAGTTTTATTTCTTTTTACAATGTACACATAATCGACAGTAATGTACGTGTATGTGTAATACAGATCAACACAACCGGTACTGTACTGCTAAAGTAGTGATGTGGAATGTCATTCTACCGATGCTGTATAACAATGTCCACTGCCTCAGAAATAATGTAAATTAATTGGTATTGCATGTCATAAATACATGTACGCCCATATGCTACCGGTAAGATCACTGATGACAACTGACAATTATTTTTAGGTATGAGGTTCATCATGTACAAATGGGGTGGGAGTTTACATTTTATGTACATGTACTGTACATGTATTTTCTAATTTATACACATACATCATGTACAAGCAGTCTTGTTCCGAAGTTGTTTCGGACATACATTCGTCTGTACAAGGTACCGGTATTTGTGGGGACTGAAAACGCTGTGGGGACAGCAGAAAGTCCCCATAACTCGGTCCTAATTTGCTTTACAATAAAAAACTTTCCGAAAACGTGGTGTAGGCCTACCCATACTTGTACCCGGTACGTGTATGTATGTACACACTTTGGATTGTTCACTTTTGCATTTTCAAAACATGACTGAATCAGGCATGAGATTTCATAGACTTTTGTCTGAAATCGGACTTTTTGAATCTGAAAGAAAGACGTAATTAGAAGACATGTAGAAAGAACTTCATCTTTCAGCGCTTTTATCAGTTCTCAGACCTTTTTAATGATTGACATTCTCGTCCCTGCTGGATATGCAGTATCTTTACTTTAGGTGTTTATTTATGTATGTATTTATTTTCTCTTGGTGTTACAGATTCTCTCAGATGAGTAGCATGAATCCATTTTGTTTGTGAAGGATGAGGATGAGATTCTGTGATCAGATCTGACGATGAAGAAACCTAAAACGGACTGCAGCGTTGGAGACAGCTAAAGTTTGGCCGCTTTCTGCGAGCCCTCGCTCCTTCGTGGAAACGTGAAATTGAAAACATTCCGTGGGGATGCCCAGCAAAACAGGCAGTGGGACGACCCTATCGTCCAACCCTGGACGGAAATATGTCAACATCATCCTTTTGAACGAGGAAGAAGTTCCTTTAGTAGTTGAGGTGAGAACCTTCAATTTTCTCTTTGCTACATGTAGACCTGTCTTTCATAGATGATTCACGCGTCTGCAGTACATTTTCCTGAGATGAAAAAAACTCCACCCCCTGTTTCAATAGTCTCTCTACAGTGGCACCGGGGGGGGGGGGGGGGGGGGGGTTGTCAATTATTTTTTTTAGTCCCATGATTTGACCGTGGTGATATGTATGTGGCCTATTTTAGAGTATAATAGGGGTATAAATGGCGCCACCAAATTCAAAGTGGTCCGTTCTCCCCCCCCCCCCCAAAAAAAAAAATTCTGCCGCCGAAAATGTTGTTAGGCAACTTTTGAAACAATTCAAACTTCTAAAAACAAATTGTGATTCCCCAAGCCAAATCCTGGGTGTGCCACTGTCTCCCTGAACTTGTTTTAGCTTTCCACTATTGATTTAAGATTCATTAAAAGATTGCGGAGGTTTTCGCATTATTTTTACATTGGAAATTCTTAGTCAATTTTAACAGAATCTTGACTCGTGGACAGAATCAGCATTGATACCAACAATCTTAGTTTTAGAGGCGCCCAGGCTCAAAGATTAATGATTTATTTACCAGAAAGTCATCAACATGAACATGTCGCTTGTTGAACTGTATTTGGATGTTCAAGTGAGTTAAACTTAAAAGTTTCATATTGTATTTTGGGGAATTTCTTTTTGTTAACTAACTTGGCTGAAGGAAAAATGGGATCTCAATATGTATTTCGCACCATGGCAAAGACCAAGTAGGCTTTCACAAGCAGTGCCAAGCCATGCCTAGTTAACCAATCTGATGCAAGTTCATGTGCATATCCTTCACCTTTACTTTATGCTCTCAAATAGGCTTGACATCATTGCATTTCAACATAGCTGAATTTCTGATCTGCAAGATGAATTAGTTTATGCAAGGCCAAAAGAGTTGTGCATGCCTGTGCTGGGTCTAAATAAAGAGGACATTTCCAGGACCCTGGGTAAAATACACAGCCTAGTTATCAGAAATATGTAGAGAGGCCGACATGAGTATTAGCAAACTGATAGTGAGGGTCTAGTGAGGGTAGGAACAGATAGGGCCCCACCACTTCCCCAATCCATCAAGTGATTTTACCAGGGTAACTGGAGGGTACTCGAAGGCCCCTGGTCCAGTGGACATTCCAACGTTATCAGTCTGCAAACACGTGCTGGAATGTGGGGAACCACATAGGCTGGGTTGGGATTGTATACTATCCAGGTTTGAAGGAAAACAAATGAAAAAAAATTGCAAATTGTTTGTGAGGTCCATAGTGCATGTTTTGATGGTGGAAATAATGGAAAGAAATATTTTCGTGGTTTGTTTATTTACATTTTGGAGCATATCGGTAGGTGTAAGGGGATTTTTTTGGTACTATGGATTTGCCATCTGTTTGTTTACATATATTTTTTTGCTGCTTCTTTTTATTCAACTTTTTAGGGGGGGGGGGGGGTAGGGGTAATGGGTTAGGTTAGGAAACCTACCGGGGGTAGCCCTATGCTACCGGTGTAAAACTTTTACACCGGTAAGGTATTTGAATATCACTTGAACTTCCTGCACGTACTTGTCTACAAATATATTTTTAGATACATGTACATCATACATGTACATGAAAAATTCACGGCCCTACAGAACTTTCAAAATAATTTTCCTAGTAAAACAACTTGAATGCCTTTCACTCTGTTAAAAACTATTCAAAGCAAACACAGGTAAGGAAATAATTGGAACAGTTGAACCATGGAGTACTGGGCTCTGTGCGCAAACAGAGAGGGCGCTTTACCACCTTCGAAAGCCCCATGGACGGAACTCACTGCGTGCGCGTACTGGTTAGTGTGCATATAGCGTGAAGTACATTGTACACATAACTATTTTTTTCTGAATGTACACAAAGCCATAGCGTCTTCGCGTGAGCATAGCTCCATGCATGGTGTGAGCGTCAGGTGTTGTCAGCAATGCATTCAAATGTCTCGCCCAGTGGTCTCCCAACTCTCCCTTACTTACCGTTGAGGGGGTACTTGTGCTCGGAGCCCACAAGGCTCATGTATTAAAACTAGCCATTAACAGAATCATTACTCAAATAAAATGCAAGAAATTTATCTCACAAAACTTAAAAAGTACATACAAAAATACATGTACATTGTACATCCCACCTTGGCACCATTAAAGCTACATGGTCATTGTATGTGAGCGTGAACAACAGTATTACCACTGTTCATTCTTCCGTGTCCATTGCAGCCCAAAACCAAAGTCCAGGATATCTTTGATCAAGTTTGTCTGCTGGTTGGCGTAAAGGAAACTCAGTTCTTCTGGCTGTCCGTCCTCCGAGGTGAGTAGTGACCGGGAGTTTGGGTCGCAAGTTCTGTATCAGACTGCAGAATTGACCACTCATTGTTGTTTGTTCACTGTAATATACTGGTAGGGCCATATTGATGAATGTTCTCATTGATGAATGTTCTCTGTAATATAGGGCCACTGATTTTCCGCTTGAACACCGGAATAAATAGAATTCTGGAATTCATCTTTTTGGAAAACCCTTTAGTGTGTCTGCAAAAGTCAGATTACAAGACATTGGACATTTTCAATTTCAGGCGTAATATACATGTACATCTTAGGGCAGTTTTGCTCATTTGAATTCTGTATCAAACTTTTTAACAGAAAATTGTTACATGGTTTTCAGTGAACACCCATTACATGACACATGATGAAGCAGGAAACAGATTTTCTGGCACAGTTTTCAGATTTGCCCTTGACTTGTTTTGTCCTTCCCCAAATCTCAATAACTTCAATATTTTTCCATATTTTCTCTGCACAATATTTGTCCACAAGTTCTAACTTTCTACACTTACACATTTTATATCCTTTTTGCAACAGATGGGGAGCAGGAGTTTCTAGACCAGAAGAGCAAGATCTCCAAATACGCCCCGAAAGGATGGAAAACTGAATCACCTAAGGTAAACATAGCTTCGTATCTTTTTTTTTCTTTCTTTTTTTTGCAGTGGGCGACACCTCCTTATTAGCATTACACCGAGAAAAATGTTAAGAGCCGCTGTGGCATTCCACAAAACACTGTCAGTTGTCCATTTGCACATGGACCACAAAGTAAATTTGTGCAGTTCACATGGTGAGGAGTATTTGCTTATGGGTTGTTCAGTTTGTCTTTTAGACAGGCGAAGGTTTGCGGCTAACACTGCATCTGTTTTTGCACGTATGTAGCCTACTGTACTGCAAATTCAAAGCTGTGAATTCATACCCTGAACAGTTTTTAATACGGGAGTCCATTAACCCCAACTGACATGCCAAGGCGTTTATTTGTACCACTCCCCCTACAAAGTAGTACAAGTTGACTGTTCATTCACCTGCATTTTTGCACATTCCTGTCTTTCTCTGCCCTCCCCCCCCCCCTCCCAAAAAAGGGCCTGCGGACTTGTCGGTGTCCGGGTTAGAGTGTGCGGTGTGTGCCAGGGAAAAGGCCCTGAGTATATTCCCACACAAAAAACCCGCCCGTGACTAGCCGGTATTTGTTTGCAGTCCCGGAATCCGATTCCTCAGAGGAAAAGTCAGGATTTGGTGTAGATTCAGCGCCCGTGGGCTGTTGGCACTCCTGCTCTGATTTGTAGAAAGAGGGGCACGGCTGAGAGGGTAGTCACTTGTCATGGTTGGGTCCCGTTTGGTTTCAAAACATCCCCATGTCATTGAGACCACCGTGTAAACATTTGTTTGGTCGATCCTACCCCCGGTAATACGCTAAAAGGTTTTTTGACTGTCTCACTCGTCTGTGATTTATTCTTTTATTTTTGAAAACCAAAGTAATTTTGTAGGACTTCTGAAGACCAGAAGACAACTTTTTTGTATTACAATTTACATGTACTTCTTCAGAATAATATTAACTCTAACCCGTTGAGCACGTTTACTAGAAAGTATCCTGAATCCGCCAAAATCCACCGATTGTGTCATGCACAAAAATGTTGGTGTTGGCGACTGCTCAGTTTGGAGGTACCGTATCCTGAATCCATCAAAATCCTGCAGTACCGCTAGGCTTACAATCCTGAATCCATCAAAATCCCCCTGTTTTCAATACGGAGGTATCCTGAATCTGCTGAAATACTCCAAAACAGGCGTATGGATTTTGATTGGATCAGGGTGGTTAGGTTTAATACATCAAGCTCTGCAAGAAAAAAGGCAGTGATCAATAAAAACAATATTTTGTTTTTCCAAGGGAAACTCTGGCCTAAAAAAAAAACATAATAAAAAAATTCCTATGAAATTTTGTGCATTGCCAAAGAATTCATATCGTCTAAAATAAAAAGGCGCATACCCTAGATGACCACAGGCCATTTTCAGCACATTGGGAGGGTTGACTGGGAGGGTTATTCCCTATGGTGAGAGCCAAGCCCACAGAATCAGGATCAAAGGGTGTAAAAAAAAAAGCGGCACGTACCCTTGAGAATTTCCCAGGTGTTCTTTCCTGACCCCATGCCTGACCTCAGCATTCCTGCCTCACTGGTGGTATAATGGTGGCCCTTTCCTGGTCCCCCACATCAGTCACATCTACAAATCTTTTCAGGTATTTTATTTCTCGTCAGTCGCACTCCGGTGATTCCGGAAATTGATTAATCACTACATGTAGGTCTGCCCATGCCAGCCCCGCTTTTTGTGGAAAATGTTTATGAGTTCTTCTTGCCGTGCCCCCTAATCCCTTGGTATTCCTGATGTGATTCAGATGCTTTACGTTGGTATGGATTAGTCCCATCGTGGAGCAAGGATGGAGAGTAGTAGTTAAACAATGATTCAGGGGTATAAAGATTTTTACCTCAAGCCCCATATAGATTTGGTCTGTCTCAACCACTAACAAGCCTTTTGATATTTCAGTTTGGCAGCAGAAACATGTGGTTTAGAAGTGGCAATACAGGTACATATGTTCATTGGCATGTACGGTAGTTCATGAATGCTTAAGTGCATTTGTACTTAACCTCAATATTTTTAGCATTCCCTAAAGTCAAAATCCAGCTCCTAATTTGTTGCCTTTGATAGGGTCGGCACAGTCATTGCCAAAATGCCCCTGTTTAAATTTACAGTATTCTGTTGATTTTTGGAGGCTTCAGGGAAAATCTTTAAAAAAAATTCAGAGGGACTTTATGTTCGCGGGTTTGGATTGAAATTTAACTCCTCGAATTAGAATGACTTCTGTAAATCCCTTTTCAAATGTAAATTTTAAACAGAAAGACCGTGCTCCTTTTGTACCATACACATGCAGGGAGAGGATGGGCCAGAAGTTTTGAATTCTTTGCAAACAAAATCTCTTGAAACATTAATCATAAAAAAAAGGTAGCGCGAGTGTCAGTCAGGAATATCTCAAATTTGATTTATTGACATTGTAGAAAGAAAAAAGTTCCTGAATATGCCTTGTTTTCCTTCTGTTCTCCTGTGTAAAAGAGTGCCTTCTGCATTACAGAATCTGTAATACAGATGTGTTGAATATTCCTTAGCAAAATAATGGATCTGGTCTCTGTGGGAGTGGCAGTAAAAGAATCATCCTTTTGTGGACCTCAGCATTACATAAAAACTGGGCAAGCGAAGGAATGTGGCTTCTTGCCTCTGGAACGCCTTTGGAGGCAATCGCATTGTGTTTGATTGTTAGTACTGTGATTTACACAATGTGTATTCCTGATACAACCAACCCCCACAAAGAAACCTCGTTCTTTAAGTTCATTGAAATCTCTGTTGGCTCTGCGGTTGGGTTGGAAGCATGGGCCTTTGTGTGTCTTATTTGTTGGATTGTGAGGTTGGAATGCCTTGAGTATTTGGCATGCAATGCAAGGAAGACATTGAATATATACGGATTAGTCTTACACAGAAACATGTGTATAGTACAAATTTATCATTAACATTTAGAAGAGGACAGTAATCCTGAACTGAAGTTACATGCATTACATGTATCATGTGCATGTAGTTGTATACATTGTACGTAAATGTAATGGTCTATTTTAATTTCATGATACATTTCGGTAGAAAGGTAGAGTCTTTATCTCAGACGATACTTCCCACCTCACAGTCTTTTTATAGCACATTATCTTGTTGAAATATGCAGGTAGTTGTAATTCATTTGAGTTGAGCACATTGGCGGTATTGGATGGAGCACACTATCATGCATACAATGTTTGTTGATGGTACCTCAGATATGGCATTTTTTACGCCCCATTGATTTTTTCTTCTGGTTTCATGCACTTAAAGGAAACATGCAGTGGAAATTCAACTCATCTTGTTCTCATGCACATTACTACATGTATGTGTTGATTGTGTTGCAATAATACATACATGTACATGTACAAGATCTTAAAGGGAATATACATCATTTGCTTTTGCTGTAATTTTCAGAAATGGATGGAATTGGGGGGGTTGGAAATATATAGCAAATATAGTTACACTGACTTTTTTGAGATTTTGGGTTCGAAAATGCTATAAAAACCAAGAAAAACGATCATTTTCCTGTAGTCTGGTTCCCTGACTCCATATAAGAAGAAACAGAGCAGTTTACATACATTGGGGAATTGTAAGGTCAGGGAACCAGTCTAGCTGGCTCGTACCCGTTCATAGGTTTGTAATCGATTGCAAACAAGTGCGATGGTCAATTGGGGCCAGTATTTGAAAAAAAAGCCAGTTGTTTCCAACGCTGATCGGCCGATCAGCGTTGAAAATTGATACAAAAATACCACTTTTCTTGAAAATGACAGTATACCAGGTGCCATGATTTTACAGGATGCTTTACACTGTCATTCACTAACAGCTAGTCCAGCAAGGTATTTCAAAATGATTTGGTAGTTTTATTTTTTGATGTTTGCAAATGTTGTATTTTCCCTTTAATACTTGTTTTCATTGGAAGTGACAAGAAAGTGGTAGTTTTACAATTATTAGCAAATCCTTTCAACAATACATGTAAGAGGGCGTTATTTTGCTTTTGTCACACAAGGAACTCCTCGTCAAGAGTGCATATGAACAAAACAAAAATTAGTCCTTCAAAATTACCCACAAGCTTTTTGTAAATTTAAGTCACTCAAAACAATAAAGGAGAAAATAACATCTGAAAAGGAGCTTGACAGTTTTTATGCCCCGCGGCGAAGCCGAAGGGGCATACTGTTTCCGCCTTGTCCTTCCGTGGGTGGCTGTGTGGGTGGGTGGGTGGGTGGGTGGGTGGGTGGGTGGGTGTGTGTGTGTGTCCGGACAAATCTTGTCAGCGCGATAACTTGAGAAATACTTAACATATGAACTTCAAATTTGGTTTGTGGATTGTTCTTGGTAATCCTAAGAAGCCTTTTGCATTTGGGGCCAAAAGGCCAAAGGTCAAGTTCACAGTGGCTAAAACAATAGAAATCTTGTCAGCGCGATAACTTGAGAAATACTTTACATGTGAACTTCAAATTTGGTTTGTGGATTGTTTTTGGCAATCCTAAGAAGCCTTTTGCATTTGGGGCCAAAAGGCCTAAGGTCAAGTTCACAGTGGCTAAAACAATAGAAATCTTGTCAGCGCGATAACTTGAGAAATACTTTACATGTGAACTTCAAATTTGGTTTGTGGATTGTTCTTGGTAATCCTAAGAAGCCTTTTGCATTTGGGGCCAAAAGGTCAAGGGTCAAGTTCACAGTGGCTAAAACAATAGAAATCTTGTCAGCGCGATAACTTGAGAAATACTTAACATATGAACTTCAAATTTGGTTTGTGGATTGTTCTTGGTAATCCTAAGAAGCCTATTGAATTTGGGGCCAAAAGGTCGAGGGTCAAGTTCACAGTGGCTAAAACAATAGAAATCATGTATTTATTCTGAGATTATAGGGATTAGGGATTAATTCATATAAAACCTACAGAAGACACTAATGCTGTCAATGAATGTTCCATGTGACCAAGGTACATGTAAGTTGATGTTAAAAGAGTGGTGTTATGTCATGGGAACAGTCACGGTTGCGGGGCATTTGTGTTTGTAAACACACCTGACTTGTTGATCTATGAATTTATTTATTAAAAACATGATATGACATTTGAATTGTAACTTAGGGATATTTTATATGCATGGGCAATTTCGTAAAATCCAATTTTCCGCGTACGTCTGACCACATGATGTACAAGTTCGTTAAGGGGGTGGTACCGGTACCTTAGTTTGGTCTGTAATTGTTTGCTACTCATTAGATGTCACATATTAGCAGGCTTCGACCGTAACTTTTTTGTTCACTAGCCAGCCGGGCTACTGAAACAGACTCTTAACTAGCCCGCGGGCATTTTCACAAGCCCGCATGTTTTTGTTTTATACATGTAGAGTGTCTCATAAACAACAATGTGCATACAAGTAAAACGTGTATCCTAAAATAATCTTGTCAGTGTTTTTAATAAACAGATCTAATAATTTAACCCTAAACAGTTAATAAAATTAGACACAAATTGATACAGGTTTGCTTTCTGAATTTAATGATTTATTTCTTCCTTGTCGTATCCCAATAACTTTGACTCGCCAGCCGGGCTATTAAAGAAAGAGTTCCACTAGCCGGCCACTGTTTTGACTAGCATTTGGCTAGCCGGCTACCGCTAAAGACGAACCCTGCATTATTAGTGCTGTATCACGTTCACTTGTCCAACAGCAATTAAGGCGAAGTAAAAAAAAAAACATGTTTAGCGTCCCCGCCCGCTTCCTTTTTAGAGGCCGCCTCCTTTTTTTTTTTTTTTTTTTTTTTTTTTTAAAGACAAAAATTGATAAATTTTAACGATCTCTGACGAAAGAAATCGTATTTTTAGACTTTTATACCGTGTATAAAGCTGTGGAAATAGTCAATGAGTCCAAGTGGCGGCCATTTTGAAAAAAGCTGGTAACCATCTTGAAAAATAGCCCGGCCGCGTTGTCTTGAAAAATGTGTCGGGCGGCCATTTTGAAAAAAAAAAAAAAAAAAAAAAAGGGCCTCCTCCTTCCTTTTTGTCAAAGAGGCAGGACGCTAAACATGTTTTTTTTTTTATTTTGCCTAAAGTGTCTGATATGTACATCCAAATCCAATTTACGGAATTGCCCAAATGTGATATTGCAATTCAAGTCTGCTTCATCCTTCCTATCTCACTTATATTTCATTTCCTTCTCTTTTACTTTCTCCTCCAGGTCACAGACAAATCAGGCCGCCCCATCTTTAATGTCTACTTCAGAGTGCAATTATACGTGGAGCATGTTTCCCTTATCAAGTGAGTGGTTTATATAACACAGCAGACAATGCCCGGCAGTGTATTGGCCCAATCCATTACAATGTTGTGACTGTATTTTTTTCCCCGGAGTGTTTTGAATATCTTTCCAATCGTTCCGATAAACAAAATTCCTGGCGGCAGTTCAGCTAGACAGATTTCAGGATTGTTAGACGTTGTTTATTGAAAGTGCGTGTTACGGTTCATAGATATCCAGGCCCTTCTGAGTTCGTTTGTGGAAGGTTATGGAATGAAATTGTAGATAGTCATTTGACCCCTATAAACTGTACGTGTTTAGAGTATATGATGCTGTAAGATTTGGGAAAGCTAAACTGAATTACTAATTTACTTAACTTTGCATCGTTGCCATTTTACATTGTCTCCATTTTAAACATTGAAGCAGCGTGCATTCCTGACAACCAGAGTCTTACTGTAAATAGATTGATGGAAGGGATATTTCTATCAAGAAAAACGTCTCTGCAGGCTTAACCCTAACCCCCTAAGGCCTTTTAGCCAGGAACCATCCTCAATCCTCCAAAATGCTCCAAAATGTTGCACTTATGTTCAAATGAAGGATACCCACTGCCTCAATCCTTCGAAATCCTCCAACAGCCCTGCCTCTGAAATATGCATTCAGCCTCAATCTTCCAAAACTCTCTTCTTCAAACACCATTCAGCCTCAATCCTCCAAAATCAACTGGTATTGAATGTCCGTGTGCCCTCAATCCTCCACAATCCTCCAAAATTGTATGTTGCGTTCATTCTCAAACTGCTTGGAGGACTTTGTAGGATTGAGGAGGGTTAGGGTTAAAGTTGTTCTCCTTGTGCTATCTTTGAGTTTCATCCCAATGGTACTAAAAAAATGTTTTTTTAATTACTATTTTTCTAGCAATTTTTCTTTTCAATGAATCATTCTGCGTGTTCAGTTATTGCACAATTAGCAATTAGCAATTAGCTTAAAAGGGACTCAATTAAGTTTTTTTTACATAGATGTACAGGGTTGGAGACACCCAAAATAGGATAACTCATGTAGAACCAGGTGTTTGATTGGTGCAGTTGGGCAGTGGAGTGGATGAGGTCAAAGAGACTGTTAATTAGTATTGCTAAAACCACTTTATTTTACCCTTGATTTCACAGAGAGGACATTACGAGGCAGAACTACTACTTACAATTGAAGCAGAATGTGTTATCCGCACCAGTATTATGCCACGAGGATGCCACGTTTATTCTGGCTTCCTACGCCTTGCAAGCTGACCTTGGCAATTACGCTGAGGACACGCATAGATTGCAGTATTTCGAGCCCCGCAAGTACTTTCCGGAATGGGTAAGGAGTCCCTAAAACTAAGGGTTGTCTGATTCCAGCAGCTGAGACCAAATCCGGGGGCGCTTTCTATTCTATCACGAAGGCCCCCTTCAATGGTGAAAGCACTGTGCTAGCTATTGTTCAGATAATCCTTCACGGGGGAGTTACTTTGTACAATAGCGTGTGCAATGGTTTCTCCATTGATGGGGGCCTCGTGACTGTGCAGTGATTACGTGTCCAGATTTGTCTATTGCCACAAATTGAAGCTGCAGCCATATATAACACCTGATTCACACCAGGCATTGGCCATGGTATATATAAGCAGCCATCTTGGTGTAGTTCCCCTAGTTCTCTGTGTGAATTATGATTTGAGTGTTTCATAACAACTAAAGCACTTTTCCTTCATACATTTCGGTGCTCTGACCATTAGAGGATTAAAATCGCAATGGTCTCATTATGATGTTTTCATTATCACCGTTCATACCAGTAGCAGATTGGAGGAGGGGGGGGGGGTGGTGGCAGCCCCATTCAGTTGCTGACTAATGTCATGAAACTAATAAAATGGGGCCAAAAATAATAAACGGAATGCTAAAGTTCATAATTTTTTCTCAAATTGCCTCAGAATGCAGGAGAAAGCATCGTGGATTTCAAATTTTCCCCAGACCTTTGGCACGTCCTCACTCAGCACCCCCCTCCCCCCATTTCCGCTAGATCTGCCCCTGCATACTCATGTTCATTTATCTCCTACAGGTGATCAAGAGGAGAGGGGAGGCCTACATTCTGAAGCATGTCCCGGCAATGCACAGGGACCAGCGCGCGACGACCCGCGTGAACGCACAGAGAGCCTACATCCGAGAAGCATCCAACACTATTGAACACGTCATGCACTTCTACCGTCTCAAAAAGGTGAGCACCCAATTCGCTCTTTTCACACTTCCGCCATGGGCATGCACAGCCTCGATCTAGCAACTTTACACAATCACTGTAGCCGGCTCAGTGATTCCCGTGTCGGAGTTCAGATCACTGAACCGGCTATTTTCATTGTGTAAAGTTGCCAGATCGAGGCTCTGCATGCCCACTGGCGGAGCGTGAAAAGAGCAAATAGGTTGTATGTTTGAGAGAATGACAAACAAACACTGGAAAATCCTGTTTATAGAAGGAATTTCATAACTTTACATACTTCTATTAATCATAGATTGCAAAAATGTCATTTTTGAGCTGCAGCAGTGGCGTAAACACACATCAATAAGGTTTGGTTCATGTCTCTTCATCTTCCCTAAATGGCATTGTCAGAGCCGCTATTCACTCAAGAATAAGGTCTATAAACTTTATCCACGGGTCGGCCATAACAAATTGAAAGCGAGGTAGACTCCTCATTTTCGAAACCTGTGAGTAAAAATAAAAGCAATGAAATGAAAGTTCATTACAAATTAATTCCAGTCTGGTCTGATGAGTAATTTAGAATTGATGATTAAGCATACCTAATGGCTTGGAACGCACTCCAATCATAAACAGGGGTTTGAAATTTCAGCTTTAAAGCTGATTTCAGCTTCTTCTTTTTTTTGGATTTCAGCTTTTTTCCCTCACTTGCTGTGTACAAAAGTATAGGAGATTTCCAAAGTTCAGCTTTTTTACACCTGTTTTTTCCAGCTGTTTTAAGCTATTTTTATCAGTGGTCACTCACACCCGTGCATAAAATAGTCAGGCACCATTCCATTCAACAGTTTACAATTCATAAAATAGATTCAGGGAACATGATCGAAAATGAATGAGTAAGGTCTATAGCTCAAGTTGTTGGTTTTTAGCCTTTCGGTAACCTCTGACATGGCTCTTGGAGTATATACATGCAGTGTTTATAAAATTACCTCAATGAAGGGAGAAACCAAATCTTAAATGCTTCAAAGAAATACCACGCCAAGCCTAAACTTTCTTCAATTTGACGTTTATACTGCTACCTCTTACTTGTACCTTTACAGACAAAAACGGAACTGACGCCTTCAATTTGGTTGGGAATTTCCACCAGAGGAATTCAGTTGTATGAGGTGAGTCATTTGTGCATTTGCGTTATACAGATTCTGTTTCAATTCTTTTTGCACAAATTGGGCCGGCGTGTCGGCATTTTTGTACCTCACTGACTGACTGACTGACCGACGAGCTGGGGTAGTGCTTATCGTATCGACTGACTCCCCACAGCCATTTTCTTAGGTGGCATCAAGCTCCCGCGAGTCGCACTCTGGTAATGCGCACACAGTCCGGGCTCCTTGGACCAATAGGGTTAACAAAGTGCTTGCGTGCCTTATCTTTAAGAAAGCGTGCGACATGAGCGCGGACTTGGTGCCACCTCAAAAATGGCTTCTAATTTTGTTCGCCAAATTAGTCCGTAGGGTTGCAGACCAGTAAATAAATTGACATAGACTTCAATGATAAATGCCCCCACTTGAGAAATTCAGGAAAAATACTCACAACTCTCTGAGGTGTTCAAAACGTACATCAAATTAAAGCCTATTTCGTCATCTTTCAATTGCTGTTCAATTTTCTGGGGGTTAACCAATGACTTTTGGGAAAAAATTTCATCCAAAGATGATCACCCCTAAAAAGCAGTCCTGAAGCCCATCGCCATTTTGAAAATGGACTCCTATGCTCCATTGCAAAATAGAGCCGTATTAGGACCTAATCATCATCCACATTTCGCAGATATACGAGCTCGCAGTCCTCTGCACGGCTTCCAACCTTCTTTTCTACAAATCATCAAGTTCACATCCTTCAAAATGCTCTAATACTGAAGAATTCTGGGCATGCAGATCGTGATTTGGCCAGCGTAGGCAAATTTCGGACCGATTTACTGTCCTGCACCCATAGGATTAACTTGTTGTACCATAAAAGTGCAAAATCCAAGCCATTGTGTGGACCAGAAGCATAAAAAGACTTCCAGTTAATAGCCACTTTGAATCAATAGAATAAAATTGTGCGCACTCTTGGAACAGCTGTATTTACTAGGCGCACATTGATGAATTATTGCCCCACTTTAAAGTTTGGTTGTTGTTTTGGTTCTCATGATCAGGATTCTGGTGAGGGAAAGTACTTGTTGTGTGAGTACACCTGGGGTATCATCAAGAGGCTAGTCTTACAGGTCAGTATCTCTATATGGGCAATTCCACGGTTACTCACGTTACGAAAATGTAACGTGAGTAACCGATTTTGTGCGTCTTGTTTATCATACATAACACATTTTTCTGGATGTCATCTTTGGTGCTTAGGTAGGTCTAGGTCTACTCTATCTACCATGGGGATAACAGTTATTAAACCTTTTCAGTAAGGTAATTACAGCCCAAGGAAACTCAAAAGTACATCAAAAATGTAACGTGAGTAACCGTGGAATTGCCCATATGTAAAAGCGAGGATGAAGAAGTAAACAGGTTTTCTTATTGTAGTGTCAAATCTGTATATGAGACATGCTTCCTACAAAAGTCAGACAAAGTTGACAAATTATGCTTTTTTCGGTTTTGAGTAAGATTTGAAACTTTGCATGGTGGTGGTATGAACTAGTGAAGGTTTGCGGTAACACCATGTGGAAATCTCTTATGGGAAGATGTGTGGTTCTGGAAAGAACCGGTTGGTTTTGGTATTTTTTAGGCTTTTGGCATTTTTAAATAACATCTGTTCTCGGAAATTCAAAAATGCCTAAACCTAAGACACAAAGTTTGTCACATTTATAAAGAAATAATGGAACCGTGTAGTCCATGCTATTTAAGGGACATTTAACAATAAATTACAGATATGGACAGGCAAAGACTTTAACATTTATACATTAGTTTTTTCTTTTGGGACAACAGAAAAAGAAGTTTGAGCTGCATGTGGAGGGTGCAGATGGCAGGAAGATCACATACTACACACACAGTGAAGCCAAGTAAGAGACGACCCACTAGTTTGCATTTTTTTAAATTTTAACTGATTTATATTTCCACCAAGATCTTTTAAAATAGTCCAGGATTCAGCACATTGTTTTGGAAGGATTTCATCGTATCAATAAAAATAATAATAATTGTGCTTATATAGCGCTTTCCATCGTGCCAACAATCTCAAAGCGCTTTACAATTATTACCTCGTTCATCAGGCCATGGGACCACGCGGCAGCCGATATCGGTGCTCAATCGGTCCTCGACCCTCACAGGTATCTATTTATACTCCTGGGTGGAGAGAGGCAATTGTAGTTGAGTGTCTTGCCTAAGGGCACAAACACCATGTTCCTGGCCGGGTTCGAACCCACGCACCTTCATACATGAGTCAAACACCGTAACCACTGGACCATGGCGTTCCGCAAAAGTGACATGGTTCCAACTTTGTTCCCAGGTCGAAGCATCTCCTCCGACTGTGTAAACTCACCCATACCTTCCAGATGCAGACCCAACCTATGGTGGACACGGCTAAGAAGCGGGAGAGTGCAGCTGGTATGTACAAATGAAGTTTGACCTACATGTACAGTCGACTCTCGTTAGTACAAACACTTTTAATACAAATTCTGGTTATAACAAACAGAAAGGCTTGATCCCGACTGAACATTTATGTGCACAATGAATGGGACTGATGCTCCTCTTAATACAAAATTCTGATATAACAAACATTTTGGCCAAGTCCGGCTGAGTTTGTGCTAACGAGAGTCGACTGTATACAGTGGTTTCTTTGTGTCATTTTTCAAAAGTCGGCTTCAGCTTTGGCTTTGTCGTGTACAGTTTCTAATAACTTTGCAGACATTGATGCTGGAAACTGTAACATTTTGCATGAGTTTTAGATGCGATGTTCAGAAGCAGAAAATAGGTCAGGTGCTAAGCCTGCGTCTCCCATGCAAGGAACCTTAATCATGGACATTGAGCCTGGAGCCAAAGCTGGAATGTAAACTTGCTTTGAAAAACCAATGTGGTAACTCTCCAATCTGGGCCCAATTTCATAGCACTGCATAACAGTAAGCAGAAAAGTTGTGCTTACTATAGCAGAAAATCATGCTGCTGCGTAAGCACTATTTCATGTTAACGGTTGCGCGCGCATGGAGATTTCTATAGTTAAGTCACTGATTTAAGCAAAGTTTTCTTCTGGGGTTAAGCGTGCTTTTGAAATTGATGGAGGCTCGGTAAGCACAAAGTTGGCTATTAAGCAGCGCTATGAAATTGGGCCCTGATTCGTTAGTGTGACGTCATCTCAATTCAACCATGCGTACTTCACATGGTGAAGCATAGCATGAATGGAACCGGAAGTTAATGCACCTCGAGTGTTTATCCAATGGGCGCTAGTAATCAGTGGTGTGCGCACGTGAATGATGTTTTTACTAAAGAACCGGATACAGGGTTCGCCCAGACATGGACAATTTTGAAAACTCTAGGGAAAGTCGTGGAGTTTTGATATTTTACAAGGAGCCACGGAAAGTTGATATTCCAAGAAAATAGTCGTGGAAAAGTCATTGAATTCCATTTTAAGATTTCGTTGGGAACCCTGCCAATTGTGACCGGCTCTACAAAAAAAGGGTATTAAGTCGCGCTGAGCATTATTGTGTAATGGCCCGCTCAACATTGAGAGGGTGAACATTTTGTCAAAATGTGATTTTTTTATTTTTTATCATGAATGACATCTTTAATACCTATAGTTAATATAATACAGTTATTATGCAAATACATCATATCTCCAGAACGGGAGGGGCTATGGAGCTCTATTATATACCAAATGAAAGCTTATATTGTGGGCTTTCCAACCATATATATAATCAATTTCACTTTTTTGCGACATAATACCCTTTTTTGTGGAGCCGGTCACAATTAGTATTATATGACAGAGTATCTTTGATGCCAATTTTTATGAAATTTTGATTTGTTCTTATTGCGGTGGTGGAACAGAGAAAAGCAAATACCGGGAGTCGTACATCAGCGGGGACACGTCATGGTCCGACCTAGACAGCTCAATGACGACGACGTCGTTTGGTGAAATCTCAACGGCCAAGCTGGAACTGCAGCGGCAGTCGGTCGTCAGTAACGTGAGCTCCGTCACAACGTCAGGCATTGTGTCAGACGAGAGGTCACCGCTTGAGAAAAGCCTGAGCGAAGGTAAGAATGCCCTGGAAGGGAGACTGTACCTGACCGACTCGCTCACTGACCTTCGCTTGTGAAGTAGACTTGCTTAAGTGTCTCCTTGGTCTTTGGCCAATAAAAGTGAATTGGATTAACGCCAATCGATGGGCTTAATATTACAAGTGTCCCTCATAAATTTTCATTATTGGTCATTGTTTTTATTTACTCGTACAATTTTTTTGTCACAGTTGAGGATGAGTTCCTGTTTAATCCTTCCAATCCGCACGACTCGGCGCTCGGATCGTCCGCATCGCAGCCTTTGGGACTGGCTGAGTCTCACCACTCTAGTTTGTCCTCGGGACTTGGAGAGAGAGGCCAGGCTATAAACAAGCAGCACGGTAAAGCTTTTGAATCGATATTATTGTAAAGATAAAGAATTCTGTGATAATGTGCACTGTGCGTGTGGGTGCTTGTACTGGCAGCTGCGAGTGCGATCTGGTACACGGTACCCTGTGGAGACATGTGCACAATAGGGAACAAAAGATTGTATACGTCTCCACAAAGCATTTTCTGTAGGTGAATACGTCGCCACAAGGTTATCACAAAAAAAATGTATGGATTTTACTCAAAAAGTAGGAATTTCCAAAGTGTGTTGATATGTCGCAAATTGAAGTATTTTATGTAAGGGATATTGAGTTCGAATTTCAGCCCAGGAAATTAACTCTGGTTAAAATAGGAGCATTTTGAAAGTACATTTTCACACTCGAAAACTTTAGTACACGAGAACAAAGAAATGACTCCACAAGGATACAAATTCCAGTATGTTTGCGTGCACGTGTGAAAAAAAGGAAAAATATTGTATTTGCAAAAAAATTAGTAATACAAAAAAATTTGAAGAATGTTTTGAAAGTCAGTCACTGTTTGGTGGTGGAAGAGGAATGTAGTTGAGTCGGAGCGAAGTGTTGGTGGCATAAGTTTCTGGACCATGAAAAGTAATGACTATTTCAGTCACCTCAGTCTCGTGCTTGCATTGGACTTTCCAGATGTCGTCCCTCTATTACTTGCTGTGAAGTCTTGCAGGCTAGGCCCGATTTCAAACGCTCTACCTCAATACAAATTCTGAATAGTAGCTGACCTTTAGTTTTAGTACAAATAAAAAGGTTGAAGCGTTGGTTAAATATTTTGAAAGAGATTTTGTGGATTTTTACTTTTTTAATTTGGATTTGGGGTTTTCTCGGGGACTTTAATATGTTGTAGAGGAAACCCCGGGAGCGCGCATGGTTTCAGTCTTATTTCCCTTGGCCCAATATCATTATCGTGTTTTCAGTGTAGCACAGAGAATTTTTGATTTTACATCTTTGTTACCTTTAGAACCACTTTGCTGTCTACCTTCCTGCAAATTTTAGTGGTTCCTACTGAAATTACTTTCACACTAGCTGTAGGGATATGATTAATTTAATATTTTTTTCTTTTTTTCTGAGGTTTATGGTTTTTATTGCAAATTTTGCTACAGGTGGTCAATTAAGCAACCGATGTTCAGCAGCAGTGTCGGAGACGTCCAGTCATCGCAGTGGCCCTGAACCAACCCCAGCATTTGTAGGGGTCTGGAGTGACCAACAGCCGACGGAGGCACCAAGGAGCTCGTCCTCTGCCGGTCATTCCAACAGGCAGAGCAGGAACAGCGAGCTGGGATGGCTGTCGGACGACGAAGCCAAGCGAGAGGCTAGCAGCCAATCGTCGGGCTCCCGGCCAACCTCCAGGCACCTGACCCTGATTGACACTCAGATGATCCAGGCTGAGATTGCCAGCAAGGACGTCCCGACTCCACTGCTGAGTGCCCTCTGCAACGACCGCTCCCTGCTGATGATGCAACAGCAGCAGATGATGCAAGGGGACGAAGATGAGGATGAAGACGACGACGACGAAACCACAACTCAGGATCAGAGTCGCTTTGGAGATCTGGAGTCCTGCCGGACCCCCAGCAGTCAGAGCTCAATGCATGAGGTCCGGGCGAGTCAGGACCTGAACATGTCCGTCACCACCCTGGTCAGTCACAGCTCCATTGATTCGGACATGCATGGATCCATCGTGGAGCATCACCACGCCAACTCCTCCAGCCTCGTTGCATCCCCTGTCCGAGAGGACTACTCCTCGGGCCTGCTGACCAAGCACCAGACTCTTAACACGCTGAACGACCTCACAGACCCAAGACGCTACGACTCGCGGTTACCGTTCGGTGAGGGTGGTAGCGACGGGAGGATCAAGTGTCAAACTTTGCCCATTAAGATGAACGCTAGTGAGCAAATGCTTAAAATGGGTAGGGATCCGGTCATCAAGGAAGAATGTGTCTCCTTATCAGCACCTAATTTGTCACCAGGTGCCGATCAAAACGAGATCCCCATTTTGCTGTCTTGACAGTGACATTTGGTCATTTCCTTGACGGGAGATTTGCAGGATTTAAAAAACAAAAAAAATGTAATGCTAATTTTATTTTGAATCTACTAATAATTTGTTTCAGAGACGCTCATCCCTGGAGAAAAAAAACCACATGCTGTAGAATCTGAACACAGATGTTAATCCAAATGTCACAGTGTCTCTGGATGTGACAGTCTGGGGATGAACTACTTGAAAGATTTGCCTCATTCAAATCATACTTCTCTTCCTTATCTTGAACCTTACCCAAAGCAGCTATCCTAAAGAACAGTGCTTTTGTTCCATTAGAATAACCATGCTTAGAATTTTTTTTGTTCATTCGTTGTTATAAGGCCGATTCGGACTTCTTGCAAATTTGTAAAGAGTATTCCGCAGTGAAATATGCCACACTTGAAATGTGTTCAACTTTTGCAAAAATCGCTTTGAGCAATTCTTCAATGATGTCACGATTTCATGTTTGCGTTGGCTTGCACTTTAAACATGAACTGGCCGTTACTAAATTCAAGTGGCAAAAAAAAAGCCCAAGATGGCTGCAATGCATGCGTTCTACAACTCTTGCACACATTAAAGGTAGGGTAGATCATTTGTCATTTGTGCATTTTTTTTTTCGTTTTAAGCAACAAAAGTGCTCAAAATCTAAAGATGGGTGCTTAACAACTCACCTGATGAATTTTTAGCTCTGTGTACGCTGTGTATTCCGAGCAAAACAATATTCTAGGATCTCGTTTTCAATTCAAACTTTGCCTCGTCATGTTTTGAATTCTTGATTAGATTCATCTGATTGTGGATGATGTATAATTCAAGAAGAAAGTGTTATTTTTACACAATCAAACTTACGTTTTTTTCTTGATGCTTCGAGCAACTTTGTTGCCCTTCGTTGTTTTGAATTGCGTCCGAAATCAGTGTCCGGAACACGTTCTGATTCAGCCAATTGCAGCTACGCCGTGTCACACGCTGAACTGCCGAATAATAGCAACCGCCCCTGCGTGTGCGTGGTATAAACGCTCGTGCGTACCCATTCACAGATGCCCCGAATTACAAACCAACTACTAACGGAAATTTCCAACAATGCATCACTTGACACATCATTGGAAATGGCCTTCTTTGATTGTTTTCTTCAAAATGACAACATGCCAGAAAGAATAGTTTCACAGGGAGTTTAGTGCCATTACCATCTTTAACCCAAGTAAGCTTTTTATCAATAATTTTTTGATAAATTTTTTTGGATAGCTGAAAATGATATACATGTACTCTACCTTTAAACCAAGCGTGCAAGCACAGTTGGTTGGTTACCACCAAACAAATTCCCTTGGAAATATGTACATAGTTTAGCTGGCTGTCGGCATCATTTTCAAAACAAACAATTGCTCAGCAGCCTCTTGTATGTTGGTTCTTCCGTCTGTCGCAATCGTCTTCCATCGCAAACCTTTGTGGTCTCTCCTCAAACAACTCTGTGCATGCTTGAAGCTAGACACACTTCTTTAGAAAATTTCAGAAATTATGTGTTACTTCTGCCTGAAACAGTAAAGACTTTAAGACAAATCTTTACCTATGAAAGCATTAATTAACATTCCGTCCCAATCATGCCAATTGCATACATGTAGTTCCTGTAAAGTGTTCGTTTGAAGATGTTGTATGTTGAAATAAGGTGTATTATCATCGGTCGAGGAATACTTCAACTTCTGCTGAGTGAGCACATGCTCGCAGGGCAAAAAAGCTCAATGGAAAATCTGTGTGAAGTGATGGTGGCATTTTTGATGTACAAACAAACCTTTTTTTCTTTTTTTTTTGGAAACTTGGGTCATTTTTTAATGATATTTGAAAAATGTTATGTCAGTGTAATTTATTTTTTAAAAACAATGTTTAACATTTTGGCAAGTGAAGGGTAATTTGTTGCACTCCAACTCCCAAAAGCCACCCCAACAGCTCCCTCTGGTTGTTTGAAATGTGGCATGATATGGTTTGGTGTGATATTTTGACCTGGTAAATTGTCACGTACATGTTATGTACAGGACTCTGTCAGCAGAGCTGTAATAAACCTCGGTACTAATGACATCCTTGGTTGTTCTGCCTCCCTTATGGATATCTCTCAAATTACATCAATGCCTACAGATTTGGTCATGTGCATCGGCATTTTGGGTGTCAAATTTGTGTGATGTGCATCAGCTGTGCCATATTAAGAAGAAATTTTGAGCAACATGCATGCGTGTTTAGAACAATGTGCACATTGCGTGCACGCGTATCTGATGGCATTGAATGCGCAGTTGTAATATTCCTACGAAAATGGCTGTCTATGAGAGAGGTCTATGGTTTGCCTATATTCTCCTGCACACTCGTGCGTCACACTTAACGCAACAACCCTACTGATATGCACGTCAGTGGCAGATCCGGAGGGGGTGGGGAAGGGGGGGGGGGTGTTGACCCCTATGTTAACCTGACATCTATGCTCTGGGGGCTATCAGTTTGGTGTACCTGGGCTGTGGGCACCAGGGATTTCAATCACCACTAATTAATATCTCCATGAAATAGGGACCCAACCTTTCACTGACACTGCAATGTTGCAAAATCACTTGAATTTCATACTGATTGTAATGTGTGTAAAGTAAAATTTGTCGTCGTAATGTTGATGTAATTGCCTCATGGTCACTGTCAGTATTTGATTTGTCTTAAAATAAAATTTGACCAATAAAATCCAGATTGAAATTTGCATGCATCACTTTCAACATGCATGCAGATATCGGATGAGTATTGAACAGGGTTTGTACAAAAACTATGTATACGATTTTTTAACAAATAAGTCTAACAAACATTTTTCTTAAACGTAAAAAAAAAATAGGCAAATCTGGTTAGCCTGGGTTAATGGAGTGGCATATTTTATATGATATATATTCTGCAATATATACTTATATTTTTATCACCAAAATATGTCCTTTTTTTGCAGAACTAAATGAGATATGACAGCTTTGAGCATTATAAACTCTTGTATTATCCAACGTATGGTTTTAACAAGTTTGTAATGTATGCTGTTATTGTTCAAGCAGATGTATTTTATATTCTCATGACTAAAAAAATCAGAATAAACCAGAAACCATTGATATTGGAAGTTATGTTGAAGTTGTTTGTTGTTTTTTTTGGGGGGGGGGGGGAATTTCAGGATTTTTTAAAAATGAATTTCGTTAATGAATTTTGTTTTAGTCACATCATTAATGTGGGTTGGTCCTCTTCGCAAAGTCCCACTTTGGGTGAAATTATCTTCAGTTGTTAGTTGAGCTATGACTTCGGAAAAATAAAGTGTCCACGCCAAAGATTTGTTTGAAACATTGAAATCAAAATTTAGTTTTTAGCAATGCTGGCTGCACTCTGACAAGTGAGGGCGCCATTACGGCGCGTGTGTTAAAAAAAACTGCATAAAACGTACTGAGCTCAGTGCAGTGAGCTAGCTGCATGCTGCATGCGCGCGCCTTGCTGCGGTGACATGATGAGAACGTCGAGGGATCGGTTCAAGATAGGTCGATCGTCAGTTTGTTTTAACCCCTTAAATATAAGTCCCAAAAATAGACTTCCTCTTTAATCTGATGGACCCCATCCGCCAAATCGTATTGAAAATCTGCGTTTGTTTTTACTTTGAAATATTACATAGGCGGCGCGGAGACACTACTCCACATTCATGACATTTCTTAGCCCCACTTGTGTGGCCTCGGTATTGCATGCTGCGCTGCACGTTCGGCCACACACCTGCATGACTAGACCCGTGAACGTGGCGTTACAAGCCACGTTCACGGGTCTACTGCATGACCTGGTTTTCCAACCTACTGAGGAGTTTAGTCCAAACACTGGCGAACCTTTTTGGAGCATTTTTTACATACCACTGCATGCGGTTGTCATGGTTGTATGATTTCTCATCTTTTGCCCTCCGGGTAGATTAGGTTATCTTTCTTCAAAATTCTCGAGAAATTTAGACATCTTTCTGAAGTCCATATATGCGCCAGTTTTGGACTAAACTCCTCAGTAAGTTGGGAAATCAGACGTGTGGCCTAACGTACAGCACAGCAATACTGAGGCCACACAAGTGGGGTTACATATTTCTAGGGAATTTGGCCTGGGACGACTTAACCTGTATTTACCTGTGTTCTCCACCTCACCAAGCTAAGCATCTTCGCCGTGACATGGAGGACGACGGAGAAGGAGCAGGCTACCCGCTGGCTCATAAATGCTCCCTTTCTATGTCGAAGGATTTAGCCCAACTGGCCCTTGAAATTATTGACTGTTTTCACTGACAGTGACACAGCTTCAGGAGGCAAACTGTTTCTGTCGATGATTCTTTGAGTTTGAGTAGGAAAAGCTGAACTTCCGGATGTCGAGACAAGAGCTGCTTGTTGTAGATCTTAAATTGATGTCCCCTGGGTTGTAGAGTTACTGAAAGGGAAGAAGTCGCTTGCCCTTAGTCGCTCCATGCCATGTGCAATTTTGAAGACCTCGAAAAAATTGATAGGTGCATTAGGCTTAGCTGGCGGGCGGCGGCTTTGCCATTTTCCGAAGCTCAATTTGGAAAGAATGTTAGATCCTGGCGCCACTTTTTTCATCATATATTATCTCAATGAAGGTCAGTCATTGCAAAAATGTTGAAAAGACTTGAATCTAGGACTGAGAAACATTTCCAATTTTGTTAGAAAATACTTTGAAAATGCACTCGACTCTCCATAGACTTTACATTCTTTCCTGTCTAGTTATCCTGTAATTTTCACGCGAAATTTGCAGAGAGTTTGTCCAAAAATGGCAGTAGTATTTTTCTCAAGGTAGTGGGTTAGGTACGGAAAGAATATTGCATCCTGACGCCACTTTTTTCACCATATATTATGTCAATGAAGGCCAGTCATCACAAAAATGTGGAAAAGACATGAATCTGGGACTGAAAAACATTTCCAATTTTGATACAAAATACTTGCAACTCTCCATAGACTTTGTGCACAACCAAAGAAGTGGCATCTGGATACTGCTTTATTTCCTCAGGAACCTTTTGATATTTCAGTTTAGTTTCCCCTGAACTGAAATATTCCTATATAGCATACATTTGTATCTCACTATGTAGTGCATATTTGTTTCATTTCGCCGACTGCAGCAACATCATTCATCAAGATAATGAAAGCCCTTTGGAGGTTCTTCTGTCCTTGGATGCCATGCAATCATCAACTGGTACATCTTCAAGGACTGGGAAGGCAATCTCATCAGTTCCCAAGATGGAGGTTGGTGAGATGTTGCAGTAGCAGCAGCAAGGAACCAGGGAGTTTCATCTGGCCGGCAGCCAAGCGACAAGCCAGGCAGACTGTCCATCATGGACAAAAATTGGTGGACCATTACACATGGATGCAGGCTGGATTAACACAGGTAGTTTAGTTTGTTCATAGACCATTTACGGATACTGCCATCTTTGTGGTCACAAAGGGACATTTCTATAGAAATACATCACGACGTTGTATTATCCTGAACGTGATGGGACGTAATTCTATTGAAATTCCCCCTGAGATTAACACATGACCACAAAGATGGAGGTACTGGTATGTGTGAATCAGTCAATGCAGACCTAGGTCAATGGCGTTGATGGCTGACTGGTATTGATTCCAAAAAAATAACTTAAACTTTCCTGGACAGCCAACACAGCATGTATATGGTCCTGGAAAAAAAATATTAATGATACAAAGCTAATGATTGTTCAACCTGAGACTTATTCCGTGTTCACATTGGACTAATTTTATTGTGGGATTTCACCGAGATGATGGTAAAATCTGAAAGGGTAAAATTGTGTTTATCAAGCCTGTGTAGTGTTGCCTTCGTGCATTGCCTAGATGTATGGGCTCCGTTCACAAGTACTCCTTCAACGGCCAGAAAAGGAGAGTTGGAGAAGACCTAGATTGGTTCCCGGTCCATCCAGTGCATATTTTGAATGATCCAAAGTTATTGGTGGGGATTAGTGGGAGACCATCGCAAGTTAAATTCAAACTTATTCGCATGTCGACGACACCTGACGCTCACGCGAAGACGCTGTGGCTAATAGCTTTGGCACATTCAGGAAGTCATCCATACTTCGCGTCGAACCAGTACAGTACAGTATACAGTACACGCGAGCAGAGTGTTCCGTCCACGGAGCTCTCAAAAGTGGCAAAAACGCGCCCTCTTTTGTTGGTGCACGGAGCCCATAGCTTTCCAATGCTGTTTAACCCACTCTCACTGTAAGTGTCTGCACTGGCATTTTCATCTCAGGAAAATTGACCTGGTCACTTTTACTGGGCAAAGTTTGGCCAGTAAAAGTTACCGTTGGATTAGGGAAAAGTAACTGAGAGGAAATTCTCCTGGGGCCAATTTCACGGCGCTGTTAAGCACAAAAATTTGCTAAGCACAAAAAAAGTTTGGCTTATAAAAGCAGGTTACCAGCCAAAGCTTTATGTGATTTTCATGCTAAGCAAACAACAGCTGAATACCAATCACAAGCAATATACGTCACATGAAAATTTGGTTGGTAACCTGCTTTTATAAGCCAGACTTTTTTTGTGCTAAGCAAATTTTTGTGCTTAGCAGCTCCTTGAAATTGGCCCCTGGGCTGTTTGCACTGGACTTAAAATGAGAAAAGTAATCATGATTTCAGTGAGTTTTACTCGACCGCACCATCCAATTTTGTACACAAATGTCACATGGTCTATATCCGGAGAGATAAAATTCAAAACAGAATTTAGATGAAGATTTTGATGATTTAATGTTGTAAAGTTGCTCTCTCCTTAACCCTAACCGCCTTGAATCCTTCAAAATCCTCCTTGCCAAAGTGGAGGAATTTGGAAGATTGAGGTTACATGGCAAAAGTGCGTTACTTATTTTGTAGGATGCACTTTGTTAAGGTCTTGGGCCGGACCTTGGGTTGTTTTTGCTCAGCCATGCATAAATTTAGGCCTGAATTATGCTTTAAATCCTCCGTACTGCTTCAGGATGTCACTGGCCAAACCTCAACATACTGACAGTCACTGCCGCAGGATTTTGCAGGATTCAGGCAGTGGTCACTCCTCCAAGGACCATATTCAAGACAAAATGGAGGAATTTGCAGGATTGAGGCTATGCTATTTTTCCATGAGGCCAATTGGAGGATTTTGCAGGATTGAGGCTACATCCTAGCAAAAAGGCCTAGGGAGTTAGGATTAGCTAATCATTCGTTATCATTCTTTTGTCTTGTTAATTGCAGGATGTTCAGAATTACATTGATCAAGAATCAAGGTAAATTTCTCATGTTTCCATGGGAACACCCTAGGCCTATACCCATGCGCATGCTACAAATTTTGACAATCGCTCGTACCAACTGCCAGTCCAGAGGTGCTGATGGCAGCTGATTTCTCTGATTGGATACATTTTGTATAGCCCATGACCCTGGGTCAACATGTAGCCTCAATGCTTGGCGATGCCTGCCTTTCCTTCACAAACTTTTGCGAGAAAGATTAGTTACAACCAAAGCTTGATCCTAGGCCTGTGTCTGTCTGAAACTCCATTGTCCTTAGTTCGGAATTTTGGGAAGTTGAACATGAACTGTTAGTTTAAAGGGAATATACAACATTTGCAAACATCAAAAAACAAAACTTCCAAATTATTATGAAATACCTTACTGGACTGTTAGTGAATGACAGTCTAAAGTAACCTGTAAAATCATGGCACCTGTTGTAATGTCATTTTCAAGAACCAGTTTTTTTCAAACACTGCCCCTAATTTACTATAGTTAGTTAGTCTGCATTTGATACACACCTATGAACGGGTACAAGCCAGCTAGACTGGTTCCCTGACCTTACAGTTAATTTCCTGACGTCTATAAATTGCTCCATTTCATCTTAAGCTGGGTCAGGGAACCAGACTGCAGGAACGTGATTGTTTTTCTTGGTTTTTCCAGCATCTACGAACACAAAACTTCAGACAAGTCAGCGTAACAATATTTGCTATAAAGCTACGAACCCCCAAATCCATCCATTTCTGAAAATTACAGCAACAGCAAATGTTGTATATTCCCTTTAAGACGCCCCTTTCTGTAATACCTAGAATAGCTGTTGTAAATAAACGCACTTTAATCGCATATCATTTTTTGTAATTATAGAGGGTGTCTCAAAATAAAGTATACATATTTTAAAATGTAAATTATCAGAAATATACTGAATATTTTAGAAAGAGGCAAGGGTGTCTCAAAATAAAGTATGACAATGACATAATAAATCAATCTTAATGGATAGAGGACATATCCTGCAGGATGTCCCCTATCCAATGATATTAATTTCATTATGACATTGTCATACTATATTTTGAGATCTCTGTGCTTTCAAAGAAATCTTACTTGTTGTTTTGTTTGTATGAATTGGATTTGTCATAATAAATAACCTATGTCAAAAATAAATCAAAATTTCAGGATGGTGGAAACCTTGACTCACGAGACCCAGGACTTCCAGTCATGGATCATGAGGCAGCTGGAAGATTTAGAGAATGAAAGTAAGACAACAGAAATGCCAACAGTAAGTTCAGTAAGGCCAAAAAAAAAAAATATTCGGTCTCTGGTCAGACCAAAGTTCCGGAATTGACGCGGGGACGCGGCTTTTTTTTTTTTTTTTTTGGCTTTTTATTTTTTTCTTCAAGCTTGGATTGTACAGACAAGGTGGGGTATTTTTTTGCTTTTTTTGGTGTCCTCATGTAGGTGTCCTCCATAATTTGCCTTTTGTTCTCGATCATTTGCCTTGGTGCAATTTCCCATTCCTTGGTGCTCTTTGGTAACAAAATTTGAGGAGGTGCGGCAATAGAGGGCGCTATTGGAGCTACCGCGGAACATTTTGGAAAAAAAAAGATTGACGCGCATGATTAAAATCGACGCGCGCGCTGACCAGAGACCGACTTATTTTTTTTTGGCCGAATATATGGGTCCTTCTAAACATTTGGGGTTCAGTTTTTGTCCTGTCCCTGTTACATCTGACACTATGATGTTATAATTATGATGCACTCCTTAACCCTCCTGCTATTTAAACAGTCTCAAACAGTCGACATTTCCATCCGCTTCTCCTGCTATACTTTTAACACAGGCTAGTCACCAGCAGTCAGATCATAATATCAAGCAAGCACTGTGACTAGTCAAACTCAGTCAACAGATCACGAACAGACAAAGCAGGCAAGTTGTGGCACAGCTGGCTTATCAATTACCCACAGCCAAAGCAAAGCTGTATCGAGTTACATAAACAGTCACGGCCAGTCAATCTTGGTTTGTGTAGGATGGGAATTCTTCAACTTAACCGCCTCAAATCTAGTGCCAGGTGTTACAGTTTTCTCAATAGAACTGCAAAACTGTACTGTTACTTTACAAGGACCCTGATGTTCCAGTTTTGTTTGAATGTAAAAACAGAGTGCCATTTGTGTAAAAAACTGCATAGTTTATAAAGTTTCTGTAAACTGCTCACTAACTTGACATTGAACCTGATATATATAATTTGCAAAAGTTATTAGAGCCTGAACTTTTAATCCTAGCAGAATCCTTCTCTCTTTTGCCTTTGAGAAAGATTTTGCAAGATACGTAAAAAAAAAAACGTATTTCCGAAATTTTTCTAATATGATGGTTTGGAATGGTTTTAGGTTAGCTTAGTCAAGCAAGTTGAGCAGGATTGTTATCAATCATCGTGAATGCTTGTCACATGTTTTCTCTGGGTTGTTTATTAGGTGATGAATGGAGTTGTTTATTTCAGAAGATTTGAGAGTGACTCCTGGCATTATTACAGAAGGCAGACCATGGGTGAGTGAGAGTTAATTGGTTACAATCTTTTGATGTCATCTTTGTCACCGTGATCGCCAAACTTATTGGGTGTCAATGTTACTGTCGGAATGTTATTGTCACTGTCATAATCCAATCCTCGTCAATTTTTTGTCAATTTTTTTTCTATTTTCATCATCAGCATATGAACTTTTAACATAAGGAACGTAGTGCCGTCCAAGAGCTTGCAAGAAAAAATTACTTTACCTCATACATTTTCATGAGTGAGAGACAATTCTAAATGGTTCATTCACCATAACTTGTCAGCGGCTAGTTTTGCTATTTACCACGTGCACATACAAGGATTTACACACGGTAACTATGCATGCGCAGTCAACTATCGCAGGGGTTACCTGTGCAGTAGTCTACTAAACTTGTGCTTTACTAGGACGGTGGAAGTCGCACAGGGGTGGTACACATGCACAAACATCGCCCTAGGTACATGACAAAATGACAGCACATGCTCATTAACATTTTTCCGAATTTCTGATGTGTAACTCGACAAAATTGTGGTGAATATGTATGAGGTACATATATAGTAAAGCAAATACAAATGTATAGACAGAGTATATTTTGGGTGGATAGTCGATATCGGCTCCCCTTGGAATAATAAGGGGAGCTAATAATCTACTATCCACCCACAAGCCATGTTATATTTGTATAATATAAGCTTATATTGATGGGACTCGAACCCACAACCTCCTGCTAGAGTAGACGTCCCAACCACTCCTGAGCTTTCTTGGGTCAGTTGGCAGTTTGAATCTGATTGAGATAGCATATGCTTATTAATTAATATCAGTTTCAAGTCCTAATGGTCAACAAAAGAGCTGGTCAAACTGTGGCAGAAAAGTATTGCTAACCTAATTACTGTTTCACTGTCTAGATGTACGAATGCTTGCACATACATGGAGGTTGATGTTGTTGCATTATTATTCTATGACAAGTCTACGCTGAAGGCAGCTCACTTTTGGCTGTGTTTACCGATTATAGTCTTTGCAAAATGGACAACGATTCTGGTTGCAGTAGAGAGTGTGCTAAGCAGTGCCATGAAACTTCTCCAATGTTCCAGGAAATTGATGTTTTTTCTTCCTGCCTCCTCACCCCTTCACACCCAAAGATAAATGCTCGTTTATTTTTTTCTCCCCAAAGGGAACAGTAACACGGATACTGCAGAGCATATTCTGGACACGGCTTCGCTTACGGAGTTGTATGGCTATCCTGTAGTCCTCTCAACCGTGACGATATCGCCTGATCAGAACTACATGGCATTTGTAGTGGAAACGTCGGCATCGGATACCTATGACGCCCACATTTTTCAGCTTGGAAAGAATGGAGCTGAATTCGTTGACAGGCTGAACAATATTTTATCTGTTGGTAAGAAATGACATTTTATGGGTTTTTTTCTGCATGCAACATCATGGTCTGTGTAGGAACATATCTGAGCATGGACAGGCAAAAACGGCAAATAGTCGAGTACCTATAAATTGAAACAAATTTACCAACACTGCGAGATGTGTGTACTTGTGCTTGGAAGCCTATATTGGCGTTCTCTGAATAGAACAATACGTTCAGGCATGCAGCTTTTCCTCGGATCAGCTGATTTCCTCTTTTTTATTCCCATTTCTGTCATTCAAAATAGAAAAACACTGTACAAAGTCTTATGAATTTTGAAATTTCCTCTTTTTTTGTGAATGTACAGTTGCATGCTTGTACATTAGACTCTGCCCAAACATGTTTTGACCAATCAAAGCTGCATGAATAATATCCGATATATATGTGTACAAAAGTCTGGCATGCGTGCACGAGCATATGTCGTGTGTGGCTAGAACATGCAGTGTGGTACACGTGGAGATGTGCACGTGGCGCACATGGAGATGTGGTGCACGTGTACATGGTCAGTCTATTAACCCTAATGGTCTATAGGGAGTTAGGGTTAAATTTCCAAATGCCTGTTTACATAGTGCATCAGCAAGGAGCTATGTGTTGTGTTAGGAGCCATATCGTCACCGACACCACGAAGTAACACCCATCTACATACCAGTAAAAACTAGCAATCGGAGAAAACGGCAACTAAAGTTGAACGCCTTCTAAAACAACGCTTTGCGTCAAAACGACAGAGTATTTTCAGTTGGGTTTCTCGTTGTGGACACTTGATGAATTGAATTTATTAAATCTGCTATTTTTCACTCGTTTGTGTATTAAATAAACAAGAAATAAGAGAAAAAAGATGAGTGTTAGTTCGTGGAACCGAAAAAGCTGCGAAACTGTAAATTTTCGTTTTCACGAAGTAACACTCTTCAATGTATTTAAAACGAGGAAAGTGCAACTTCAGGTCAGCGCGCGCGCGCTCATACAACTTGTTACAAGAAGAGTGTTACTTCGTGAAAACGTTTTTGCTCACTTATGAGCAGAGTGCGCGCCATGCATTGCAATGGAAAATGGAACTTGAGTGTTACTTCGTGAAAACGAAAATTGTCACTTTTGCGCAAAAGTTGCCATGGATACTTAGCGTAATTATTAAAGTAAAGCTCTTGAAGCTTTGAAACTTCGTGCAATGGTAGGCCTTGATGAATAATGTTTAAAAATCCAAAAAACTGAAAATCGAAAAAAATATGCTTTAACACGGTAGAGTGTTACTTCGTGGTGTCGGTGACGATATGTTGTGTTTCTGCAGAGTTGTAATGACTCGAGTCCGACTCGAGTCACAATTTTTGGCGACTAGACTCGTCTTAAGTCCCAACAGGTAACTGACTCAACTCGACTCTAGTCACTGCGAGCAACTGACTCGACTCAAGTCCCGCATCAAAAGACTAGACTTGACTCAAGTCGAAGGCTAATAGCACTCAAGTCCCAAAACTGTGCGAAAATATATTTGTGGTACCTTAGGCAAAAAAAAAAGTCTCCGGTTTCTGGTATGCACGCACGTCGCCGTAGCCATGCGTGTCGGCAAAATGAAAAAGGTTTTTTTTCAATGAAAGATGATGTCTCAAAACCGCCAAACTCACTGGTTTGACTGGAATCCTGCTGCTGCACAATTTTAACGTGTTTTTAGATTGGGTTATGGTCGAGAATAAGCTTTATGTGGCCTCTCTGGACTCCCATATATTTGCACTAAGTTTAGTCGGGCACCATTTGCAGTCATCAGCCGACATTTGAAGCAAAAAAATCAGGTAAAAAAAAAAAAAGCCGCGTCGCCGCACCACTTTTTGGGCAAGCTCCATACCAGAAACCGGAGACTTTTTTTTTTGGGCCTTAGGAGCCATATGTTGTGTTTCTGCAGAGTTGTAATGACTCGAGTCCGACTCGAGTGAGAATTTTTGGCGACTAGACTCGACTCAACTCAAGTCCCAACGGGTAACTGACTCAACTCGACTCGAGTCACTGCAAGCAAATGACTCGACTCGAGTCCCTCATCAAAAGACTTGACTTGACTCAAGTTGAAGGCTAATAGCACTCAAGTCCCAAAACTGTGAGAAAATATATTTGTAGTTACTTATGGAACAAAGTTATTATGTTCGCATTACCGTCAAGCCATTTATCATGTACAAATGTACACCATATCACTCGACTTGGCCTTCTTCACCTAATGACTCGACTCGACTCGAGTCACTTCCTTAAAATGACTTGACTCAAGTCTTAAAATGTAGTGACTGGATACAAATCTGGTTTCTTGGGTTAAAAAATGGATGAATACAACAGAGTTGTAAATTACACAAGTCAATTACAAGTCATCCAGTCTCTCGTCAAGTGACAAGGTATTCAAATGAACTGTGGAGGAGGCATTCCTTTGTCATTTTTCTGCCCCCGTTTCTTGAGACCTGATTTTACTTGTGACTGACTCGATTGAAACTCTGGAAAATGATCAAGTAAGTAAACCCAATGAGAAGTGGGGGCACTTCAGCATCACATGATGCTTTGGCAAGTTAAGTAATCATTACATTTCTTGCAAATCATATTCCTAGAATTTGCCCACCATGGTGTCTTGTACTACACCAGGATGAAGGGTTTGAGAGCAGGCCACGTCTGGAAGCATCAAGTTGGTCAAGACGTGTCCCAAGATAAGATGATACTGGAGGAACCTGATGAAAAGTGAGACCTCCAAACTATTCACGTACAATGAAATTCAGTCATTTGTTTGCCTCATTCAACTCAAATCTTCATATCTTTTAAAATATGACTCTGTTGGGTTTTCATGGCTACAGAGCTGCAGAGCAATATGATCAGGTTACACTTTTATACACTCGGATTCAATTTTTGTCAAAATTTAATAATAACAATAAATGGTGCTTTTTAACGAAAATTAAAGCACTGCACATTATAATGTAGTAATGAGTTATTGCAGTGTTGGATTTTGCAACTTTTTTTTAAGTGTCCCTGTAAAAAAGGTTTGACATCGGAATTTATAAAGATATTAATTATGTGGGTGACTATTCCTAAACATTTAGATGATTGTTTAGGAGACAAATTATTTAACAGTTGTTCTGGCAACTTGTGCCTCATTATGATGGGTTTGGTCACAACTAGGCTAAGTACCCTAATTAACGAGTCTGGACGAAGTGCCCCTATATCAGGTATTCTTTGTCATGCATCAAAGAACATCAGTGCCAAGTTTCATGACTTTATAGCAATTTGCATTCTGGATTTATAAAGAGAGGGGACTATAGTGTCAAATCATTAAAATGAATGCCCTCAGACGCTCGGAACCTTGCCTGTTCCCTTTTCCCTCAGATACTTTGTGGACTTGTCCCATACCAAAGACAGACGTTACATCACTATCAACCTCAACTCTACCACTACCTCAGAGGTGCATCTGCTAGACAGCCTGGACCCAGACGCAGCTGCCAGTCTAGTATGCCCCAGGCAGGCCGGGGTGCAGTACTTTGTGGAACATTGCCAGGGTTTGCTGTATGTTCTGACCAACGCCGGCGACGATAATGACGGAGAATACAGAGTAAGGCCAAAATATTAGAAACGTTTTATGTGTGATGTATTCTGTTAACTCTCCTACTCTGTGCGGCTTGGAACACTGTCCAAAAATATTCCTCTTTTTTTTCCATTTTGTATCGTGGTAGTGTCATGTGTTTTTTTTTGCCCACATTGCAGGCCCTTGATTCTCCCCTTTCAAGCAAGCTGCATGCTCTCTTCCTTGTTTTCTGTGAAGTGGACCATGCCAAAGGGGAAATCCACTGTGGTTGCAATGTAGTTTGTGAAATTAAAGTACAGTGCTATTTTTATGACTTAAGCTGTGGAACCCATGTGGGTGTACGTGTTCAAGGGGTAAAAATAAAATGCACGATGTAAGGCAAAAACAAAAACAAAAACAAAAAAGTGCTGTTACAGTATCGCCCTAAAATTATCCAGCTATAATGTAGGTAAGAAAATAGTTTCATTTTTGTAACTTATTTCGTGTTTGTCTGTTGCTAGTTACTTTTCTCTAGGGTACCATTGACATTATTCTGTTTAATTAACCTATTTAATTAACACTAACAACCCTGCAAAGTGACCTTTTTGATTTTAAAACTATATACGTTATTTTGAAACAAAAATGTGGCCAAATATGGAAATAAAATTTTCTGAGTTTGGCAAGTTGGCCGCAAAAAAACAAGGTGTTTGTGGCTCAAGTGGTCCACACTATGGGAACATTGTGTCTGTTAACTTTACGTAAGTGTGGAAAATTTGAAGTAAGAACATTTCGAAAAATGGTGATTACAATGTAAATTAAATCAGTGCTTCAGTAGTCGGTAGATGTAACGGGAAATGCACCAACCCGAAAGATCTTATGGTTTATCAATTTTTGAATGTAATTTTTTTTCCAACAGCTAGTGGCCTGCCCAGTTTCAGAGCCAGGCAACCTGAGGAGTCTGACGTCGCCAGGCTGTCGCATCATTTACGCGCCGGGGAAGACCTGGCACATACAGGACATGGATGTGTTTACAGATCACTGCGTGCTCTGTGCAATGGCAGGCACTTTGCCAAGGATTGTTGTAATACCAGCAGATGCCAAGAAACGGCCAACAATTGTTGAGGTTTTTGAATTATTCTGCTACTTTGACATTCTTTAAAACCAAAACTTGAAAGGCATTTTTTTTGCGACAAACAGGCCAGTTTTTAGGTTTATATTATTATTTATTCTTTTTTTTGGGGGGGAGCAAACAAACCTTCCTACTTCATGTTTTTTGGGTATTTACAATTTTACTTCTGTACGCATGGCCTCGTGATGTGTACAAACTATTATGATGATGGTCGTTGATGTGCACACCAAACAACCTTCGTTACAATAAGTATTCAACTTGGGTATGAAACGGCTCTCAGACATGCACAAACCATTTCTTGAGTTAAATGTTCAAATGGAAGCTACATTTGATAACTGTTTACCATAATTTATGAATAACAGAAGTAATGAACAGCCTTGCAGTTCTTCCCCACCCTTTTTTATGAATTGGATTCTTTTTGTTGCCTGAAGAATTTGCCAAAATTCATTAATGCGTTGATTTTTCTCAGGTTCCAAGGGAATTCTGCCAGATAACCCCTGGGCCCAATGCAACTTGCGCTGCCCATGACTTCCAGTTTTCCCTCTCGTCTCCTGTCCATCCAACCACCAACTACTGTCATGAAATCAAGAACACAAGCTATCTGAAGGTAATACTCAATAATAGTGAAGATGGAGAGGTCAAGAGGAGGTCAGGAGGCAGTGTCAAGAGGACTGTGGGAAGGAAGATCTGTACGAGACTGGAGGCAGTAAGTAAGGTAGGTTCATAAAAAAAAGGTTATGATTGAGTTACTTAGGTTTGAGTCCCAGAGCAAGTTTGTGAATTTTGAACAATTCATCTCCTGACACAACATTTCATCTTACAAGATAAGTTTAAATGAAGCAATACTCATTTTTTTGTTAATGTCTGGAAGTGGGAGGAGGACACAATAAATGCCAAGTCTTTCCTATCCAGGGTTTTTCTCAGACAAAAACAGCGGTACCAAAATGTGCTCATGTATTGTAAATAGACATTGCTTAACCCTAACTTCCTAGACATTTTTGCTAGGATGCAATCTCAATCCTGCAAACTCCTCCAACTGCCTCCTAGTAAAAAATGCATACAGCCTCAATCCTCCAAAATCCTCTGTTATTTCTTGAATGTGGTCCTTGGAGTTATGACCACTGCCTTTAATCCTGCAAAATCCTCCAGCAATCACTGTGTGACAGAGCCAGTTACATCCTTTTAAGCAGTGTGGAGGATTTCAAGTATAACTTAGGCCTAAATCTATGCACGGCTGAGCTTAAACAACACAAGGTCCAGCAGAAGACCTTGACACAGTGCATCCTCCAAAATTAGCCACAATTTTTGCCGTATAGCCTCAATCCTGCAAAATCCTCCAAGAGGATTTGGCAGGATTTGGGAAGGTTGGGGTAAATCGACATTCAGTTTTCATTTAAACCCTCCTGCTATTTAAAAGGTCACAAACGGTCAAAATTTCCTTCCACTCCCCCTGGCATACTTTTAACAAACCAATGGGGGTCTTGACCAATATTGTCCCAAGTAATATATGGCTCAGAATGCATGTTTTCATAGGAGGGCTAAACCTGAGGGCAAATTTTCATGGTTTTGCCAAGTACTGAATTCCGTACAGGATATTGGCTCAGGATGCTGACATTGTTAAAGGCCAAAATATCTTGTTAGCCAAAATTACATCAACTGTCAGCACAGAATGTTCCTTGGGAGTTAGCAACAAATCAACATTTACACTAAACATAGCCATGAGATTTGGTCCAAGAAGCCAATCCTCGTTTCTTCTTGTAGGATGGTACACTGGTCCCCATCACAGTATTTCACAGCGACAACGTCAAGCCTTTATCAGGCAGTAACCCCATGCTGGTCTGCAGCTACGGTGCTTATGGCGTAAGGCTAGACATGAGCTACAATCAGCAGACTGCGGTACTAGTGGAGCTTGGTTGGGTGGTAGCCTATTGCCATGTCAGGTAAGAAAACTGTCTTGTGGTGGAGCTCACATTGATGTGCTTGTTATTATTGAGATACAGATTGTCCCTCAAAAAAAAAAAACAGTTGAAAACCAATTAATAAGGTTTATATAACCGACATACAGATCCTTGTCATTTGATTGGTGGAACACACATCACATGACATTCGTTATTGCTCCCATTCACACCGGGGCTCAAAAAGTCCCATTCGCCCATGGGGAATGGGAAATGCTATTGAACAGTTAGGATCATGCTTGTTCCATGACGCGGTATTTGTGTGCAAATGCATGCTGGTGTGCGCGTTCAGTGTTGCGCATATTGTTCCAAAGACCCAGCGCTACAGCGTTGGGTTCAAACATTTTTGTGAAGGGGTGGTTTGGAAGAGAAAAATACATTTTCCACCAATTTTGTATTGAAATAAAAGTTCAAATGTCAAATATAAAACAAATATGGAGTGGCTTTAAATTGTGAAATGGGAGGATTATTATCGCTCGTTAAAATCTGGACTTTTCCAGTTCACTCGGCCTCGCCTCGTGAAATGGAAAAGTCCAGATTTTACCTTGCAATAATATTCCTTCCATTCCACGCTGAGCCACTCAATATTTGTATAATATTGCATGTGAATTTTGGAATATTTTCAAATTACCTCTTAAAGTCAGATAAACCAATCTACCGTACAAACTTTATTTCATTCAAATCGATGCATTGGAACAAACTCTATGCTTCGTCGAACTCAGGGCTTGATAATCGTCTTGGGCCACTTTTCTTGAAAGTGAGAAAGCGCAGAGAAACATACAAAGGATTGACTTATTTTACCAGCTTCGATCTTTAAAGATTTTTTTTTTTTATGCAGTCTTTGAAAATGCACTTTTGTGTCCCAATTTACTTTATTTTCAATCTTCATATTGCCATTGTCAAGGGTGTTTTGGTACCTGTTTGGTTTTATGCTAATGGGAAATTTCAATATTCATGAGCAAAACTGTGATGTCATTTTGGGCAGAAATCAAATTGTTACAGCTATTTCAGCACCAAAAGTTACCCCAATTTTGAATTTCTAAGCATTTATGCCCAAAATTGTTCATGCAAACTTCACACTGTTCTTGTTTTCTTATCTGTTCTTGTGTTCTTATAATCTGTGGTATGTTTTTATATTCATTCCTTACTGTCCATTTCTTTTCTTTTTCTGCAAAGAGGTGGTGGAGATCTTGGAGTACATTGGCATCATGCTGGCAGAGCCCTCAACAAAATCAAGAGTTTTGAGGTAATGTCAGGTGAAATGAGGGAATTATGTTTGCACAGTGTTAAAAACTGGGGGATTAATTTGGTTTACGTATTCCTACTCAAAAAGACACAGGAATTGATGTCTTGCATCCACGCGACCTTATCATTTTGGACGTCTAGCACGCTTGATCAACCGTACTGAACATATACATTGCATGATGTGTCACGTGCATGTTCTGCGGTATTTGTTGTGGTCAATATCCAGTTTTATGTTTTTCTCCCAAAAATCTTTGGTGAACCCCCAAACATTGAACAGAAAATGAAAGATTATGAAATAAGCCTCAATTTGATATGTTTCTAAAATACCTTGGAGAATTGTTAATATTTTTCCTGAATTTCGGAAGTGGGCATATTTATCACTGTGGCCTATGACAGTTTATTTACTCATCTGCATCAGTAGATGTCCAATATGGCAGGCGTGTGGGTGACCAACAACCTGTGACGTCACATGAAATACCTCAATAACTGAGTGGCTTTTGTTTTTTAGCGGTGCATACAAGAGCTAAAATTTCAACACATAGGCTTGTTTATTTTTAACTTCCTGAATGGAATGATATGGGAGGAAGACAGATTGAATGTTGATTATATCTCTCACTGGTCTTGCCTAACTCTCCATGGGTTTCTTGGGATATTTTTGTAGCCCAAGCTGCAGGTCCAACAGAGTGATCGGGTTCAGTTGAAAAGAAAAGTTCAAATTGAAGCCTCTTCCGATATCTGCGTTAACACAATCTGTCTTGGTGCAGGATTTGGAGGCCTGCCTATCTACTCTCCACCAAGCTGGTTACTCCCAGCCTACTTTGACTGCACTCCATGGCATCAGTGCTGGGGGCCTGCTAGTAGCAGCTGTCTGCAACCGAGCACCACAACTCATCAAGGCTGCCGTATTAGAGGTGTGATACAGGAACTTGTGCAATAAACTCGTCAAATAAGTATCAAGATTTGTGATTTATTTTGTTTAAAGCTGTGAAAAAAGCGAGTGGCTTGAGGGTTCGTTTTTTTTTGGGGGGGGGGACACCCTGTATAACACAATGGAATCCACAAAAGAAAGTTTGGTATGGTATAGTATTGTATATTATAGCAGTTTTTGGCTGCGTAAAATTAGGCAAAGGGTGATGTTTGGTATGGCAAAATATTTGATAAAGCAGTGTAGAATATAGTGGCATTCTACTATATTCAACTGTAACATTGGTGGAAAATGCTAAAGTAATTCCTGCACTGTTGTCATTGGACTCGCAGGTTCCATACGTGGACGTTCTGTCTACCATGCTGGATCCCACTCTTCCCCTGACTCAACAAGAGACTGAGGAATGGGGTGACCCGCTCAACGACCCGGAAGCCTTTGATTACATCAAGTCTTACTGTCCCTACCAGAACATTGCATGCCAGGTGAGGAGATGATATCAAGGTGATCATTAGCAGACTGAGTCTCATAGGTGTAAGGCATCATCTCATTAACTATCCGAGATAAGTTGCCAACAAGTTTATATGCAGCAGGCCCTTTGTATTGGGTATTGGTTGCAAAACTCTGAACAACTTCCCTGGAATCCTTCCACAACTTCCTTGGAATCCTTCCACAACTTCCCTGGAATCCTTCCACAACTTCCCTGGAATCCTTCCACAACTTCCCTGGAATCCTTCCACAACTTCCCTGGAATCCTTCCACAACTTCCTTGGAATCCTTCCACAACTTCCCTGGAATCCTTCCACAACTTCCCTGGAATCCTTCCACAACTTCCCTAATGAATCCTTCCACAATTTCCCTGGAATCTTTCCACAATTTCCCTGGAATCTTTCCACAATTTTCCTTGAATCCTTCCACGATTTCCCTGGAATCCTTCCACAATTGCCCTGGAATCTTTCCACAATTTCGGTAAGATTCAGAGGAAAATGTTCAGAATCCTGCAACTAATACTCGAAACAGCTGGCTCTTTGCCGATAATCTTGTCCGCAAGTTAGGCCGAGTAAAAGAAAATAATAGTTTCTCGTCCAGGCTTTTTGAAAAAATGAAGGAGGCTGGCAGTTTTTAAGATTGCTGATTGTAAAATGGCGTGTGACGTCATATACGTGAAAAGCGAGTTTTCAATGTCAAAAGGTTGTATCTTGCTTAAAATAACCCGGATGTACCCACAAAGTCAATGGACGTCGTGATACGCGAGATCTATACAACCTTGCTGCACGGAGAGTATTCGCGTGAGATACGACTATGTTGCACTGACGCGACGAAAATATGTGTGTCAAGTGTTATAAACAATCACTGACTGTTTTCACAAGCAATGCGTTAAAAAACTCCAGGACCCTAGATGATCCATGGAGTGATCTACGTTAACCAAGTTGAAGCCGTTGGAAAATGGAACCCTCAATGACATGCCAATGTTTCCATTCCACAAGTGAAAAGCAAGCAGTATCACGTAATGGACTTTCAATTTGTGCACGGATACCTCCTGGATGGTTACAAAAAGAGAGAGTTGGGGGAGACCTCTGGGACATTGAATGCAGATGGGCTGACGTGAAGACGGGTGTGTGCACATTCGGAATAAAATTAATCATGCGCACTTCGCACAGTACGCATGTGAATCTGTACGCACATGCCATGTTGTCTCCCCCACTGCATGCAGCTCTCGAAAGTGGTCATAAGTGCACCACCTAATGTTCGCGCACAGAACCCACTGTATGAGTGATAAACATTTACCTCTGTGAGCCATCAGTAAGTATGGTAATTGACACGTCACTGACCATTTTGTGTTTATTCCTGTAGGACTACCCGTCAATGTTGGTCACCACCTCCCTGGCCGATACCAGGGTCCCTGTCTGGATACCTCTGAAGTATGTAGCCAAGCTGCGTCACATGATGTCTTCATCAAGTCATGTCCATAATTCTCTTCATTTGTGGGTGCATGAAGAGAGCGGCCACTTTGGGCAGTTCGGGGAGGCAGATATTTCTAAACAGGTGAGCACTGTCACAAGAATTGACAGAGGTACAGAAGAAACCTTTTGTGGAATTTGGCTGGAAATTTTGACACGTAAACTAACATCATTGGCTTACCATCTTGCAGAGGGTGTTTAAGCGAGTTAAGCTATTTGCATATTTGCATATTCAAAGCTAATGATTACATGTACCAGTAAGTGAATTAGGATTTTACATTACTCTATGAAACCAGTGCACATACGCATTTCCCATGATTTCTTTCATATTCGTGAAACTGTGCCAAAGCAACTTTCTGTTGTACATTTACATGGCATTTACCTGTAATTCAATTTGAAATTTACTTTAGTCGTATTTCAATTGGTCTCTTTTGAATAAAGACGGCCATATCTGTAGGAGAACTGCAACTGCGTATTTTACGCAATCAAGCACGCATTGCGCAGTGTAGAAAATGCGCGCTTGTTGCTTGAAATGGGTTTGAAATACGACGCAGCCGATGCGCATTATGCAAGTTGACGCTCTAAATGCTGATGCATGTGGCTGGTCTGTAGGAAATGATGTCATTTGAGAGAGACCTACATGAATATGTTCTATGATCATGCATAATCTGCAAATTGTATGCGCATGGGACGTTGAAAGTACTCTACGCAAGAGAATGAGGTGTTAGTGCTCTAGTAACTTAATATACCTCTATGATATGGAATTGTTTGAAAAAAATGTACTGCTGTGCAATGTGGAAATACCCCAAATATCAGTTGAGTCTTTGCGGATAGAAACAAGTCTTAGGCCTATAACTTCAGTCCAATCATGAGTGCTCCCATGCCTATTTGCCCATTTTCGTTCTCAGTTTGTCTTGTTTTGTTCTCAGTATGACTCACAAGCACAGCTTTATCAGACATTGTCAAACATATTGTTGACACATAAAAAGTGGCGAAGCTAGGATTTGTTTTAATAGGGGCACCGGGGAGGGGGGGACCATGGGATCTTGAACCAACTTTTCTGGATGCCGATTGGCCAGCCAGCTGCTGCAAATTAAAAAAAAAGAAGGTGGGGGAGTTATTTGTATTTAGGTAATGTGATAGACTCATGATGCAGTGTTCAAAACAGTTAAAGATATAGTCCATCATTTGTAATTTGTGCATATTGTTCGTTTGAAGCAACAAAAGTGTTCAAAACCTAATGAAGGATACTGAGCAACTAACCTGATGAAGTTTCATATCAGCTTCAGCTGTATATTCCGAGAAAAACAGCATTCTAGGATCTCCATTTCAAATCAAAAGTTGCTAAATCATGTTTTGAATTGGGCCTGAATTCAGCGTCCGAGACGCGTTCTCACTGAGCCGATTGCAGCTATACGCGATGTCGCGCACTGATCCGACGAATTATAGCAACCGCACGCGCGTGTGCGTCGTGTCAACGCTTGCGCGCGCTTCACCGAATAACAAAACGAACTACTAATTTAAATTTTCCTAAGGTAGCCTTCTTTCGTTGATTACTTCAAAATGTCAGCTTGCCAGAAAGAATAATTTCACAGGGAGTTTAGTCCCCTTACTATCTTTGTCAACCAAGTATGTTTTTCAACAATAATTATGCAAGTTACTTTTCGGATTGCTGCAAATGATGGACTATAGCTTTAAAGGACATTTTGTTTCCAGAAATGCAGTTCCAGAAATGCAGTGTCAGTTGCCTGTCAATTCCTAAGCAATGTCACAAGTACATGTAACATGATAATTTGACTCCAACATTTTGTGTATTTTCTCCTTTAAGGTTGCAGTCCAGATAGCATTCTTGTACACATCTATGGGACTCTGCATGAACTGAAACGTTGCCAACCGTAACAGAGGAGGCCAGAACTTAGTCATCAGAAGTCGTCACTGCAGCATCGAGGGAGATATTGCGATGAACTTCAAGATACCAGGGCTGAGATTGTGAGGAAGTAAAGTTAAGGTGTGAAATTTGTCTGAGTTGTGGATGCGAGCGTGCGGTACAAAGCTCAAACAGTGTGTCATCTGGGGACAGTTCAAAGATTCTGGAAAATTTTATTTCTTAGATGCTCAGTGGTGCAATATGTGACCCAGCAGCACAAAAACTAGTCAATTGGAACCATTTTTGAAAAATCTGGGGTTTTGGGCTCAGTGGAAAGGACATTCCAATGATGTATAGAGTATGGGAACTGGACAAAATCTGACAGAGTTATAGATATTTTCAGAATCTGAATGGCTGTTTTTTTTTTTCAGATTTATTGATATTTGTACTCTTGGATGTGTCTCACAACCCCTTTTTCCTCATTCCTAAATAGGGCCACACATATTTAAAAGAAATAGTATCAAAATTACGGAATAAAGATGTTTTTTGAAAAACAATTGGCATCTTTCGTTTTCACGACTATAGAGCTCAAAACTGTAGACTTTTTCTCGGTATTTTATTTTGTTGACATTTTGATTAATGCGAACTTATAACAGCCTTGATTTGTGAACACACTGTCCGATTGAAGTGCAACAAACAGTATTGCACAGAGAATTTTATTCTCCTTTCTGAAGAACTTAAAACTCGGATTTTGACCTCTGCCCAGTTCTGTCTCATTTTGCCAGAACGCCTCACAAGTATTGACAAATTGTGGGGTAAAATATTCCAGCATCTTGGCATCTCAGCATCAATGACCAAACAAATCAGCATCTTGGTCAATAAACGTCACTGAGCATGTGAAAATTAATAGGTGTGTGAAATGTCTCATTTGAAAGTGAATATCTTTGGCAATGCTACAACACTAATAATGAAGCAAACTGTTTTAGAATTTGTCAAAATTTCCTTTCTCACCCTCTTACACATTCTTGTGTAGCAGCAAGCTGTTACAGATTCAGTCACCATGCCGTAGCCTTGTCTGGGACTACTTCATCTTTATCACCATCTCTCGAGGCCGTAGCCTCATCAGGGGCTGCCCCCTCGCTCTTACTACTACTGGGACAAACCTGCTTGTCCCTCAGGAAACTTTCTGTTTGAAGCCTCACATTGAGGAAGGTGGCCTGGACCCCCTCCATCCACTGTTCTTCTTTCTCGTACACATCGTCATCTTCAATCGCGTCGGTGAAGTTATGATGAGCTGTCTCCACTGCATTGAATGCATCGTTCGCTTTCCGGAAGAGATCTTCTACGGTTCCTGCACTTGTATCTTGGTTGTTTAGAGCGAGTTTCCAAAGGTTGATTGTTTGAATCATTGTACCCTTACAGTTCCTTCTCAGTCGGGCTAAATCTTTCTGCCAAGCCATCATTAGTGAAAGTTCCCCAAAGGTTATTTTTACAGCGCACTCGCTGAGTAATCCTGGTTAATTCACTCACTGTTACTGCTCTTGGGCTCGGAGCCAGTATTAAAATAGAGGGCATCCTTAGATCGCAACTCACAAACGCAAACAGGCAACATGTTGACCATCGGATAAACTCTAACATTTAGTGGTTCCAACTGTGTCCAGGTGACTACCTTCAGTTCGGTGACTAAATACAAAAAGGAAATACAAAAACACATGCAAGTATTTAAATGTTTAAACATGAACATTAAAGTTTAAACATTGCATGCAAGAAGATAAGTTGCTTCAATAGTTTCACAGCTCCAGCCAAACACTTTTGCTTGAACTGTCAACACTAAGTGTTACTTCTTTGTTTACATCAAAGTACATGCATTGTAGAGTTGGCGCTTGAGTTATCATGGATTTTAATTCCTGAAAACTTTCTCTTGTTCATCAGACCAGAACCATGCTACATCTTTGTCAAGCAATTTTCTCATAGGTGCTGTTTTGTCTGATACTGATAGGTTAGGAATGAATTTCCCAACGTACGTTATCATACCCAGGATTTGTTGGACACCTGCTTTGTCTGTTGCAGGTTTCATTTTGAGAATTGCCTCGATTTTCTTTGGGTCTGGTTTCAGACCGTTTGCTGTTATTACATGACCTATGTATTTCACTTCAGTCTGATTGAACTTGCATTTTTGTGCGTTCAGACGTATGTTCTTGTCTTGACATCGCTGAAGCACTTTTTTCAGGGTTTGGTCATGTTCGTTTTGTTCTTTGGCATAAATTAAAATATCATCTTTAACTAGATTTGCTTGTGTTTGTGTACAAACACACAGCTGTTTCGGTAATTTTGCTGTTGTATGTTTACCGGTATCATTACTTCATGTAAGACTGATAAGACAACGTGTGGTAGAGTGATCAGGACCAATACAGTTCTGTAGATATTGGCCTTCAAAATTTGCACTTTTAATATGCCATCACATGTCACGTGATGACGTCATCGTTACGTCACTTCAATTTTCATCTATAACACATCCCGGTTTAGGTACATACCAAGTTTCAACCCGATCAGACCTGTAGTTGTGGAGATATAGGCCTTCAAAATATGCACCTATATTGTGACGCCATGGGTCACGTGATGACGTCATGATGACGTCATGATGACGTCATGATGACGTCAATGTTCGGCACACATATTCAGATTCTGGTCTAAGTGTGTGCTGAGTATAAAGTAAATCGGATTAATTTAGTGCCCAAAGTGCTTTCCATGATGAAAACGTGTACAAATGCTGTGGGGAATGGCTGAAAAAGAAGGAAAACAAAAAACTTTAACGAAAACAAATGCTGCTTCGGCTGGTTGCCGAAACAGCCAATTACTTAAACCACCACAGAAGGTTTCAGTCTTGATTCTTTGAAACATTTCTGGTGCCACATTTATTCCAAACGGGAGTCTGTTAAATTTGTATCTCCTAAACTCAGTATTAAAGGTACAGACGTCGGCACTCTCACTATCTAATTGTTACATCCAACATCCACAATTTGCATCAAGGGTACTGAACACCTTTGCATTTGCCAACTGATCAGCTATTGCATCAAGTGTGCGCATTGGGTAATATTTCCTGAGTAAGGCTTTGTTCAAGTCAGCTGGAGATAAATTCTGACTTTGCCTGATGGCTTTACAACAGCACACATGCTGCTGACCCAACCTGTTCCGTGTCCTGTGACTTTTGCTATGATGTTTTGGTCTTCCATTTTTTCCAACTCTTCTTTTACTTTTTCTCTTAGCGTACGTAACATACACACAATACAAGTTCAACCAGGAAAAGTTTGGCTTTCCTGTAAATCCCCCAAATTTGTCTTTATTAACACAAACAACTCTTCAATCCTCAAAACTTCAATAATACAGGTAATAAACAATGAATAAAATGAGCGCTCAGTGATAATAAATGTACATGTACAAAAGTACCAAGATCTTGGGTATTCGTATCTAGACTCTTTTCCTACGACTGGTTAGGAACAAGAGTTCCTCAAAAGGATAATAATTCCTGGGGTCACCAGTTCCAGAACTGTGATCCACGGGCAAACTGTAGATCCACAGGTTGAACAGAGTCCAACGTACGAGTTGGGGTCCACGCTGGTCCAAATCAACGGCTTGAATGTGGCAACCGACAGGCTGGTGACAGATCAGCAGGATTGGAACTCAACAAGCTGAGATCCAGTCAACAGGCTTGGATCCTGATAACAGGCTGGTAATGTAATCAATCAGAAGCCTGGAAACCCACCAATGAGATGAGATCTAGTCCGCAGACTTAGACCCAAAACCTGAAAGCCAGCAGTATCTCTATCGTTCCACATGAAATATGGATGAATAATTGAAAATGACTCCAAATGCCAGATGATTGTGGTCCTCCAAAAATATAATTCTGGACAACTTTTCATTGAGCTGCTGCAATTTTTCTGTTAGTAAGATGGCGGCCTCCACAAGCTTTGGCTGCAGTCACAAGAAAGCGCTATTCGCGAGGTTAAAGCTGAGGGCTACAAGGTCTTGCTCGACATGTAGAACTTCCCTTAGCTGCTGTTTACATACTGCTTTCATCTCTCCACTAATTCTATGCTGAGATGAAGTTGATGGTAACGGTCCAACCAATGTCGTGTCTGTCAGTGTGGACAACACTGCTTCGATTGCTGGACCCACTTGTCGCTCAGCCACTCCAATCCCCTGCAGGTACATCACTGCTTCCTTCACGGCTGGGGAAATTTTTCCTTTTTCCCTTGTAACAATGTTTATATTTGCTGCCATTTCTTCCTTAGAACAGAGTTTGTTCTCCATAAAGCTGATGTCCTTTTTGTGTGTTCCTTTAGGGTGTGAAGTGTAGTTTTTAGTGTCTGGGTGATGAGGGCCGTGTCCACCTCTGGTGCACCTGTACTTTTTACCTTTTTTGATCTGCATTCCATGTTTGCCTTCTGATGTTTCACATTTTGTAGGGCCTTCCCTTTTGTCTTAAGCTTTGCTTTTACACCTTGCAGTTTGGTTGTAATTTTACGCCATTTTGTTGCTTCCTTCTTCCAGTATTCCACTTGTGCATATCTCCTTTTTATTTTTTGTATTACATCCTTTGTTTTATTCACTTTTCCAACTATCTTGTATTGTTCATTAAGCTTTGCTTGTGTACTTTTACAGTTTGCTGTTGAACAGCATGATCCAATTTTAGTTTGTCGTAATTTGCTTTCAAAGTATTATAACTCAAGGTTTGCTCATTCAGATGTTGTCGGAGTTCTGAAATTTTTTTGCCAAGATCCTTAGATACCTGTTCGAATACGTCGACTCTGGGTTTCTTTTGAGTAGGTGGCGTCATTTCTTTATCTTCCATTTTCTTAAAATTAGATGCTGACATCATTCGTTTGCTGGTAGACTTCGGAGCGGTGTATATTGTTTTGAGAAAGGCAGCAAGCTTAGCAGCATTGTTTTTATTTTTAGACAATTTACTTTTTGTTTTCTTTACCTGGTTGAAACTAAATTGTATGGTTGCTTCATGGTATGGTGTGTTGTGAATTCTTGACATCAGAATGGCACTTGCTTCTCTTCAACTTTAAGCTGTGTTCATGCAAGCGAGTTAGTACTTTGTCCAAATTTCACAGGTGTTCTTGTTCGCTGTGACCCGTCACTAGGATATCGTCTAAGTATACCTGAACTCCAGGTAATCCTTGCAATACCTGTTCAATGGCATTCTGCCAAATTGCGGGGGCTGTGGTTACACCAAAGACCAATCCGTTTTCCTGGAAGAGTCCCTTGTGTGTCGATATGGTACACAACTTCTTTGACTCTTCATCTAACTCCATTTGGTTGTAGGCATGTGCGAGGTCAAGCTTCGAAAAAAGTGACCCCACCAGCCAGATTTGCCAAAATGTCTTCTACATTTATGTTAGGGGGAGCCATCGTGATTTTGTAATTACCACAAATCCGTACAGTTCCGTCTTTCTTTGGAACGGCTAAAATACCTGTGCTCCATTCACTATGTGTCACTGGAGTCAGTACGCCACAATTTTGGAGCCGCGTCAGTTCTTTTTTACCTGTGGTCTGACTGTGTAGGGACTATGTGGTTTGCATGCAACTGGCTTAGCATCTTCTTGAAGAGTAATTTTAGCCTTGATGCCTTTTAGTTTACCTAGTTCATTATCAAACACTGTGGCATGTTTGTCCAGGATATCATTCAAATCTTTCATTGCCTTCACGTTTTCGACCACTGCCACGTTATCAGTCTCAACCCCTGAAAAATCAATTTTGTGCCAGTTCAACCTTACATACTGTAACCAATCCCTACCTAACAAAGTATGCTTGGTATGTTTTACGACATACAGGTACAGATCCACTGACTTGCTACCATACTCAACATTAACTCTTAGAGAAGAGCTCAAAACGTTCCACGTAGCAGTCCCAATCTTCATCTTTATCATAGTGAGACAAAAAAGGGGGTGAAAAGTGCTCCTTTCCATCGGCAATTGCGCATGGCTGTCCTCATTCGCCATCCTCGTCGCCAATTTGTCGTGTATTTAACACGAAACGTGGGTGAAATGAGGGAACAATTGCGAGACGACTTGTTGATGTGTTCTAAGTAATTTAGACTACGTAACTTTCCTTTTTCGAAATTTATAAAATCTCAGCAGTGATCTTATTCTTATATATTGTGGGCAAAGTTCAACAGCTAAAACCTGAAAAATGGGCTGCGAAAAATCGGCAAAATTATTTCCAAAGGTTACCGAAAGTGAAGTCCGCGTGTATTGTTTGTAAAGTACAGGATACAATGAAATCCAAGATGGCCTTTTCAGGTTCAGAACCGAATTACATTGTGTAAGTGGTACGAATCAATTCGCGAGGACGTCTTTTTCATTCATAACTTCCAGGACCGTAGTGTCCCGGATGTCGGTGATGCGGTCACAACAATGTTCATGAAAACGATATCGCGAAGGGCGCCACCATCGGCGGTTTGCGTGAATCTGCCTACTCCAAAGCTTTCTCAATTCTGGGGAGTGGGTAAGTGTCTTGACGTATTTTAGCATTCAGTTGTCTATAATTGACGCATAATCTTAGACTGTCATCATTCTTTCTTAACCAGCACCAATGCCGAAGCATCAGGGCTACTGCTGGGCCAAATTATACCTTGATCTGACCATTTCTTGAGATGTTCTCTCACTTCTGGTTGGAGTTGCGGTGGAATGTGCCGGTACGGCAATCTTACCGGAGTAGTGTCTGTCAATGGTATGGTGTGTTTTTTTCTTGTCGCAATAACCAAAGTCACTGTCATTCATACTGAAAGCCTTGATATGTTTCTGCAGCTTGAACTGAAGGGACTGCTCCTCTGTGAACTAAGCATCTGTCCCCTAGATCAAGAGTTTCAAGAAGCTTGTCTACACTGGCCTGATCTTCTACATGTGCCCCAACTTCACCTACTATGACGTCTCGCGGTCACTTGCTTGGGTCACACCAGGGCATTCTTCTTTATAATGGCTTCGTACATCACCCCAATGCAAGCTCGTGGCTGCAGTAAGACATCTTCCCCTCCCAAATAGATGACACGCAAAGGTACAAAACCATCTACCACCCATGGGAATGAGGGAATAATGAACACATCCCGAGGGAAAGACCCTTGGGATGAATCCACTTGCTCACCTAGAGCATACTTATTTTTTTGATTTTTAGGATTTTTTTATGTGCAGTTTGCAAGTACCTGTTAAAGGCATATTGTCCTTGTTGTACATAGAAAGCTTCTGACCAGCTTAAATTACTTCAGTGCCACAGGGCAGACAATTAAGCCTCTGGTATGATGTTGCATTTGGCACCTGAATCCTCTTGCATCGGAACCTACTGACAATTTCCTTTAATTTCCATCAGAGCGAATATCTTCCGTGCATGCTGGTGTTTTGTGCTCTCACTTAAGTACATCCTTAATCATTATAGTATACGTATCAATCATTGTGATCCAAACACATTCTGCAACCGCCTTGCATGTTGTTCAAATCCGTCCTGTTCCTGGCTCAGATATTTTCTGAAACTCTTATCACCAATTGGTGCCCCATCTTTTAATATACTGTAGCATTTTCTGGAGTTCAATTTAATTCAGTGGACAGACAGAATAAGACACAAATGACACCAATATTCCTGTTTCTTTATTTCTAATTCTTTCCTCCAAACAAGCAAACAATGAACACATAATATCAGTATAAGTTGTATTTTACCTTTATCTGCACTATACTGGTAATCGCAATGTAGAGGTCAAAAATTCGCCTTCGCTTCACAAGTTTTCCTGTTGCCTCATCGGATTGGCCTGGAATCATTGCAAAACTTGGGGTATGAGAACTCTCGTTAAGGATGTTGCACCTTGTGGCAAAGCCAAACGCCTCGTGTCATATGGAGACGAGTGTAATTCCAGGCATGGTCCGCACTTCTTCTCAGGCGTCTTGGAGATCTCGGGCGTCTTGGGAGCTTTAGGGTAGTTGCTGACTGATACCGTCAACTTGTTGCCTACATCAAGCTTGCCAGCATGAGCCCGTCTTGAACATCTCAGTGCAATTCCGGGTATTTCGCCATTGTGACTTGTGGGAAGTCTATGATGCACAGTTCCGGCTCAGATGCTAGATCTAATGATCTGAAATAGCAGGACCCATGCAGGGCCTCTAAAGCTTTCTCAATTCTAGGGAGTGGGTAAGCATCTTGACGTATTTTAGCATTCAGTTGTCTATAATCGACGCATAATCTTAGACTGTCATCATTCTTTCTTAACCAGCACCAATGCCGAAGCATCAGGGCTACTGCTGGGCCGAATTATGCCCTGATCTGACCATTTCTAGTGATGTTCTCTCACTTCTGGTTGGAGTTGTGGTTGGATGTGCCGGTGCGGCAATCTTACGGGAGTAGTGTCTGTCAATGGTATGGTGTGTTTTATCTTGTCGCAATAACCAAAGTCACTGTCATTCAGACTGAAAGCCTTGATATGTTTCTGCAGCTTCTCCTTAAACTGAAGGGACTTCTCCTCTGTGAACTAAGTATCTGTCCCCTAGATCAAGAGTTTCAAGAAGCTTGTCTACACTGGCCTGATCTTCTACATGTGCCCCAACTTCACCTACTATGACGTCTCGCGGTCACTTGCTTGGGTCACACCAGGGCATTCTTCTTTCTCTATAATGGCTTCGTACATCACCCCAATGCAAGCTCGTGGCTGCAGTAAGACATCTTCCCCTCCCAAATTGATTACTCGCATAGGCACACAACCATCTACCAGTGAGGCAGGTGAACAGGCATCCGTATCTCTTCACCTTGCTTCCTGCTCTCTTTACCAGGAAGGCTCCAAAGAAGTCGACACCTTCGTCGGTTAATGGCGCTGTACCAGGTGTCACTCGATCTAATAGTAATAATAATAATAATACCAAGCATTTGTATGGCGCTCTACAAAGATCACAGCGCCTCACAATAAACAGCTTAAACAGTTACAGAAAATTACAAAGAAATTATATACAAAAAAACAACAAATATCATACATTGGGATATATTAGTGAGACAAAGACGATCTTTGGGTAGATCTGCCATCATTTGAATTTCAGGGGCTGCCTTTCGCTTCTTGCAAGCTATGCAGCCGCGGAGAATGCGCTTGACAGCGACGCGCCCCTTGATGATCTAGTACCTCTGGCGAAGCTCGGCCAGGATTCTTTCAGTTCTGGAATGCCCGTACTGACGATGGTATTGATCAATGATGAGATCTGTTACTCCGTGTTAATTTGGTAGTATCCATGGGTGTTTAGCCTCCCCTGATATGTCGGCATTTGTTAGGCGTCCACCGACGCACAGGATTCTGCTGTTTGAGCTTATGGGCAACAACCTTCAAAAGCGATTAGTTTTCAGTTGCTCCTCATGGAAGGTGGCCTGTTGGTTGTAATGGACAATTTCAGCTTCAGCTTGTCGAAGCTCCTTAATCGATAGTGATTTGCTAGCCAGAATATCCATGTCAAGCAGCTTCAGAACATCTCGTGTGCAACAACTTCTTTACACGAAAGACCCAAGCAACTGCTCCCTTCAGTGCATGCCATGACGAGTAGCGAGCGATTAAGTTGTCAATTGGATTGGGTGTCGATGTGGTGTTGGTTGAGTGCACCTGTGGTTCTCTTTTTACTTCTGCATCCTCTTGGAGCTGAAGAGACTTGAAGTCTGGTTGAGCTGGCCAGGCACCTCCTTCCTTCAGTAGAAAGGGTGGCAAATTGAACCAGCGATCACAATCAATGAGTTACTGGGCTGTCATGCCCCTAGAGATGTTGTCAGCTGGGTTTGAAGCTGAATCTACATGTCTCCACTGGGTTGGGGAGGAGCTATTGTGGATCATGGCAAAGGTCTGGAATTGCTTGTCTTCATTTCTAAGGTATTGAAGAACGATCATGCTGTCGGACCAGAAGACAGACTCTGCAAACGGTATCTGCATGTGGAGCTTGATCATCTTGTCCAGCTTCACAGCCACTACTGCAGCGGCAAGCTCCAATCGGGGTATAGTTGCCGTCTTTATTGGTGCAAGCTTTGTCTTCAGGCCATCAGGAATGAGCAGTGTATATGCAGATGCATCAGCAAAGTGGTGTAGTTGTGCCTCGACAATGGCATCACCACAAACAGGTTTCACACATCGTGATACGCCAATCCTTTCTATCATCAGCAGCTCTAGTAACCACCGTCTCCACTGTTCAGCTACAGCGGTAGGCATGGGGTTTGTCGCCTGAAGACAGGATAGGACGACCCCATGCCTACCGCTGTAGCTAAACAGTGGAGAGGCTTCTCCTTCACACTTGCGTTGAACCCAAGGGTGTCTGATTCGACCTTCCAGAACACTCCAAATGCCCTTTCGGACGGAAGCATCTCCTGATCTAAATCTATATATTTACGATGGACTTTGCACATCTCTTGACAGTCTCTGCACTTGAAGGTCCTCTGTTTCTTGTCCCTTCTCTTTTACTGTACCCCATAGGAAATAGTCCAGTGGTGTCACGTCTGGGGATCTCGGTGGAAATTCTACCTGAATTCTACCTGAATTCTACCTGAATACCTAAATTCTTCCCATGAGTGGCATGGGCTTATGTTCTGGTTGAAACGTTTTCTTCGATGCTTCAGCAAAAACTGTGAATGGCACGTTAGAAGATGATTACACATCAATTTGCCAGTCACACGACCATTGCACAACCAACTAAAACCCAGCCTTGAACCATGTAATACATAAAATGGCCAAAGGTTGCCACTACTTTCTAATGGGAGGTGCCTGAAATAAAACAATGCCACCATGTGGTGGGATTCTTCCCGACAATAATTATGATTACAAATGGTGGGCCGATGGAAAACATTATCAACTTCTGCTTCTGCTTGTCTTCTGCTGGACTCTTCTTTGAGCATAAAAGCCACGCATGTGCGGGGGATGGGTTGAACAGCACATGTAGATGAGTTTGTGCAGTTCGATTTTAAAATTGTCAATGTTTGGTGATTTGACAATGCAGTCAGGTAAAGTATTCCACTTCTTGATGGTACGAGGGAAGTACGAGTACTTAGGTTGAGACAGCTGAATGGAACTTGGTAGGGTTAGCTTGGTGGCTCAAACATTAAAGTGTATTGTTATAATTTTGTCTAATAAATATGCTGTAGTAAGACTGAAAATAACTCAATTCAACCTGGTTTGAACTGTGAATTATAAATTCAAACTTGGTGAATTACAACAACTTGTGTTTCTGTTTTACAGATTCTGCACTTTGTCACAAAATATTTCTCCATTGTGAATTGTATAAAGTTGGAAATATTTATTTTATAAGTCCATATGTATAATAAAGCACAAGTATACAAATGAAAGTGTTCTTCATTTTGTTTTATTCTTTACTGGTCGTATTCTATGATACAGGGTTTTATCAAAAAAGCTATTTACATGGGATAGTTTTAGTTCACAATGGCACATCAAGAAATTGTATCCACTAAAACAAATGATGCCATGCCTACGACTTTAACCAGTTCACGCCGGGATTATATTGACAAGAACAGAACGAGGCGCGGGATTACTTTTCACTCGACCTCAAGCCAGGTGGATTGAAGCCATCACCCTCGGGCAGCACACTCATATTGCCGGCCTCGCTCGCTGTGAGCGGGTCACCAACAGATATTTCCGGCCTCGCTCCCTGCGTGTTTATCTGTCATCTGTTCCGAATACCACAAAACTTGTGCGTGTATACACGGTCTCCGGCGTGAACTGGTTAAAGGGGGTGTTCTATGGGCTCTGTGCACAAGTAACAGTTGCAAATGGAGAGTTAGTGGAAGACCACTAGGAAGGACATTCAAATGCATTGCTGAGGACACGGTTGTGCAGGTTCAAGCAAAGATGCTTTGGATTTGTGCACATTCAGAATAAATTAATAAAAATATGCACTTGGCGCCATAGGTATGCAGCCAGAATGTGCACGCTGTGTGTCCCACCAACTATGCTCTCCAAAGTGGTTGAAAACCACCATCTACTGGTCATGCAATAGCCCTTGCTTTGCTATACCCTCCAAAACAAATTTTGCTTGTAAAGTCAATGTGCTCCGCTTTCAAAACAAATTGTGTCATTTCAATTTTTCATAAACTGTCACAAAATGATAACAGCAATAACAATGTTGGTCTTGGGTATTGGGAGACAGTCACTTTAGAAGTGTGTTAAAACCAACAATGGAGCACGTTTGATCAAGAAGTATTGTTAAGTGTACTTGGACTACCTGCGTGAATAGCACAACAAAAGTAGAACACCACCATAGTATATGTTTATTCAGAAATGAAAAACTTGCATTATCTTAAAGTTTCTTTCCGTGGCACTAAATTTAGCAAATCCACACCCAGAAGGGTATAAAATATCAACATGAGTCTTGCAGTGTATGGAGGCATCGGTATTACGCATGGTAAGAGAGCATTGGAGCTCACGACATCTGATGGCATCCCAATCCGTGGCTTGTGTCATAAATATCCCCACTCAGATAAGTGGCCGTCCATTACCGAGTGTCTTGCATACTAGCTGACGAGGCCTGGTGGAGAGGAAAAAAGAAGTTCAATCAATCACCTCAAGTTCAATGACTAGAAATAATACACTCCAGAAACTTGTTTACTGACGAGAATAGCATTGAATAAATAACTGATGTAAGTTGCAGAAGCTCGACATGTGGATCCATACAAAAGCGTCATCAAGGGCTTTGTCAAGCGAGAAAACTTGGAAACTCCACTTCAAGAAGTCAGTTTCACAAGAAGAAAATGCTCAGCTTGTATAACTATCAAGACGTGTTTATAAAAGTATCACAAGAACTGTGACATATAGCCAAGATTAGTTTGATTAATGATGGCAGATGTTAAAGCTAAAAATACACTTACCAAGGTAATCATCCATGAGTGTACCGATGGCAAACTAAAGTTGATAGAACAAAAGAAAAAGTTCGTAAAATCACTGCAGTGCCGATTATAATAAAGAGAACAGAAAACCTAATGATCTGGAACCAGTCAAGTGGTCCAGTAAAAACAGGGTTGCCAGGAATCACAAAGCTAAACAGATTTTTGGCTCTCATTACTTAAAGCCTATCCAGAGAAATTTTCTGCATTGACAAGACCTACAATAATGGCTATGATTGCTGACAACTAATGTTCAACCCTAACTCACTGGGGTGATATACTAGGGACCTTCCTCATCCTTGCAAATTCCAACACCCTGTGCTATTAAAATGGACACTAAACAGCTGGACTCCACCAAACCCCTGTGTTGGAGTTTTGGTGGTTGGGGATCGTTAGGGTTATTACATGACACCTACTATGTCTGATGCGTCTACTCTCGTTCCAACAATCTTGAGTCTGATCTCATCGTCCTGTTGTATTACAATATCCTGCAGTGTCAAAAAGTAAACACAAGCAATGTTAACATTCAGTGATGAAACACGCAAATCATATTGGATTAGATTAAAAACTCCAATCTATCACAGCAGGGATCCAGTATTCTTAAGGGTACAGTAGATCATTTGCAGCTATCCAAAAAGTAACTGACCAAATTTATGCTTGAAAAGCTTACTGCTTTAAAGATAATAATGGCAATCTCCCAGTGAAATTATTCTTTCTGGCATGCTGTCATTTTGAAGAAAACAATAAAAGAAGGCCATTTCCAAAGATACGTTAAGTGACGCATTTTTGGAATTTTCCGTTAGCAGTTGGTTTGTAATTCGGCAAATTTATTCATTGGTTCAGTGCATGACATTGCGTAGCTGTTGCGTAGCTGTTATTGGCTGAATGTAAATGTGTCTCGGATGCTGATTTCGGGCGCAATTCAAAACATGACGCGGCAACTTTTGATTTGAAATCGAGATCCTAGAATATTGTTTTCTCGAAACACACAGCATTCACTGAGCTAAAACTTCATCAGGTTAGTTGTTAAGCACCCCTATTTAGATTTTGAGCACTTTTGTTACTTCAAAAGAAAAATATGCACAAATGAAAAATGATCTGCCCTATCTTTAAATTTAAACACAATTTCAACATTTTTGAGTTTTCCATGTGATGGGAAAAGCTCTGAAACTGGGAGGGCCTGAAAACCAACTCTGCAATTTGTGATGCGATCAAGCTAAATGAGTCGTTTGTCGGGAATATTTATTTGGAGATACAGGCCAAAATAGGGCCACTTCATCACATCACTTCAACACATCTCTAGGTGTTCTGACTTCCATAATTTTTGAACTAAAGATGGTATCAGCATGCGGTTTTCACAGCAGTAATGCTGACATTGTGCTCTTTTCAAATCAGTAATAACATTTTTTTTTTACCAGGGTCGAAAAACGACTCATATAGCTTGATCGCATCACATTTGTCCCGTAACATTTCAAACAATATGAAACGCCACTGTGAGAAAAGTTTGGGAGTTCTTCACTTTTATTAAAAACCACCTGCACAGATGGTTTTTTTTATAAGTTCCTGATCTTTTATAAGTTCCTTTCAAGTGCCGTCTCAGTGTTTACCTCATCTTTGGTCTTGTAGCACGGCGGGATGGAGTTAGGGTCAAACTCCATATCAGCTGGAATGGACTGGAGAAAAAAGAATCGGGATAAAAGTCTGTCAGATAAAATCAAGTGCCCCAGCAGAAATATAAACGTCTTCAAAGCTGGGGATGAAATTTGCAATGATGGACAATTCTTGATTTCGTTGCCAAAAATCAAGGATTTTGTGGAATCATTGTGACTCAACAGGACAAGAATGTCAGTTATGCTTCAAGAAAAGAGAGAACTAGTTTCGCATCATTCGAAGTTGCTTTATGGAGACCCATTTGACATAATACTCACATGTTTTGAGATGAAACACGACAGAGGACCAATCTCCGTAAACAGTCCAACCTGTCAATTGAAATACAAAAGTTGTTACAATATCCACTGGAAATCACACTGAAGATGCATTAAAAAAAAACTAGAAAGCACGCAGAGAGCACAAACCTCCGCCAAGGCTAAGCATTTCCCTGCCATATTGTCAGTTCACCCAAAAGAAATACTCGCATAAATGGTGAAGAATCCTTTGAAAGAGGTTGTGGAATGCTCGAAGACATTTCTGTCTTTTTTTGGGTATATGTAGCCTAAGGTGTGACGAAATAAAAACGACTATTGTTTCTGTCATGCAATGAGTACAAAGGGTACTTTTGAGAGCTATTTTTCAGGTCGTGTTTCGACCCGAACGTGCAATTTGTGTAAAAGTCGTCGTTGCGGGCAGCAAACAAAACACAGCAAATCGTGACGTAATAAACAGGACTCGTGTATGCTACTCTGCATCGGGAGTCCTGTTTATTACGTCACGATTTACTGTGTTTTGTTTGCTGCCCGCAACGACGACTTTTACACAAACTGCACGTTTGGGTCGAAAAAGGCATGACAGGACTTCAAAAACAGCTCTCAAAAGTACCTTTTGTACTCATTTTATGACAGAAACAATAGTCGTTTTTATTTCATCACACCTTAGGCTACATATACCCGAAAAATGACGGAAATGTCTTCGAGCATTCCACAACCTCTTTAAAAATCCTGCATCAAGAACCCACATCCGGATCACTTCCAAAATCTAATAGATTTGTACTTGTACCAAGGACCACCCGTTAAAAAAAAAAAAATTTCATCCAAATCCGTCCACAACTTTTTGAGTTATCTTGTTATTAATCAATCAACAAATCAACCAACAAACCAGCCAACAAACTAACCAAATCCGATGAAAACATAACCTCCTTGGCAGAGGTAATAACATGACACAAAATTCTATTGAATTGAATCACAATGGCTATTCACTGTGGGTGCATCTGGTGTGCACTTTATGCCAGATTTAGCCCATTATGGGGTAATCCTATACAACTGCACTGCCCGGCTCTCTTCACCAGCCAACAAGGCAAGCCTGGTCATGCTGGTCCCAGAGTGCACAAAATTCTATTCAATTAATTCAGAATGGCTATTCACTGGAAGTCTTTCCATGCATCTGGTCTACACAATAGGCCATATTTAGCCCATTACGGGGTAATCCTATACAATTGCACTGCCCGGCTCTTCTCATCAGCCAACAACCAGGCACAAGTCACAAGTGAGGGTCTGTTAGTGAGTCCCATCAGTGAAGTACAAAGAGGACTATTGGCTGGCTCATCTGGAACCAGCAAAAATGAATCTTAATTTTTTTACAAAAGCAGATGTTGTCTGACCTTGTTGACTTGTGTGACGACTGCATCCACCACTTCTCCCTTGAAGGGTCTGAAGACGATGGCCTTATACTTGATGGGATAGCGCACAAAGCCACGACTGGGGAGTATCAATCCAGCTCCAATGTTGTCTATTGTTGTCACTGCTATCACAAAGCCATACCTGAGAGAACAAGAATTAAACATGATTCATGTCATGAAGACTTTTCTTCTGGCTCACAGATACTTGTAAGTTTACACAACTAAAGCTGCGTTCTGTTTGGGCTTACATTTCTTTTCATAAAAATTACCATAAGTAATTGTTCCCGTAAGGATGTGCCTGTTTGCTACAATGGTGCAATCTTCCAGAATCAACCAGGCGCTTTTTGGGAGGATTTTGGAGCATTGAGGATGTTTGCCTGTTGTTAGTGCCCATTGATTTTGGAAGATACATTGTGTCAAGATTGCATGCTGAAACTTCCATGTTTTTTTCTTAGCCATACACAATTTAGGCCTCATCCGATGAGATATCATCCGTACTGCTTCTGGATGTCAAATGCATCAACATTGTGATTGTAGGAGGATTTCAATGAGGCTGTATCCATTGTCTTAATCAACATGGTTGCAGGATTTTATACAATTTGGGGCGATTCACAATGCAGTGCACCACCAAGAGTTTGCCACGGAGAGTTCATTTTTCAAAGTCACGGTCGACAAAACATGGCCCATTTGAACGAGTGTCAGTAGAAAACTTGAGCTAATTTGTTATAGATGGGGCAAAGCGTTCTGCCGCCTTACAAAAAAACTCCCTATTGATAAAACAAAAAGAAAAGGGCAAACAGATACCCGAATCATACGCTTACGAACTTTCTGGCCGCAAAAACTAACAATTTCAAATGTCCCGCCCTGCGAATTTGTCGACCATCTCCCACAATGCACTGGGAAAAATTAACTCTCCATGGCAAACTCTTGGTGGCGCACTGCATTGTGAATCGCCCGAATTGATGATGCATCCTAGCGAAAAGGTCTAGGGGGTTAGGGTCAAACTCTGGTGTCCAGTGAATTTAATTTCATCAACTGATCACGCGTGAATGCCAAAATACCTGTTCTGAATGTTTGTCATAATTACAAATTGACATAAAATATCAATTTGCTGCAAAAGCACAGATTCACTTCTGTTTTCACCTACCAAAATGATAGTTGTAAGTCAAGTAATTTATTCCAAACCATCATTTATTTGTCTTACTTTCCAGTGCATGTTCCTTCCACCTCTGTGAAGAGCTTCTGTTTGACTGTGTTCAACAGATTGGGCCCAAAGTACCTCGGATGGAGAAGGATCTCATGTTCCAGAGATATCTGTAGAAAGAAAGTCAACCAAAACTTTAGTTTGCATGCACTTCATTAAAAATTTTAAGAATATTTGTGAAAGCAAAACTGATTAAGAGGGTGAACAGTAAATCTACAATCACAGGAAACAATGGAGTGTCTTGACGTCATTCTGGTGGGTTGTGAATGAAGTCTGTTGGAAGTTGTTGAAACTTTAACTAGCCTAAGTTTTAGTTACAGAAACAGTGACGGAACGATTCCCATATCTGGCCATCGCTTGTCAACCTTTGCACAAACCCCATGAGACTGGTCTGAAAATTTCTAAGTGTTTTCTCAGTAAATACTTCAATGTTTTCCCTGCTAAATTTGACTTTTAAGGACATAGGCCTATTATCACTTTCTGATGGTTGATACTAGGTCACTGAAGGAAAAATAAGTGATGGCCAGAAATGGGAATCTTTCCACCTTGACAAATTTTCAATTCCTATCGTCTAGGTAGTTACGGCATTGCAAAATAACACTTCTGTCTGACTCCTGGCTTCGGAGGATTTTTCTTTTCTGAACCTTGGGGAAACAGATGAAGTCTGATGCATGTGCAACGGTCCACTTCTTTATTAACGGTATAAATGGTAAAATTTGAAATTCTAAGAATTAAAAAAAATAAAATTGGAAGTGTTTCTCCATCCATTTTTTTTCCTTCTCCCTTCAACATTTACAATGACATGAATGACTGACCATCGTTGAGTTAAGGACTGGTGTAAGGACACTTCATTCTATATGAATTAAAATACAAACGTAAACATACAAGTCTGCAAGGTTAAAGTATCGTTACGGCAGCCATAATGCAATTTCAACTGCTATCGTTACGGCATTGCAAAGACACCAATGTAAATCAATATCACATTTATAAATGCCCTTTCAGAGCACTTTGGTAGCTCAATTTGTTAAATGTTGGACCACATACCGAAGGTCCCGGGATCAAATCCACGGCCACGCTGTGCGACAATTATTCCCCCCCCCCTTTTTTTTTGTCTTTTAATGTTGTTATATGTTGAAACAATTGATAGGCCCATCATTAATGTTAATTTTTAATAAGGCCTAGTTTAATTTTATGTTTTTGATCAAATCATACTTTTGGAGCAACTATAGAATGCAAGGCCACGCCGGAGCAAGGGTTTTTTTTCTGCTTGGAGGCGTGGATTGAGGCCGGCGATGTGAGGATAGGAGTAATAGGCTACAATATAATAATATGCAAACCTGCAAAAAGTGCTAAGTACAGCGAATGCACTTGTCTTCTCATCAATGATCAGAAGGGAGGGCGCGCTTGTAAATGTGTCGGGGCACGGAGACACGGAGACGCGGAGTCGCGGAGACGCGGGGCACTGGAGTCACGGAGGCGCGGAGTCGCAGAGACGCGCGCCGATAGAGGGCGCAATTCTCGGCGGTATTTTATTGAGAACGAAGCATCCATATCCATTTTTATTTTTCGTAGCAAAGGAAGGGAGGGTGACAGGGCACTGGAGTGTAGTGGCCCTGCATTCTATAGTTGTACCATACTTTTTATTGAAGTAGGCGCTAATGTTACATTTAATGTTTTTCCTCAGCGATCCTTGGCTTTAGAGCCGAGGATTTTTTAAAGGGAAATAAAGTCCCAGAACCATTCGGTTGATACTCTGTTTCCAAGACTGGAGAGCCAAAGATCCCAAGGTTGAATATTGCCAGGTCACGTCAGGAAACCAGACCAGACGGTTGACTGCCGTAATGATGGTTGATAGCCACTGCGTAAATTTTAATTCATGTCTGAAATACACGACTTTGGCAGCCTGTCAAAGTGTCATTACCGTTTACAATTGTTTAACCTATTTGCGGCTGTTGATACAACGCAAGTTGCCTCTTTGCTTGCAGTAACAGTGCCCCATCGGAATTTATAATTATAACAAAGTCATACTTACATGGTAAAACATCTTAATTCAGAAAATGATGGTTGTGTAAAGTAGCATTCACGTTCACCATGCATGAAGCTGCACGCAGATTCGAGTTCGAGTGCTCAGCTCTTTTTTAGTCAGGTTCTCCAGAATTATACCAAGATAGCCCTTTCTCGATACTCTAAGCGCGCTTTCTGAAAAGAAGTCAGGGAAGCACGCGGCTTTGTAAGTGACAAAAATCATCGATAAAAATAAACAGCCGATGACACTCGCGATGGACGGCTTTGACAGCGGAGAGAAAGCAGAAAACTTTCAGAACGAATTCCCCATAATTGCTCCTCCGTTTGGCGGTCTGCTTATTGCTGTAGAACGCTGTCCACTTTGTGAACGAACGAAGAAGCCCTTTACATGTCAGAAGTGCGTGGAAAAGGGGGATTTTGTGCACTCCAACAGCTGTGGATTCGGCAAGAATTCAGAAAGGTAATCAGTCATAGCAATGTTTGTGTACAGTACGAAACGCGGTAGGCCTATGACCACAGCCCAATTTTCAATGATAGTTGCATCATGGAGGAATGGTTGCATCATCGTGTACTGTACTCAATGGAAGTATTTTAGTTCAGTTTGAGGAGAGAATGTGGCTGTCGTGGAGTTATGAGGCGTCACAAATATTGTAAAAATTAACAACATTGGACAATTATTTAATAAAATTGTTTTATGACTTTTACAATTTTACTGTTCCAAATATGCGATTAGGGCCTATGTTATAGCTCCATGGTTTAATCTCCATTCCATTTTGAAGTTATGTGGCAACTTGCTGGCAAACATGTTACATCAGATTTTTTAGGAATTGGGCTATTTCGTGCTGGCTTATTTTTTAGTTTTACAGAGTAAAAGACATATTATGATAATTGTAGATGAGAAGTATTTAATTTTACAGGTGATTGCGATGGTGAATAAAGTCAAATATTGTTCTGCAGGTTCTCGGACAAGTTACACCGCCTGCATCATTTAAGAAAAGAGAGATTAGACATCTTTGAGAAGTAAGTTGCCAGAAACCTGAGGAGTCATGTTAAACTGTCATTGCATATTTTCTTATTAATTTGTGAAATTGTTAATAAATAGGACTTCTGTAGTCTGCACAATTTTCACCACTTTAAACAACAATCAAAGTGATGATGTACCTGAATAATTGTAAAAACAAATTGTAAGACAAGTTTTCCAAAGTCTCTTTCGGAGTTGACCTTTTTAGCAGGTTTTGAAGTTATTTTAGTGAGCTTAATGATGATGACAGTTTGATATTTTATGAATAGTATTTTTATGTCAAAAAATAAGAGGGAATCGTTATATTTTCTAAGTAAACTTTGACAATGAAGTCACACTGAACTAGTAAGTGCTTGACATTTATGTGAAATTTGAATCAACACATATTCTTCAAAAATGAAAGCGTCATGACATATTTAACAAATGGCATTTTGGTGTTTTGAATGGGAAAAATGATTTAAGAATCATTTCAAATTTTGTTTTGCAGAGTTTCCAAGAAGTTAGACAGAGCAGTCTCCATTGCAGCCAAGGTAAAAACAGATGCACTAAAAAGTACCAGCCCACAACAAAAAGTTCTTTGCAAAAATGACACATGCATTTACAAAATTGCTGAAAATTGGTTTATTTAACATTCCATCCAAAAAATGTTTGGGAGAAAAATGTATATATTTACAAATAGGATAAATAGCATTCTTGAATTGATTTTTTAATGATATGTTTTTTTATGCTCAGAAATGGGAGATCTCAATGTTAAAGGATCGATTAGAGTTGATGCAGAAAGCTTTGGAAGAAAGCAAAGAAAGATGCTTAGCTGGTAAGTTAGTGTCAGTTATTAAAGTAACGTTATTTCTTTAAATGTAATTTCTGTTAATGCAATCCTTGAAAATGCACCTTTGTATTCCATTTAACTTTATTTTCAAGGGTAATGTGGTGTCTTTTTGGTTGTTATACTGATGCAAATTTCCGTATTCATGAGCAAAAGTGTGATGTCATTTCAGGCAGAAACCTCAATGTTACAGTTGTTTCAGCACCACAAGTTGCCAGAATGTTGGATATATTGCTATCGCAATTTTGTTTTCTTGGTGATTCGTTGTTGTGTCAGTACATGGCAGTAAGCCAATGAGCAAACATTTCTCACAAATGTCTTAAATGAGCAAATTTTTGTGTTCACAATTTGAACACAAACCCCCTAAACTGAACAGTGCCATCCTGAAATGACATCACAGTAACAGCCCCCTCAGTTGTCCGGAAAAGCATGGACAATTTTGAATGTTTAAAGAAGTGCACTTTTCAATAAAATTAACCAAAACTGGATGTCAAATAGTTTTCATGCATTTTTAACGGAGGAGAAAGTTGCACAGAATATGTTTCTAAGAAAAATTCATTGCATGGACCCTTAAAATGACCAGAATAGCATTTGTCAGTAATTTTGTTGCTTGAAGGAGATTTTTTGGGGGGCCATTGATGTTTCATTGTACTGGCAAAGGGACAAATTTATAGGTATATTTGTAATGGACACCATTTTCAAAAGGAATGTGTGTTTTTGCAGATTCAAGGAGCAATACATAAATCTGAAGCAGGTTATTAAAAACTAACCTGTCAAAATTTCATCTCGGTAGATGTCCTTTTGGAGAAAAGTGTGAAAATGCAGATCTTCATTTATCTCATTGTAAAACATAGGTTTCTATTAAGCATGATGGTTTGGTCTTTATCATTTCAAGGAAATTATGGTAATCCTCTTTCCTATAAATATGTGTTTAAACAGAGAATCTGTTCGTTTTCACAGGATTATCAATATGTGATGCGATCAAGCTAAATGAGTTGTTTGTCGACCCAGTTAATTTTTTTTTTTTTTTTTACAGATTTGAATAGAGCACAATGTCAGTATTACTGCTGTGAAAATCGCATGCTGATATCATCTTTAGTTCAAAAATTATGGCAGTTGGAACACATAGAGATGTGTTGAAGTGATGTGATGAAGTGGCCCTATTTTGGCCTGTATCTCCAAATGAAAGTTCCCGACAAACGACTCGTTTAGCTTGATCGCATCACATATATTCTTCACAAAATTGGACATCAAACCCAATGTAAAGCACAGGTGATAGCGATATTTACATTCCTCAAGCCACCAAAATCCCGCAAAATCTGATTTTAGGATTTTGGTAGATTTGTGAAAGGAAGGGTTTAAAGAACAACGAAGTATGTTGTATTGAATGTACCTCAGTCATTGTAGAAGAGAAATTTGAGAAACTCTACCTTTGAATTTTTCTCCAGATAAAGCTTCCAAGACATCACAAAGTGCAAAGATCAAAGACAAGGTGACCACAGCAAGAAACCATATGATCAAGCTAGAACGCACCACCAAGTGCATAGGTAGGAGAAAAGTTGTCCAGACTTTTAGAAGTTTTTAAGTGTATTGATGATAGTTGTCATTATTGTTTTTTATTTCTGGTAATGAAACCAAGGATTCCTCAAAAGCGCCCTGGGCACTGTAGCAAGCCTGAAAAAACCTACAGAGAGGAGAAAATGAAGAAATTACCATTTTAGACATGGGAGGAAATCCCCAGAAGGAAATTCTTGGGAAAACTCACTGAATCATGTAGGGACTGAAATCCAATCCACATGTGGACCAGGGCAGGAATCGAACAGAAATAAATATTGTTTATGAGTGCAATGGTAAGAATAATTTCATTAGGTGACAGATGGAATGTTCCATTCCACATGGCGAACTGAATGACGCTATTCTTTCCATTGCACGAATGTGAAACATTCATTGTTTGTTTTTGAATAAATCCTCATCATCTGATTGGTCCGAGTCACCAATAGTATGACCGTGCAATGAAACTTCTATTTACTGCGGAATAGAACTTTTTTGGGTGGTTCGGCCAGGCTGTGGGTTGGGACGATAAATTTAATGACATGTGATCAATGACCTACCAATCAGATGAAGGGGTTTTATTCAGGCGTTGCATAAAATAAATTGTTGCCTGTGAATTTTTCTCCAAATTTTATGAGATAATTCATAAGATGGAATTTTTTTTGCGTCGGGGGATGTAAATCAATATAAGGTTTTTCCCTTCACCGACGTATAAACACTGTATACTCAGCGTGTTACCTCCCGAGTGAAAGTTGGAAAAATCACTCGGTGGTCGAGTGGTAATACGTCTGCACTATTCATAAGATGAAATGTTTGCGTTGGGCTGATGTAAAACAATTAGGTTTTGCCCTAGAAAGCAGGAGGTCGTGGGTTCGAGTCCCACCCGAGTGATTTTTTCCAACTTTCACTCGGGAGGTAACACACTGAGAATACAGTGTTTGTACGTCGGTGAAGGGCAAAACCTAATATTGATTTATGAGATAAGTTTCTTTTGTAATTTGCTTCATATAACGCTTCATTTTGATTGCATTTGTAGATCATGGCAAAACTGTATTAGGCAGTCGGCAAGCTGAGCTTGCTGGTTGTGAAAAGAGGTTGTCTGAATTGAGGAGAAGCAATGTGAATCAGCTGACCACCTACATCTTCACAATCAATGAGATCCACACTGGGTAAGATAGGAGAAATATTTGAGAGAATTGTGCCGTTGATGATACAAGCATGGCGTTTGGCACACAGTCAGAATATGTCTTAAGAAAGGTGGCTATAGGGCCATCGCAGTTTTGTCCTTTGAAAAAATAAAGGTAGATTAACAATTTTCAAAATTTCAAAATGGTCACCATTGCTTGCTATTCTACATGTACCTATGGTTGCAGACCAGTAAATCGGTCCGAAATTGCCTACGCTGGCTAAATCACGATTTGCATGCCCTCAAAATCTTCAGTATTTGAGCATGCTGTGGACCATGAACTTGAGGGTTTGTAAAAAATATGGGTGGAAGCCGTGCACAGGACTGTGAACTTGTAGTTCCGTTCAATTTGGATGAAATTGGGGCCCTTAAAGCGCTCTATTTTGCAATGGAGTGTAGGCATCGTTTTTCAAAATGGCGATGGGCTTCAGGACTATTTTCAGGGGTGATCATCTTCGGATGGAAATTTCTCCTAAAAGTCATCAGTTGACCCCCCCCCCCCCCCCCCCCGAAAATTGAAAAGAAAATGAAAGATGATGAAATAAGCTTTAATCTGATGTGTGTCCCGAACACCTTGGAGAGTTGTGAGTATTTTTCCCGAATTTCTGAAGTGGGAGCATTTACCATTGGGGTCTATGGAAGTTTATTTACTGGTCGGCAACCCTATATAGTTTCAAAGGACAAATCTGCGATCCCCCTTTAGCCAAATATCTTTGTCATGACATACTCTGACTGTGTGCCAAGTGCCATGCGTGTATCATCAAGGGCACAATTCCACTACCTATCTGCTGTACTACACGCTCTGATTTGGGTCGCAAAATGCTGAATTCGAGATACTTGGTTTTTAGGCCATGACTGTGTAGTGTGAGGAATGTTACAGTTGATTTGGATTTTTTTTAACAGTGGTTTGAAGTGTTTGGCCCAAGGGGTCACTGAATTGTTCGTTTTGAGTTCTGCTTGGCAAGTTGAATGGAGTTTAGGGATAGTCAGTTTGAAGTCGAAACCATGGATGAGTGTTGATTACCAACAGAGAGAGAGAGTCGAAACCTGAGTGTGAAATCCAAGTCCTTTGTCTTCTTTTGGAATCGTCTATGTGCACATTTAGTCCTGAGTGGTGTGCCTTACAACCCTGCTAGTTTTCTGCACTTCACAAATATCAGATTTTTTCTTTCAGCATGAATAATATATTTTACTGGATTTTTCAAATATAGATTATTTTTGCATTTGTTCTTTTTTTCTATTTTTTTAAAAGATGTATATGGGTCAGTCAGTAAATTTTAGGCCCAGAGTGGGACATTATACAAATATAACATGGTTTGAGGGTGGACAGTCGATATTAACTCCCCGAGGTATTGGAAGCTGACAAACTAGTTCCCGAGGCAAAACCGAAGGAACTAGTTTGTCAACTTCCAATACCGAGGGGAGCGAATATCGACTGTCCACCCGAATTAAACCATGTTATATTTGTTTTACTATACCTCATACATATTCAGCGCCGATTTGTTTGTTTTTTTAATGAAGGAACCTCAAACAATATTTTTGTTGGAAAACTTGTCCAGTTCACCGAAAGAATCACAACTTCACTAGTTCAGTTCGTTTACCATACAGTGCAGCTGTAAATATAGTAGTTTGTGTAAAACATTCTTTTGTACAGGAGGCATCTTTAAAAAATAACTCGCCGTGCAACCTTAACCATCTCTTCATGTGTAGCTCGTTTGGGCGGTGTTCGCGAATGCATACTACACCCCTGCGACAGTTCCACGATTGCTTTGTAAAGCGCATGCATAGTAGACTGTCGCACGGGTAAGCCGTGCAACAGTCTACTACGCATGCGTATTTACTCTGTGCGTGAATCCTTGCGCGCACACTTGGTAAACAGCAAAAATAACATCTGGCACGTGATGGTGAATTGACCAGTGAGAGTTCGGCTCTCGATCATGAATATGTACGAGGTATAGTAATTTTTTTCTGTCCCTGTTACCTTGGTAATTTGCAATTTGTCATTCAAGCATCATTAAGAATGACTTTAAACAATTTTATATTTGCTTGTTCGTTAGTTTGGGTGTTCATAATCACTCTTGGAGGATGATTGCATTAAGGAGTGCGTGTCAGATGTAACAGGAAAGAGGACCCAAAATTCATAGAATGACCCATATCAATTTCCCCAAGTCTGCTTTCCAGCTGTGTTGGATACTTACTTCAGTTGATGCAACGTTGAAATAAACCAAGATTTTTTTAAAAATAAATTTGATATCTTTTCCCCAAAAGGGACAGTAGACCAGCAGATGCAGAGGAAGAGAGTGACCGGCTTGTGGCTGATTTGGCCGAGGCCAGACAGCTGTCCTACGTCCAGGGGCGATGGATTGAGACTGAGAATAGTCATGAGGTGCAGTACAGCCTGGTGCACCCCAGCGCGGTATGTGTACCGGCTAACGGGGACTACACGGCATACAGTGCTTGGGGTGAGACCTGCCTTCAATTCCATGGCTCTGCTAACCACAGAATTCCGCACTTTAAAGGGAATATACATCATTTGCTTTTGCCGTAATTTTCAGAAATGGATGGATTTGGGGGGTTGGTAATATATAGCAAATATTGTTACACACTGACTTTTTTGACGTTTTGGGTTTTCGTAGATGATGAAAAAAAAACAAGAAACACAATCATTTTCCTGTAGTCTGGTTCCCTGACTCCATTTTAGATGAAACAGAGCAATTTATAGACATTGGGGAATTGTAAGGTCAAGGAACCAGTGTAGCTGGTTTGTACCCATTCATACGTTTGTAATCGATTGCAAACAAATGCGGACTAACTAAATATGGTCATTTGGGGCCAGTATTTGAAAAAAAGGCATAAATTAATTAATACATAAATACCACTTTTCTTGAAAATGACAGTATACCAGGTGCCACGATTTTACAGGATGCTTTAGACTGTCATTCACTAATAGTCCAACAAAGTATTTCAGAATAATTTGGTAGTTACATTGTATATTTTTTGATGTTTGCAAATGTTGTATTTTCCCTTTAATACAATCACCATTTTTACTAACGGTTCTCAGAGCAAAAAACAATTCTGTGCTTACCCTGTAATCACAGACTCGTTAGTTACAGGATATATGCATGTGCATAAGCGAAAATACCTCGCTTGTAAAATATGCTAACTGTAAGCAAGGAATTTCTGCTGCTGTAAGCAGGGATTTTTTCCTGTGGAATTGGCCCCCCTCTCAGAACCAGTCCCAAGTCTCTGGCATTTTTGCTTGAGCAAACTTTTTTTGTGCTGAACAAACAACAGTAACACTTTTTCTGAAATTCCTTTTTGGAATCATTTACAATGCCTTCATACATTTCATTCAGTTGGTTTTGGTGATGTAGATTTGCTTACTAAAGTTTATTATTTTGCAATATTTTGTGGTACCTTGTTTGACAAACAGCAGAAGTGCAAGTACAGTGTGTGGTGTAATATTGACTGCTTAACCCCTTAAGGACGGGTTATAATGGGGACATTCCTCCACACATAGAGCAAGTGGCCCGCATGACTGCACAGCCTTTGTGTGGTAGCGGGACTGCACAAAAGCAGCAGCTGTGGAACTACCCACTAGCTGTGTGCCACGGCATACCACAGCTGGCAACTGCATTCCAATGAGGATTAGCGGCCGCGGCCATGACCGCTTCCCGTGCGCATGGGGTTAACCAAACGTGAGCTAAACCAAATGGAATGCTAAAGTTCCAAAATTTCATCTCAAATGACCTAGCTTGTCCTCCCTTTGCTCCTGAGAGTAGGCCACCCATCCCCATCGTCAGTTCCTGCACTGAATCCATCACATGATTCCTTCTCTTTCCTCCGTCTGCAGTTGCGGCCAAAGAGAATGCCAACCAGGGTACTGACACCCAACTGGACCTCAGTAATCCTGGTAAAGTCCTGAGTGGTGCCTTGTGCCACACGGCTCAGCTGGTGTCACTCCTCACATACTACCTCGGCATTGTGCTTCCCAAAAAGTGCCCCTTCAGGTCCGCTTTGCTTTTTTTACATTTGAACTATAACCACTGAAGCTACTTAAGATAAAAGGCTACAGGCTTACCCCTGTATCCCAAGAGCACATTTGAGCAGTGCAGTACTTGCTAAACATGACCTAATCTAAAACATCCACAAGGGATTCATAACAGATCGTGTTCGATGAGGATCAGCACAGAAGTTGCAACCATACCCTTACTACCCCTACTCCTGCCCCTAGGGGATGGAAGCAGACTCTCTGTACTGGAAGGCAGTCAGTATTTTGCTTTCGCTCAGCCAGCCGTCAGAGTCCAAAAGTGGGTTGGGGGAGTGGGGGGATGGACACTGGCTGACAATTGAAGGCACTGCTCAAGCAGATGATATTGCACACCTCGGACCATATGTGTCGCTCTGTGATGTGACAAGTAAACAAATCTGTGAACACCTACTTTTTTGGGGGGGGGGGCATGGTGCCATTCCCCCTCCCCCCTCCCTTTCCCTCATCATTGAGGGGTAGGGGATGGCACCATGCTTCCTAAATACACACTGATCCACATGTCTTTGAACTAAGCCTTGACACACACGATCGAACCAAGTACTGCAAAATTGTGAACTTTAACATAAATAAAGTTGTGTGATCATACTTCTTAAAATACAATGTACTTCTAATGAACTCCTTTCTTATAAGTTCTTTTACAAAGGGGTGCATTGACTTTGCATCTTTGCATATGCCTGTCAAGATGACAAGCATTCTTAAGATGTTTGTTTTCTCTTTGCAGTGTGTTTTGTGGTGAGCAGCTCAGTTCTCATGATTTCTACAAGGCTGTTGACAAACTCAACACAAACGTCCTCTATCTCTGCTTCAGTCAGGTGAGTCAACATCACATGATCAGAAACCTTGACACGTTGGTTCCTGTACCGCCCCAAACTGCCCTGATTGTTACTTCCTTCACTGCCCAAATCGCCCAGCACTGTGTGGTTTAATGGCTTCTTCAGGGAATGAATACAGTGTACTACAGCAGCGCATAGGTTAACAGTCAATTGAAATCATTTTATTGGTTTATTTTTTTATTTTTTATTCGTTCATCAAGTCTACAATCACAGCTGAATTAATATGGTATTAACATGTGCGATGCGGTCAAGCTAACTGAGTTGTTTGTGGACCCTGGTCATTTTTTTTCACAGATTTCAAAAGAGCACAATCTCAGCATTACTGCTGTGAAAACCACATGCTGATACCATCTCTAGTTCAAAAATTATGGAAGTCGGAACACCAAGAGATGTGATGAAGTGATGTGATGACGTGGCCCTATTTTGGCCTGTATCTCCAAACGAAAGTTCCAGACAAACGACTCATTTAGCTTGATCACATCACATATTTGGCTATCCATCCAACTTTAACTGACCACATTCTGGGTAAAAATATATTTGGAAGGAAACTGATATTTTATCTGAGACTTATTAGTCGTTTTGAAGCATGGCGGACAGAATAGGTCGGCACTATACGGAAGGTAAACTCTTTTGTATTTACTCAAATTTAGCCACTTCAGTGGGTGCCCTCCTATTGTGTCTGTCATACTTCAAAAAGGCTAATACCGCCGTGTTCAAGATCTATTCCAATTGTTATTGTATTTCCACATGTTGCAGAATGTAGACATTGAGTGCCTGCATCCCCATTACACTGTGCGCAATCTGCTGGCTTTACTGAGTCCAAGTAACGTTCAGCTTGGCAGGTTAGTGTTCAACGAAATAAAACAAATTTTCAATTCACATACCTCCATTAGGAGCCATAGTAAAGACAAAGTTCAAAAATTAGCACCAAAGCTGATGCTTTCAGTGATAAGCCAGAGGCAGATCTTGGGGGGGGGGGGTTCTTGGGGGAGGTGCAACCCTTCTGTTCAGTCCCCGACTAATGTTATGATACTAGAAAAAATGGTGCCAAAGATAATAAATGGAATGCTAAAATTCCTGAATTTCATTTCAAATTGCCTTAGGAGCATTGGAAAGCGTCATAGATTTCTGGGGGGCATATCCCTGGACCCCCCTTGCAGGATGTGCCTTTGGCATGCCTTCACGCCGTCCCCCCCCCCCCCCCCCCCCCATTTCCTGGAAGCTAGATCCACCCATATGGGCAATTCCACGGTTACTCACGTTACATTTTTGATATACTTTTGAGTTTCCTTGGGCTGTAATTACCTTACTGAAAAGGTTCAATAACTGTTATCCCCATGGTAGATAAAGTAAACCTAGACCTACCTAAGCACCAAAGATGACATCCAGAAAAATGTGTTATGTATGTTAAACAAGACGCACAAAATGGGTTACTCACGTTACGAAAATGTGAGTACCGGTGGAATTGTCCATATAAGCAATTGTAAGACTCGGAGGGCTTTGTTTTTGCAATCAGGCTCTCAAAGTTGTTGTCAATTTGAAATTTGTCGATTAGTTTAAATTTCTTAAAATACAATGCCTACCCAGTAATTAAGGATAGTTGATGTGGTATTCTGCACCTGTTGATAAAAATTAGATTCCTATATCTGTTTCAGTTTTGTATTGTTCATATATAGATTGTGTGACCTGTTTGAAAATTGAGCATTTTTATGGAACTGGTTCAATTCCCATTTCAAATTAGGAATGGTCCCATAGACATGACAGATGTACATGCAGACTTACTACTGTCCGTGCCTAGAACCTCCCACATCAGTCTTACCAGTGAGTCGGAGAGCGCCAGCGAATCGTTGTCTCATCTCATGGACGAGGACAGCGACACCTCAGGTGATCTGGAGTGGGAAAACGTCCTGGATTCACAGGTCCCTACTCTCACCGGTAACCCAAGCACGGCAACCAGTCCGCTGCCCGAGTCCGTGGCCTCGTTTCAGCAGGACGGGTCGGAGGACGACGGGGCTCAGTTAGGGGAGACTGTTACGGAGGGTTCTCCCGCGGGAGCAGCCGGTGGACTGATGTCCTCAGCTGCGGCGTCTGTGGTTTCATTCTGGAGAGCGGCAACAAGCCAAAGGTGACATGACCATGGTTTCACTTGGTCCCACTTCCCTAACCCTATCCAAGATCTGTGGGGAACTCTAATTTCTTTGGATAGATTTTGTACCTTTTTAGCCATCACGGAGGAATTTTTTTTTCCTCATGACCCGTATCAACACTTCCATGTGCACGACACGTGTGCACGGAATGTATGTGCATTGTTTATAGCCAACAATGCTCTGCAGACTGCGTTTCCTTCATAAGATACTTTGAAATGGATTTGATATGGATTTTGTGAAGCAGTCACCAGCACCCTTTGATAGGGCCATAGGTACGAGCGAAGGCCCTGGTTAGAAGCAGAGTACCGACTCTGTGCCCCTTCAACAACAACACGCATCTGGTGCCGATGTGATAACATTTTGGTTTGTGTATGTTTAGATGAAACTCAGTTGTGCGTACTGCATGCGATACGCATTTGAAACAGTGTGTGTGGATTGTGATTGGTCACTCCACGCGATCCTGCGCTTATAGTCCAAAAGTCACTGTAGTTTCTGATGTAACAGTTTGAAGACAATATGAAATATTGCTAAGAATACCATCGCAGATGTAGTCAGAGTCTGTGTGATGTAGGTTGAATGTGTATATGTTTACATTGCAATGCTCAAGTTATTGAGGATGTGAATTTTTTGCCCAAACATCTGTAATTCATTAAGTCCGAGTAGTTTTGGGTTGCCCATCCCAAGAAATAGCTAGTGGTAAAGGATAGGAACAAATTTAGGTTCATCAAATGTAATGAAGTGGATTGCCGTGGCCTTATGGTCTGGGGCATTGAATTCGTGGTCTGCGGGTAATTCTGCAGGTTGTGGGTTCGAGTCCAGCCCGGGGGTATGGTGCGTGTGCTCTTGGGCAAGGCGCTTTGTCACTCATTGCTTCTCTCCACCCAGGAGTAGATGGGTACCTGTGAGGGCAGAGATGGTTATTGTGGTTGAATTAGCTTCTTTGCGACTAAGAGGCTGCATCGAGCTGTATACTCCCCAGGGAACTGAGATGGTATTTGGAATCTTTCATTGGCCCAATGATCAGGGGTAATAATAATGTAAAGCGCTATATAAAAATTGGTTATTATTATTATTATTTTAATGATTCTAAGAATGTTGGTAGCTGCAAGAGTTACATTTATATTTTATTAGAAGGTTTTTTTTAATAAGTGTATAAATTGCAAATTTTTTTTGCAAGATGTAATGTAATGTGCAATAAAAAATTCCAGCAAAATGAAAAACTAAAAATATTTAGGCCATAGACACATCCTCCCGGAAAAAAAACACATACGTGTATGTGTTAGCAGCTACCAGTGTTTAAAAATTATGTTGAAGGGAACAATGATTTTTAAGTAACTTTAATACTGTAAGTTTATTTTATTGTCCGATTTTTTTGGGCATGGAAACAGCTTGTAGAATAAAGTGAATAATTATGCAGTTTAAGTATTTAAAATTTCTGGAGTATATTTATTGAAACATGTTCTGTTTTTTTTTTTTGCGATTAAACAGTATTGTTTTGAAGTATTTTGCAAATTTTCATAAATACATGCAGTACCGTATCTTGTTTTGAGTTTTACCTGAGTTCTTTCACTATCATTTCTGTGAGCTCTAAATAGATGGATGTTACACTTGTCCTCAAGATGTGGGCAAAGATATGCTTGAATAATGTGTGTAAGAAAAATGCAATTTGTTTTTGTCCAAAACAATATATTAAGTAAAAAAGACAGCAGTTGTCACTTCACTCTTTGATGGATCAACTGGCATGAGATAACTCAACTATGCACTAAAATCAGGGCATTCAAAATAATAAATAGAACGGAAAACGGATTACCAAGAAACTATCAGCATTTAAGGGAAAGGTGTGAAAACAGAGGGGGAATCCTAGAGGTACCTGGGGAATGGGTGAAATTTAATACTTATTAAACTTGTAGGAGGGATCAGGTGTGTGTGGGGGGGGGGGGCAAGCCAATTAATTTGGGGATGATGACTATGAGTACGGTGTGGTCACGGTTGAGGGCCTTGCCGGGAAGAGGAGAGTTGGGCAGGGGAGAAGGTGATGGATGCATGGTGACTAAAATCGGACAATAACCAACTCCATTCAATTCAAGGAAGTTCCCTAAAATCAATGCAATCCTCGGAGATGACTTGGTTAGGCACTTGGTACTTCTTGTTTCCTCCAAAACCAGGGATTGGAACTAGAATATGAGGCATAGCCCTAACAGTCCTGAATCCTCCAATTTCAATACGATTTTGCACACCCCCTGGAGTTAGGGTTAAGCCAGTAGAGTGGTCATGCCTAGGGTGGAGTTTGCCAGTGATGCTAGACCAGGACTCGAAGATGGATTGTGGTAGAAGATTCAAGTCTCTGGTGGTTCGGGGGAAGAATTGGCGTAGATTGCTGTTTTAATTAAAAAGCTGAATTGCTGGCTATGATTCTAATCTACATGTTGTTTAGGCGTGACATGGTCGGTGTGTTTGATGGCAATATTTCCCTTGTGTATTTTATAATCCAAAGTTCAACGGAATTAGGAGAACAATAATAAGACAGCCAGCTTTCCATATTTGATCTTTATACATCCTTTTCCCACGTAGTTTTAAAAATGACATGCGCTGTATTATAGGTCTCGAAAAAAGTAAAGAATTAGCCAATCGTCGACTTGAGAGGGCGCCATTCAGAAAGTGTGGTTGGCGTATAATTAATTCGCGCGAAGATCCTGCACAGAAAGATTTCACTTGAAGATTAAGTCCAGCCATGGAAGTGAACTTTGGAAAGATTGCCGGTTTAGAAATATAATGAAAACTAAGGTAAGCATACGGCTGGTTGGTGCATAAAGCTTTTGTCAAGTCTATGTCTGCTGCAGTCTCTGCCTAGCGCCTCGCGCATTAAATCATAAATCATGTAAATTAAATGTAACTTTACTTCCGGGAAAGACTGTCACACTGTTGATAGTTTTACATGCTGACTTGTGAAGTTGTGTTGTATTTCATGACGTGACTCGTGACGCCAGTTTTTTCATCATATGGTCGGCCTAGTAGGCCTATCATCGTAATGAGCTGATGAAGTTTGAAAAGTGTTGAAAAGACATGAATGATCTGGGACTGAGAAACAGTTCCAATTTTGTTAGGAAATACTTTAAAATGTTCTTGACTCTCCTTAGACTTCATATCATGATCATGGACTTAGAGTTAGAGTAAACTTTGTCATTTTTGTACATCTGGATATATGCATAAACATAACGCTTAGGATCATCCTAGCTAATCTAGATACTACATTCTTTCCGTTGAAATGTGCCCAGACGTCACAAAATCACATTCGCATTTGCGTTTGCTTTCGGGCAAAGTATGAACCAGCCTTTATAACTTATTGCGTACAGGCGGTACAAGGCCTAGTCTAGTCCACGTCCGCCACCCAGGCTAGGCTAAGTGGTGGACTCCCTTACTGCACTACATTACAGAGGGGTACCTTGTACCTTTGTACCTTGTACCTTGTGGATTAAACTCCCGAACGGTCCACTGGTGATTAAACTGGAAGTTGACAAGAGTGGATTAATGTCTAGTGGGTGCTGTGATGTTTTTGTTGGTTTTGGATGGAGCTTTTGAAGGCGGAAAAAGTTCCGTACCGTATCACCACTTTTTTCAATTAATTTTCAAGCACCAAAAGTTGCATCCTTTATGGTTATTTCCTCCACTTTCCCTCCTGTACTCTCACCCTCTCCTTTCCTTTATTCCTATTTATTAATCAGTCACTTACTTCATTGAGATTCGAACCTCGGACTCTTGCTTGAAACACGAGAAGATCGCTGTTGCAATGTTCAATCTTTGGACGTATTTGAAGTATCCATTGAAATAAACTAAATATTCATGAGAAAATAAATATTCATAATAGCGTATTGCACTATCATTGGCCGACTCATGCGTTGTCATGGTTGTCGATGTCATGCGTATAACGTACCGCTGTCTTCCAGACTTCAATCAGTTTTGACCGGCTGCTTCAACTTACATGTAGTTCTGCACGATGTGCGCATCCAAAATGTGCTCTAAAAACACATTTTTCCTAAATTGCTTTCGCATTGCCGAGGCTTCCTGGATTCCTCTCGGGTGAAATCACAAGGTGAGGTGAAAATTGATGTGAAATTTGGCGGCAGGTAAAGTGGTGATCCAGTATGGAATTTTTTCCAATGTCCCTGCTTTTCTTGGTTCCTGGGTTCCAAGCGGCAGAGGCATACTCCAAATGTGGTTGGACGATGGTTTGGTAAAGGTTTTCTTTAACAGTCTTTGAGCACTGGTAAAAATTTCTTTGCACAAAATTTAGCATCTTGGTAGCTTTGGTTGCTGCATAATGAGATTGTTTGTCTCATTTCAAATTATTTTGAGAAACAACACCAAGGTATTTGTCCTCAGAGACTTCCTGCAGGGTTTCACCTAGGGTACTTCTAGAATTAGGGGTACCGGAGGGGGTCTTAAGTTGCACTGTTTTACTTTTACAGTACAATTAATGCCAGTGAGGAACGGCAGTCATAATGCGGTAATCCTTACTTTTAGGACACCTCTATTTTGTACGAGTTCTGTTCAAAACTGACTTTTGCAGATGACTGTCCAGTACCAAAGTGACTTTTGCAGGCTAAAGAAGTCTTTTTTCTTCAGACAAACTCATGTTAGTTATAATTTTGAAAGCACTTTCAAAGAAAATGTGACTTTCCTACCTTTTTTTGCAGTTCGCCATCTTGCTTTTTAAATTTATTTTCTGTTTGTCATCGTCGTCTTTAACCCCTCATAAATCAAAACCCTGCCCTCTTTCTACAAAATCAAACCTGCTGATATTCAAGAGGTGTCATTGCCAAATGTTCAAATGTGTCAATAAATATCAGAATGTCACTTTTGAGTGTCATAGTCAGCTGTTTTGGTGAGTCTTTTAACCTTTATATAGGAAAGGGGTCCTAAAAGTAAGGATTACCCATAATGCAATGAGGAGGGCGTTCAACCTTGGCTAGGCTAAGTGCAAACTGTTCCTATAATAAGCCTAGGCCTACTTAAATTTACGGGCCTGGTTCCTATAAGGGAACAAAATCCACTTTTAAATATTTGACTTACCAAACTAGTTGGCGACATTATGACCATACAGGTATGTCATAGATAAAGGGCAGGGTTTTGAATTTTTGAGGGAAATTTGGGGTAAAATGATGATGACAATGACACTACCCCAAGAAATTGTTTAAAAATTACGAAAAAGGTGTCATTATATTGAGAGAAGTCTGCTCTAGATTGAAAAGGTTATTTTTGAGTAATAAAAAACATTCTTGACTCCAATTTTATCGAAACTAAACAGGGGCCCTACACTACATGATCGCCCACGTAGCGGCAAAGCCCAATCTATGGTCGGTCACTGGACTAATTAAGCGGACTTTAGTGATTGGCCGACTAGGGCTAGTCATTTTAGAAATTGGGGAACCCCACTCAGCTCTAACTTTAATACTTTTGGAAATTCGAAAATTAGAATATCGATTACTACTGAGCATAGAACTAGAGCTGGGGTTCCCCAAGCTATACTCATGGTTATACTAGCGTTATACTTCTTACTAGGTAGCGCCATTCTATAAACACTAAAATTCGTCGATATTGTGAGTCACTCAGTGATGCATGCCAAATTTTTTGAAAAATTGTGCTCCCTGAATCTGAATCTAGACTGTTCACTAAGGAAGCTACTTCAGCAGGAACAAAAAAATAAAACTCGGCCACCTCTACTTATCCACTTCTTATCCAGCAGTCATTACGGACCAGATTTTTTTACACCTTGTATCTTCCTGTACTGTGCAGAAACCTCCTTTTATATTTGGAGTATACTCCATTCCTGTTTAACTCAACAAACCTTGCTGACATTTATGATCTTTTTCTTTGGCATAATTTGCAATTATTGGAAAATAAGGAACACTTGGAATCTTCAGCTGGAAGAAAAATAAAATAGAATTGGGAACCAATTGGAAGTGTAAGAAGTTCCTGCTAGTTTTTGAAGATTGACGGGTGACTTTTTTTTTTCATACAGAAAATGGCCTGGGTAATATTCGATCCTTCAACTACTGATCTTGACACGTTTCTCAGGGAAAAGGCCCCTTCCAGACTTTACAGGTAAAAAGAACCATGCAAGAATCATAGAGGGACTAATATTTCGTCTGAAAATTTGGTTTTCTGATTGCTTTTGACTATTAAGACTGATAATCCTGAAACTTAATCACAAGATGCACAAGTGCGCAAACAATAGACTGATTGCAGAAAATAACACAGCATATTGGTTGCACAGCATTTCTGCAGTATTGCACAAGTAAATGTACAGTGATTCCAAACAAACAACTGATTTCCAGTCTCTACTACAATGTGTATGCATTATCCACAGATCTTGTGCACATTTTCTAATCTAGTCTGTAGTTGCAAGATAAATCACTCGATATTCTGAATGGTGTATATTATTTGGGGGGTTCTTTTTGCAAATTGTTGGCATTTAGTAATTTCCTTTTTTTCCATTTTTCTTTTCTCTTTTGGATACTATGCAAATATGCGAAATGTAGTATTCTCCCCCACCCCATCCACAACAATATTCATAGTTTGCAGGCAAATTATCAATAATATGAAATAAACGAATATACATTTAAAACATTGTTTTCACCTAAAGGGAGGACGGTGTTGCGTGGATATCTGTCAGACGCTCAACGAGCAATTTGCAGCATGAGGAAGAAACTGGCCATGATGAAGACCTGATCAAAGAAGGATTGGAGTTTGGAAAGGAAGAAGAACTTGAGGAAGAGGAATTTGAGGAAGAGGAATTTGAGGAAGAGGGATTTGAGGAAAAGGGATTTGAGGAAGAGGAAGAGGAATTTGAAGAGGAAGACAGTTGGAATTCTCCAGACTTAAAAACTGCATGGGAGGAGCTGTTTGCTAGGTACACAAGTAGACCCACTCATGAGGCAATTTGCAGCTTTGCCAAGGAACAGAGGTAGGGACATGGATTTTGAAAAATAACAAATTCAAACATTTCATGAAGTTCTGAAGTCGTATCCGTCCTTAGTGATTCCCGTTTGTTATTTCGTTGGCTTGCAGCATTGCTATTATGTTGCTAGGCATGGTAGCTTTGGGCATGATCCCTGGCTACATGGCATACACAGGTTTGTGGCTTCTGACTAGCGCCCCTTGAACAAAACATCGACAAAATGAGGAACCGCCAACATAGGGCTGGATAGCTCAGTTGGCAGAACATCGGAACGGCAGTCCTGACATTGCAGGTTCAAAACCCACCAGCTCCAGTCAATTTCTTTGATCCACTTTGTTCAAAGTTGTAATAATGCACCTAGTTGGTCTCCTTGTGTGGTTTATTTGAAAATTTGTAATAAAACTCTGCATCCTCTCTGATGAGTGATCCACGTTTGCTATTTCCCAGGTTAGCAGCATTGATAAGGCCAAAAAAATATATAATACATGTAGTTCTACTACCCTACCTACCCTATTTTGACAGCCCCTACCCTAATTTTTTGGGGGGCCCAGAAAATGAAGAAAAAAAACCCGAAACCATCAAGTACTACAGGTCTTTTACCCTTGACTACACGCAGACACCTCTGTATGATCGTACACAAAAAAATTGCCCCCCCCCCAAAAAAAAAAAGTGTCCCACCTACCTACCCTACTTTCAAATGTCATGTAATCGGAAGCAGAACTATTTTTTTGTTTGGCCTAATGTTGCAAGTGTATAGTATCTTGAAATTGGGCTATCCGGAGGTCACAAGGTCAACCCTGTTTCAGTCAGTTTGAATCATACATGTCATTGCTACAGCTTGACCTTACAAGCATTGTGAAGACAATGTCAATTTGCAGTGTGTCATTGTGTAGTTCATAATAAGCAGGATTGTTTTTGTAACACATTTTATGCCCTGACTGCAAAGGAGGATTTGGATGCATTTTTTTTTTCCTTTTTAAATTTGATGCTGTTTGTTATAAATATTTTCTTGGCTTAATTTCAAGTGATGGAAAGAAGAAAACAAGATGTTGTCACCAGTTTGTCAGTCTGTAATTCATAAGCCATGTTGAGCGGTTCAAAATGTAACCAAAGTATGTTCTTCAAATTCAGATGCATGGTCGGTAAATGGCTACTACATGCAGCAACAGGCAGTCAAATCGATGGTCTATGGAGTGACATCGCCAGAGCCGTAGTGGAAGGCAAACTGGGCTCAGCGGCCAAAGTCAGCCCTCGGAGAGAAGAAGGCGCATACATGTATCATGTAATTTGCGTCTACAATGACGACTTCACGGACATCGAAGCAGTGCGTGGTGTGGAGAAGGGTATCCGTAGTCTGGGGTTCTTCAGAGATATGATGTATAAGCCCGACCTGTTCACCTATTTGAAGATTGACGACAAGAATCACTACAGAGTGAAACCAAACATATACAGCAGTAAGCTGGATCGCAGCACAGAGCAGCTAGTTTTCAAGTTTACCCAGCCGTGAGTTTTCGTCTTGGCTACCTGTACATCGTACTGCCTTCGGGCATTCCATGCGTTTTGATTGACCATATGATTTTGAATCATACTGACAATACATCAATTTCTTTTAAATTCATGTTGTGTTCTTGTATGATTTAGCAGACATCAGTATTTTGTAGGAAAAAAAACATCATTGCCACTATTTTAATCGAAATAATTTACTTAATAGAAATACTCCTTTTAGACTATACCGATCGACTTTTAGGCCAAAAACAAAAAATATTCGGTGGTCAGACCAAAGTTCCGGGATTGACGCGGGGCCTTTTTTTTTTTTTTTTTTTGGCTTTTTTTTTTTTCCTTTGGCTTTTTTTTTTTTCTTTAAGCTTGGATTGTACAGACAAGGTGGGGTACTATTTTGCTTTTTTGGTGTCCTCATGTACATTGGTGTCCTCCATATTTTGCCTTGGTGCAATTTCCCATTCCTTGGTGTTCTTTGGTAAAAAAAATTGAGGAAGTGCGGCAACAGAGTTCCGCTGTTGGAGCTACCGCAGAACATTTTGGAAAAAAAAAAGATTGACGCGCATGATTAAAATCGACGCGCGCGCTGACCAGAGACCGACTTATTTTTTTTTTTGGCCTTATGTGGCTAGTATTAAATAACCTGCGAACTTAAAACCTGATCATTTCTAATTGAACAAAACTGTAATGAAGAATTCTTGGCATCCTGATGAGAAATAAGGACAAAAAGCCAGCATATAACATGAAAGAAGTGTCACAGCCTGCACTCATTGCGTGCGAAATGTTTCTGGCTATGTCAATAGAGGGCGCTGTATTTCTTATGTTTCTTATGGAAACATATTTGTTCAGCAAACAATGCTCTTTAAGTTCCATGGGTTCCATTTTCCCTGTTTAAACATGGCTATTATTATCAGTGTTGTAGTACTCGTACTCGGTACTCGAGTACTACTCGAGTACTTTTTTTGGAGTACTCGTACTCGCACTCGAATGTCAAAGTACTCGTACTCGAAATGACAGTACTCGTACTCGGGCAGCAAAGTACTCGTACTCGACATGTCGAAATTGTACACGGTCATCAAAGTACCCGTACTCGAATAGCAGTACTCGGGGAAAAAATGTTATAGCTTCACTTACCATGGCCTTATTTTATCAATACTTTCAGTTTGAAATAGTTGATTGGCTTGTGGAGAAATCAAGATTTCCTGATTTTCCTCTGTGCAAGTCCGGACAAACACATTTAACAGCTAGCCGTGAGTGGGTCTGTATATCGGTCTGACTGGGCCTGGGCCAATTACGCAAAATGAACCATTTGCCGTATGGCCGTATTCGGAAATGCGAGTACTCGTACTTGTACTCGTTAGTACTCGTACTCGTACTCGGAAGTACAAGTACTCGTACTCGGCAACCCAAGTACTCGGCAGTACTCGGTACTTGGAAAAAAGTACTCGACTACAACACTGATTATTATTAAGCAATAAATTAGAAATGCTCCATACAAGTGAAGTTAAGAACTAAATGGGTTACACGGGGGTCTAAAATCCGATGAATCTACGGTACTAGCTTTAACTAACCATTTAACTACCTTTAAACAAAAATATTGGCAAAGGTGTACACCGTTTATTATTGTTGCACTTCTTAAATTGCATTTTCCAATATAATGGATCCAATTGTGTGATGACAAATTTTTGTTTCTTTTTCTTATTTTTTAAACTTTACAGCAGGTCAACAGAAGCCAACCCTCAGAGTAAAATGACACAGTTCATGAAGAAGATTTCTAAACCCCCTCCACACAAGCATAAGGCTCCTCCCACGGAAAGGCCATTCCTTTCATTTTTACGGGTGCCTCGTAATTCTGGAAAGCGTATCCGCCGGAGTAAACCTCTAAAATCGTAAGAATGTTCCCAATGGAAATATCTCTGTTTAAAGTTTAAAAAAAATAACCCACTAAACTACCAGATTATTATTGCTTGACTGTAAGTGAATAAGCATCCTTTGAAAAATCGTGGCACTGGGTGTGCTGTCATTTTCAAGAAAAGTGAAATTTTGGTATCAATTTGCAATGATGGTCAGCCGACCGTCGTTGGAAAAACCTTACTTTTTTCAAATACTGCCCCTAATGTAACAAATTTAATTAGTCCACATTTTGTTTGCAATTAGTTACACATTCATGAACGGGTGCAAGCCAGCAAGTCTGGTTCCCTGACCTGACAACTCCCTGACAAAAATGATAAATTGAGAATATAATGAAAAAGTTAAGGAATTTTGGGGAAAAATTTGCTTTGCCTTCCTTTGAGGCATAGAAACCTTTGAAAATGGGCAAGAATCAAAAGCCAGGACTTGAAGGTTTGCAGGGTGGAAAAGTCAGTGGATGTGGGGATTAATCTCTTCTGTGGCTGTGTGTGGTTCTGAAAATAATCTGTTCGGTACCATACATTTCAATCCCGGGACATACCGTTATTTCGTTTTACAGTTTTGGATTTCCTCAAAAGAAAAACAGTAAACAAACCATTGACCGTTTTGTCGCTTTACAGTTTTGTAAAACGGTCAAAACGGTATTAAGATAAATACGGTTTCTCTGTTTTATAAGTTTAATAAAATTCATTACAGCATAACGATCAATGATTTCTGTTTTACAGTTTTACACAAATAACTTTGAAAAACAGCAAAACGGTCAGTATTGAATACAGACTGTTTTTTTTTTATTTCAGTGTCATAGTGAACAGTCCGTGCTGCATTTTGTGGTGCTGGGCAAGATGGATGGAGGGGGACCATGCTTTACATGAAAAAGTGTTACCTCGGCATAATGCGTAGTGTGATGATTCCTGGCGTGACCCTGACCCCCTTCTCACGCGATTCAGTTGGTGGGGCTTAAGAGTTGCAAGCAAAAATGGCGCTGGAAAACTTCAAGGGAGGACATTACTTTTTTACAATGGATACAGGATGGTATTACGTTTGAAGAAGTTGCAGATATTTGAAGGAAATTGGAGTTCGGCGCGGCTCTTCAATAGCCAGTTCGAAAACTATGTCGTGAGAACGAAATGTGAGGAGGGTAATTTGGGTCCCAGGCAATGGCTCGATCCCATGAGGACGGATTAACATTCCTAAGCGCATTGCTTAATTGCAGAACCTAAATCAAAAAATGGTCGCCAGGACTATTGACCGTTTTTCATTGTCATGTTCTTGTAAAACAACACTCTGAAATGAAGCAACTGACCGTTTATCGCTTTCAAGAAAAACAACAAAAAGGTCATTGTTTTTTGTGACCTAATACCGTTTGACCGTTTTACAAAACTATAAAATGACAAAACGGTCAATGGTGCGTTTACTGTTTTTGTTTTTTAGGAAATCCAAAACGGTAAAACGAAATAACGGTATGTCCCGGGATTCATTTCACACAGGAGACTAAAAACGGACAGATCATACTGAAACGTCGAGTTACCAAAACTGGTTCTTTTCATAACCACACAAAGTCGCAGAAGAGATTTGAATAGATGGTGCTATCGCAAACTCCACATCTACTAAATGCCAAGACATGGTATGAAATGCCAGGACGTTGTATGAAATGCCAGGACGTTGTATGAAATGCCTGGACATTGTATGAAATGCTTGGACGTTGTATGAAATGCCAGGACGTTGTATGAAATGCCTGGACGTTGTATGAAATGCCTGGACGTTGCATGAAATGCCAGGACGTTGTATGAAATGCCTGGACGTTGTATGAAATGCCAGGACGTTGTATGAAATGCCAGGACATTTTATGAAATGCCAGGAACGTTGTATGAAATGCTAGGATGTTGTATGAAATGCCAGGACGTTGTATGAAATGCCAGGACGTTTTATGAAATGCCTGGACATTGTATGAAATGCTTGGACGTTGTATGAAATGCCAGGACGTTGTATGAAATGCCTGGACGTTGTATGAAATGCCTGGACGTTGCATGAAATGCCAGGACGTTGTATGAAATGCCAGGACGTTCTATGAAATGCCTGGACGTTGTATGAAATGCCAGGACGTTGTATGAAATGCCAGGACATTTTCTGAAATGCCAGGAACGTTGTATGAAATGCTAGGATGTTGTATGAAATGCCAGGACGTTGTATGAAATGCCAGGACGTTTTATGAAATGCCAGGACGTTGTATAAAATGCCAGGACTTTGTAAGAAATGCTAGGACGTTGTATGAAATGCCAGGACATTGTGTGAAATGCCAGGACGTTGTATGAAATGCCAGGACATTGTAAGAAATGCCAGGACGTTGTATGAAATGCCAGAACATTGTATGAAATGCCAGGACGTTGTATGAAATGCCAGGACGTTGTATGAAATGCCAGGAACGTTGTATAAAATGCCAGGGCGTTGTATGAAATGCTAGGACGTTGTATGAGAGATCAAGAAGATATGACATGCTTTTAATCATTTCTTTTAGTGACTCACTGATGGAGGATAAATCTCAAGCGAAACTGACATCGTTCTTCAAAGGTGTCCCCAGCTCTTCCCCAAGCAAGAGAAAACATCTGTCAGAGAGCCAGAATCTTGAAGGAGAGCCCACAGAGAAACGATCGACACGGTAAAATATGCATCGATTTCCTAATTCCACTAAACACAATATTGGAATGAATATTCTTAATGAAATTTGTGCATAGTGGATGGATTGATCGGTCATAAAAATTAGTTACATAATGATGTATATTTATATTATATTTATCATTTTATTTGTAAATAAATAAATACTATTTATAATATACAATTTCTATAATATGCTTTTTCCTTATATTTCAGTAAAAATAGTGTCACTTTTTCAGCATATTTTTATTTTTAAGGGGAAAAAAATGGGCAAATCATAGTAACTGAAGCATTGCACTGTACAGGGTGAGTAAAAATAAACATGAAACCCAAATGTCGGGACTATTGTTTCGGTGAAGTTCTGCATGTAGCACTTTCAAAATCTAGGATATGAAAGCCCCATTCATAAGCTTTCTTGTAAGTACAAGAATCATTCAAATCACTCGTATATTCTTTAAGTTCTGTCCACGAATCACAAAAAAGTGTCAGTTTTTTTCAGCAAAACAAAAACACTTCACATAGGGATGTGTGTGAATTGTTTTCGTGTGAAATCATTTCTCTCACAGGATGGATGACATCCATGGATCAAGTGAAACGGCTTTGGATCCGGATGCACCCCCACTCCCTGCCTTGAACCCTCCTTAGTTCTTCCGTGAAGTATCTTGCTTCAGTGTAACGAGAATTTAAGAGGAGCATGGCTGGTTATTTTTTCTAAGCTTTGCATCGAAAAAGGCAACACTTTAAGCAGCACTGCTTTTTAAACTGTTTCTGAAATTTGACAGTGACAAATTGCAAAAGAGGAACTGCAACGCGGAATAATAAGGAAGAATTAATTTGTTTATTTGTAGCGGGCTTGAGAAAGATAGTCTCATGCATACGTAAGTAATTTGTTTACGCTTCTTAAAATATGGCAGTAAAGGCAAATACTAGTTTTATTCATACCACCCAAACCGTTTTTCTTCTGTAAGTGCAAACGAAGGAAGAACGTGCATGGAAACTTTCTTGTTGACTTGGCATATGTACACAATTTATCATAGTGTTGTAGTGTTATTTTGAAGGGAGAAATACCCAATGGTTTAGTGATGATATTTACTCTTGCCATTATGAAGTTGTAAATTAGGTGGTATAATACGAAATGGCATTTGCCTTAAGGCCACCAAAAAAATAAGTCGGTCTCTGGTCAGCGCGCGCGTCGATTTTAATCATGCGCGTCGATCTTTCTTTTTTTTCCAAAATGTTCCGCGGTAGCTCCAACAGCGCCCTCTATTTCCGCACCTCAATTTTTTTTACCACAGAGCACCAAGGAATGGGAAATTGCACCAAGGCAAATGATCGAAAGCACCAAGGCAAATTATGGAGAACACCAATGTACATGAGGACACCAAAAAAGCAAAATAGTACCCCACCTTGTCTGTACAATCCAAGCTTAAAGGAAAAAAAAAAAAAAAAGCAAAAAAAAAAAAGAAAAGCTGCGTGGCCGCGTCAATTCCGGAACTTTGGTCTGACCAGAGACCGAATATTTTTTTTTTGGCCTAACTACCATTTTTTAAGCTTTTGCTTGCATCTGTATGAACACTATACTGTGAAGTATATGCTAAAGACTGAAAGTATTGATGTTTTGTTTTTTAAACTCTCGCTAGACTATTTTATGAATAGAAAGTATGAATGCTTCAGAATTGAAGTAATTACTGGTCATCTTTCAAGGCTGGTAGGGCCTATACCTTGAATAGGGACAGCTAATACTTCTCTGCAAAATGGCTGCATTTATGAAATGTTATTAGCGCAAGATAACATTGTTGGTAATGTAAATGATTGACTATATACAACTGGAAGTAAAGAAATATGAACTTTATTTCCAACAATATTAAGCCAAATTTAAACAAATATTTTGCAAGTAAAAAAGAAAGGAGAATTTAGCGCATAAAAAATCTTGGGAAGCATTACCTTGTTATTTGAAGCAAAACGATTTAGATCTTTTTTATCCAGAATATCCAACTTGTGCCATCAGAACATTTTTTAAAATCTTCATTCTATGTAGTTATTTTTGTTATAAAATAGTTTTTAATCCAAGTTGGTGTTATCGACTGAAATACTTTTTTTTTCTAAATTTTATGCAGCTGCGATGCTTTCAAATGGACAGGCTGTCCTGATTTATTTAGTGCTTATGGGAAGATGTGTTGTTTGTCAGCTGGAGTATCATAAACCGCAAAATGAATTGCCTGAATAATTTGTATGTTTTTTTTGCAAGAGAAAGTATAACAATGAGAAATAACTTTGTTGAAATCATATATTTGTGAGATCAATTAAATCAAAATCAAATCCTATATTTTTTAATAATCTGGATATTAATGACCTACTTAGTTTGCAGCGAAGACCGATATCAGACCAACAGTGCTTGCCAAAAGGTTGCCGTGTATTTTTATTTTTTTTAAATGCAACATATTTTACACTTTTATTTTGCCCAATTTCTTGTCAATTATTTTCTGTCCACTTTTCCTTCATTAGTGCTAATATTTTTTGTCTCATTTTATTTTCATGTAAGTTTGATGTGAAGGCTTCATTGGAAAGCAGTATTTTAAAACTGAAATGGACTACACACTTTGTAAAGATTACAATCAAATAAATCAAAATATAAAAAAGTGCACATTGCTTGTTGGAATTTTGTTGGAAAACATTTCATTCGGTTTAAACGGGTTACGTGGAATAAACTACAATAAAGTTTATGGACATCGTTTAAGGGGTAAGTATAAACAAACAGTAAATCAGGCGCAGATCCAAAGGGGGTTTGGGGATAACCCCCTCCCCCCAGCTCTGTCAAAAATTATTTTGTTTTCATAGAAATTCGTAAAAAATAATGCGAACACCCCCCCCCCCCCCTGCTCTGACACCCCAACAATAATTATCCTGGTATAATGACCGCCTGTGCAAAAATACGGATAGAGCCAGCTTACTTGGTGGTGGGGGGGGGGGATTTGTACATCATTCTGTAATCTAGTGTTAATCGCCGAATTTGAACAGCGCTCCCTATTGAAATATGCCATGGTCCCCCCACCCCAGTTTTTGAGCATTTCAGCATTTTTTTGGCTGATGAAAAGCCCCCCCCCCCCGCACAAATTCCTGGATCCGCCCCTGTAAATGATGTTACATAATGAACGAGTTCATAACTTCAAGAAAACAGAATGTGCATTGTGCGGTCTCGAGTTTCATGAAATTCGAGTCAAGTTTTTAATATGTTTCCCTGTAACTTTAACAATAATCAGGCACATTTCAAAATATATTTGGGCCTTATTTTTTATTCCTATTTCGAAAGTGCTAGATTCCAGCCGACGGAACTCCAACGGGGGGGGGGGGGGGGGGGGGCTGTTTCGATCACTCTTACGGATTCATGAGTTTGTAAATTTTGTATGTCTAGTCGCGTCATCGGAGGAAATTGTATTGTGAAAATAGTATATCGAAGTTTCAAAGTTTGATCATCAATTGAAAACAGGATAGGGCACGGGTAAGCTTATCTGGGTATTCTATTTTCCTTCTCTCTACTATATGAAGAGTGAAATTAGGTACCAGACGAATTAGAGTTACATTATTGACAACGACTCCAGTTTCTAGATTGAAATACTCGGGAGAAAAAAAAACATACCGAGTGATAGCTCTATTCCGTTCGATTCGATTCATCTATTCGATTGAATGAATTCACTCTAAATCGTTCTGTCCCTAGATTCTGCCGGATGAGAGAATGCCCACTCGAATAAAGTCAATTTTCAATATTTGGATACACGAGAGTTCTATTTTATCAACAAATCATAAATCCATGACTTTTTATTATTAGAAAGACTGAAAGAGCCATCTTTCATACAAAATGGGGGGGGGGGGGGGGGGCAATTGGAAGAGCCACGCATCGCCAAGGGCCAAACATCAGGAGCACTCACTATAAGCTGTTGGCTGGTATTTATATTCATTCTGTAGTTTTCGAGACATTTTTGAGCGGAAATTTTCAGAACTTAATTTCTGGTCGCAAATGAGCCGCTAAATTGCCTTTAAAAAGGACAAAACTGATATCTTGCCCACTAGACAATCATACTTTTCATAGCAGTATTTAATCAAAAGATGATGTAATACAAACATTAAATTTTAATATACATTTAATAAATGGAGCGTATCCATAACAACAAATCGGATTTCAACTTCACCTTTTCTTTAATGGAAAAGAAGAACATGTATTTTCAAAAAGGGCGTTTAAAAAATTACACAAATTGACAAGTAATTCAAATTGGTACCGAAACGGAGGGTCTCAGAGCTGGTTGTTTTTGTTGTTGAGAGGATTAACAAAGACAATGTCCTCAATGTCACACAATGGCTTAGCACCGAGCTCTTCTGATTCAATTCCAAGATGAAACTTCGTCCGATTAAATTATTAATAGGCGATAAATAAGTAACGTTCAATTCGATAGCGCACAGGTCATTCAACTTGTATGCTTTTAATATTTGGTACAAAGCTTATATTCCCCACCAAGCTGAAGGCGACTAATGTGCCAAATTCCAAAGACATAATAGAAAGGGGCCAGTCTATTTTCCTGTCACCTCTCATTCTCTTATCCGCGTTCGCTGAGGACAGCAAACATTGCTGTGTGACTCTCGTGAAGAAATATTGCTGCTATTCATTCCACTTCGCAAAATGTTTAATGAGCTTGAACTTTCATCTTTCCTCGGAGACTTGGCTTTGAAGCCGAAGCCATGGGATAACTTGTATGCCGTTGACATTTTACGCTGAGACCGCCCCGAGCACCGCAGCTGACAGCCAGCACACACCGGAGAAAATCTCGCTGTGCCAAGCCGCACTCGATTAATGAATAACTGCGTTATCGGTGTTTCGTAATATGATTGGTTTAGACTTATACACCGCTGGGATACTATACCACGAAATTAGTGCCGGGCAAAAGATAGCAACAGTAATTTGCGTGATTAATAATCATCTAGAGTGCAATATGGCTCTGAAACAATTCGTTATAAGTGACTCATTGTTTAAAAAGCCTATTAATTCATTCAATTATTTTGTATATAGTCAAAGTTCAATACTTAGAAGAGTAAATAGCAGAAGAGAGGGTATAATTTGTAATTCATGTGCGTATGATTCAGTAAACTTAATTCATTAGTTTTGATAAAACGTTAATTGCTGTGTCGGACGATGCCAATTATTTAAAGATAAGTAGGTGCCAGTTGAGAGTTACATACTGTAACTGGATTTTTCTAGAGGGGGGCAAAACATATTTTTCCCAAACAATTCTTGTATTTCTCAACAAATTCTCGATTTATCAGTTTTAGAGGGAGCAGGGACATTTCCCCTCCCCCAACTCATTAAATTTACACCACTATTACTTCGCGCCTCTTTTTTTCTCTCTCTTTTCCCCCCCCCCCTTTTTTTCGGTGGCTTTTTTGCGCAAGCGCCCCCCCCCCCCCCTCACGTCGCCCATGGTGTCGTTCACCTCGTGAGCTAGAAAGCAGCATTTGCCATAAACACCTGAAGTATAATTTTAAGGCACAGTTCAACCTGGTTTTAACTATCCTTATTTATCATAAGGCCCATATATAGGCCTAGGCTACATTTTTTTGGAGGGGGAAATGGTTCCCTGTGATGTAATGTTTGGTTTGAAGTTTTCTTGAGGACAAGATTTTCAGACTCTTAGGGAAACTAAATAGTTTGACACATATTTGTTTGGGGGAAGGGGGGTGTTCAGTATGCATTAATCAGTTTATGCATTTGCCTTGTAAAAACCACGGTGGAAATTTTACCAAACGTCCCATCAGACCTATTCTGGTTTGCTCACAGTTTTGTAAATTAACAAGTACATTTTTTAATGAAATTTGTCCAACTTGAATTCACATATATTCAAGTTAGTGGTGCTAAAAGCGGACGTTTTGGCTACTTCAAAAAGTATGCATCCCTTTTATCAACTTCAATCTCATCAACTTTCAATCAACTTGAATTAGTGTCAAAGCATACATAGAATTGAAGCTGACTGGGCGTACCATGAAATGAGATTGAGACATCGCAATTGTCTTCAAAGCAACACCATGAAGTAGGTCCACGGCCATGGGCGTCAATCCTGTGGGGGACAGGGGGACATGCCCCCCCCCCCCACACTTTTTGAAGGGTGGGGGACACAATATCAAATGTCCCCCCCCCCAGATTTTTGAACTCGTGCCTCATTTACAGGGCCCTATTATGTACTACAATGTATCTTTTGCTTAGAAAATATTGGTTAAAGTAGTCAGGAATTGCCTCAGATCACACCACGTGAGCATCTGGAATCCGATTTTTTTCCGGGCCCTTAAGCCCTTAAGCCCGATCCCCACGCTGTAAGGGATTCGCACTTTGCGCTCGCATTATTTCTGATCAAGGTATGCCCCCCCCCCCACACTTTTGAGAAGAATTGACGCCCCTGCCCACGGCTGAAGTGTTTCTTATTAACATTTACGAGGGCGAGCCTTACTCTCTTTTTTTCCAAAGAGTGAACATTTAATCTCTAACCCAGTGAAAATTCACTCCCATCGACTGAAACAAGGGACCACACGTTTTAGAGGGAAATTGATTCAATCGAAAAGATGGAATTTTTCACTCAAGCTTCGACTGAAGTGATTCGTTTTGCCGATTATTCCAATCTAAAATTAGAGTGATTTTCACTCTAAAATCGTCAACACTCTAAATAAAACTAATAAGTTCAAACTGTTGCGTAGAATTTTACTCTTTGTGGCGATAAAAAGGCAACGTGGTCGTTTGCGGGGTCAAACGCTACACAACAGGGGTTGTGTTGAATGTGGTCAATTCTGTGTAAAAAGTTTACCCAACGAAGTCAAAAAATTTACCCACTTTTTTGTGTCAAAATTGTACCCAACAAATGATTGCCCTTTCAATTGACCCCGCAAATGATTCACTGTTTAATACTCAACACTGTTGTGTCCTACATTATTATTAGTAATTTCGCACTTTTTCCCCAAAAGTTGTCATTTTAATCCAAACATATTCATTTTCGCAGCATATTCGAATACATAATACATGAACATAAAGCAGTTATATTTTTGTAACATTTTTTCATTCATTCGTTTATTTTCATTTACAACAATCAAATTAAAAGAGTTGCATTTGTGTCAATAATTTTTCGTTTAATTTTACATTCATTTTGTAAACATTAATTAAATTAAAATCAGTTGAAATGGACTAAGTGTGTTGATATTTCCATGTCACTAAAAAAAACATATGTTGCACACTTAAAAACGAGAAAAAGATTTTACATTTTGGTTAAGTAGTCAGATTCGAATTAAACACACTACAGAAATGCTACTGTTTGATAATTTGAAATTCGAAGGATTTATGTGTTATGTTGTACATTGTTCAATGTAATTTGGGTTTTACGCCCCCCCCCCAACTCCACCTCCACCCCTAATAAATCCGATCAAAAATAAATTAATGCAAATAACCTACCAGCGTTATGTTTTATACTTTTTAATATTTTTCCCATGTAAGTACAAACTCTGAGTTAATGAGTGTTAACATCCTCATCAATAAAATGGCAAACTGTTCAAGAAATTACCCCAAATCAATTATACTGACTTCACGAACCTTGAGCATGTTTGAAACTCATACCTTGACTTGAACCTACATTTTTTTCTATCTTGACAATGGAGAAAACTTAGTTTCAACTCTGTGAGACTTTATTTCTTCAATTAACACATATTATTTGGTTTCATGTGCTAATTAAAACTTACAATGGCCACAAAGAGATTCAATGCCCCTCCAACAAAACATGCACATTTCTATATACAAACAAAAACAAATTAACACCTGCGAGTTTTCATACAACAGCTGTTGAGTGTAATTGACTGAAACCTTGTGTGCAACACAACTTGGATACTTGTGTTAATTAGAACTTGACTTATCTTACAATTATGTGCCTATCTTTACAAGAGGGGAGAAACTTTGAACTCTATAAAACATTGTAAATAGAATAAAATGGAGAATTCTTCCACAACAACAGCAACTGATAAATGTGCTATTTATAAGTTTGGATTGATTCATGAATTTAACCTTTTGCCCAATCTTTGCAATCAAATTTTTTATGGTCCCTCATCCAGTGGTCAAGTGGAATGCTGCAGTGTCAATGTCATTTCTGTGAACGGAAAATAAAAGGAGATTTTTATGTTGCTATACATGCAAAACGTTAGTCGCAAAAATCCTCCCAAGTTTATACATGCAACATTGAAGTATCCAGCCGACGAGGGGAAGGCCGGGGTGGGTCTCTGTCGACGTTTCACCATAATTGTATTACCCGTTCCCCCCTTACCCCGACCCAAACCTGGATGCTCTGCTGACAGGCAGGCCAAAGAACTGGGGTTTGATCACTTTGAATGTTACAATACATGTTAACATGTTCGTTATTCACAACATGCCATTGCAATCACCACTGACCCTATTTTGTCACACATGCTTTAAATACAGAATATTGCCCACGTTTTCACAATGACGTCTTGTATTAATCATTACATTGTGAAAAGTAAATAATTACCTTTAAACCGAGGAATCAGGGTTTTCGAATTCCACTCTCGCAGCACGTTGGTAACTCCACCATCCGCCATCTTGACGGTTACTGTCGTTTTCGAGAACGTTCTCTAGGCACCACTGGGCAATATTTACCCATTTGAGAGCGTATCTGCTTATAGGATAGATTTTGTTGTATGTCGCAAGGTCCACTTGACCTATAGTAGCGAGGAAAATGTGCTTTCTTGCGCTTACGTTGCTTACAATTTGAACATGTTCGGTTATACCTTTTGAAGGGTATACTGCATGGCCATTTTGCCACTTAACCCATAATTGGGTTGGAAAGTGCTCAACTTTCACCCAACACATTTACTCAGCAAAATTTGACCCCTCTTTTCATACTCCCTTTACTCTTTGGAAATTAGAGAGTACGGCTGCATTTCAATTTCTAGTTCAGTTAATAATTTATGCTATAACAAATTCAATGCACGGGTGCAGATGACACCGTGCAGATCAACGCACGCCATATGCATACAAATGGTCCCCCGAAAAAAAATCCTGAAAGGTTGGCAGATCTTGGTACAGTTTCTCTACCCCGTGTCGTCTGCGGACACTCGGTGAAAATCACCGCGGCAGAGCGCAGACTTGGAACGGCGTTGGCGCTAGGGTTATACCCAGGTAACCCTTGAGGCTGAGAGGCGGTGAGCCCTCGGGCTTCTTGAAGGTAAACTGGTGAAGGAGGTAGGTGAAGAAAATGAAGAGTTCCATCTTGGCCAGTTGCTCTCCCAAGCAGATGCGACGACCTGAAAACGAGACCCACACAATGACAACACTCAAATCATTTCAGTCTGAAATTGTCTTTTGGACACACTGATATAAAATTCGATTTTTGTTTCCATTTTTATTTGTGGTAAAAGTTATGACTTAGTGTTTTATCAAAGGAAAACAAAAAGTGTCTCGTTATGTTTTTCGAATAAGGTTCTGATGAATACTGGAGTGCTACGTGGATATGGTCATAAAGGGTTCATTAAGTAAGCTAATAAGGCGCGCCAGACAGACTTCATCCCTTTGTGGTCATAATTATAGTTAAGCAACTATATACTGCAGGTGAAGGGACATGACAGAAAACTGCGGTATTGTAGACTCGCGAGTCATTCTTTTCCTGTTTTGCTGATCTTTTTATAATGTCATTTCAGTTTCTGCAATAGGGAAACTGCCACCGACGCTAGAATGAACAATTCAGCTTCACGTCCAAGTCTCCAAGAAACAGCAGATCCTCGTGGTTCGGGGGATATTAACTTTTTCTTAAGATGTACACTTCTGGCATAACTTACCCGTACTGAAGGGGATCAACTCTTCGGGTTTTGTCACCTCCCCGTCGTCGTTAAGAAATCTCTCCGGGTTGAAAACCAATGGATCTGGGAACACCTCAGAGTCGATGTTGAGAGCCCAGTGGTTAGCCACCACCAGGCTTCCTTTTGGCACCGTATACCCTGCCAGGGTCGTGTCCGCAGCAGCCTTGTGTGGCAGGCCGAGGGGCACGACGTTACCCCTCCTCTCCAGTTCTAGAATGACGGCCTCGGTGTACGGCAGGTTGCGTCTATCGGCAAGTTGCGGCAGCCGCTCCCGTCCGACCACGGTATCGAGCTCTTGCTGGACGCGGCTCTGAATCTCCGGGTGTAGCATCATGAACAGCAGGCCCCATCGAAGAGTGTTGGCTGTGGTCTCAGTGCCGGCCACGAATAGATCCGAGACGACAAGGACGAGGTTCATGACGCTGAGATGAGTCGGAATGTTTCGCTCTTCTTTGCTCCTCATCTCCCTGAGGTAGACGTCCATCAGATCCCGGGGCTCCTCCGAGTAGCAGTCGCTCTGGTGTTTCTTCACGATGTCCATGACGAAGTCCATGACAAACTTCATAGTGGCGGTCATTTCCTTGATGTTGGGTAGGAAGCCCAGCCTGTTGACGAAGGGGAGGAGCTGCATAGCCGCCCCGGCTCCGATCAGCTCCATGCTCCGGTCCATAGAGGCCAGCACACGCTGAAACGCCGGATCGTCGTAGTCATAGCGCCTGCCAAGAACCACCGAGGATATCACGTTGGACACGGCGTTACCGAAGAGATGGACAGGATTGAAGGCCTGTCCCTGCAGGCCCTTCATCTCGGACACAAGATGGCCGGCCTCTGTTGCTATCTGATCCTCAAAACGTGCCTGTCCAACACCGAAGTTCCTAAAGACATTCAAGATGAGTTTGCGTTGTTCTCTCCACGTATCCCCAGATGCTGTAGCTACGCCTGTGTGCGACAAAAAAAAACCACACAAAGAACAATCAACTTGTCGGACTAGCAATAATCACCGACAAGAGAAAGTGTTACTGTATCTACGATACAAACACTCGAATACCAAATCAATATAGGGGCATTACGTGCACCCATTTTCTATCCACAATTCGGAATAATAATTCTTAAAGAGCATTGTGCAATAATAATGGAATCCTTAGAATTCAGGTTAATTATACTGATACCTAACTTTCAGTCCATGTATAGCCATTTCTAAGAGTGTATCAGTACTTAGTAAGACTAAATAAGGCTAAATAAATGCGAGTTTCCAAATGTATGTTTAGGAGCAACCCCCAGTAATGCTACCGCAAGAAGAAGCTTCAGTGATTCTCCTGCTTCATGCTTGGAAACACAGACAAGTTATTGCCTCTGGGCCACCAAGGAGGTTATGTTTTCATCGGATTTGGTTATTTGTTGGTTGGTTAGTTTGTCTGTTAACAAGATAACTCAAAAACTTATGGACGGATTTGCATGAAAATTCTTTTAGGGGTGGTCCTTGGTACAAGTACAAATCAATTAGATTTTGGAAGTGATCCGGATCCAGGTCTGGATCCAGGATTTTTTGTAAAGGATTCTTCACCATTTATGAGAGTATTTCTTTAGGGTGTACTGACAATATGGCGGGGAATTGTTCGCTCTCTTTCTAGTTCTATCTTTGCTATCACTATGGTCAGTTATCTGTTTTATTGTTTCTTCGTTGATTGAGAGCAACCAACGCCAACATAATTGAAATTAGTTATTTTACACAAAGTTTCTAAATGGGTGTTAAACTTGGACAAAATGTAAATTGTGAGAAACTAGTGAATAGGCCCAACTTTAACAAATTTTACTAAAACAAGATCAAAGGCATGTGTATATTTGCGCAAAACATATTTCAGTGGGAAATTCGTTTCATTGTCTCATATGGATCGCAAACAAGTTGTCATTTGAGACACCGTCTTACACCTCCACTCCCCATTTTCTTTAAGATCACCGATGAGCAAAGTCCTTATAAATAATGTATAGGAACTGACGCAAACTCAAAATAGACGTGATGTAAACACATCTGGTTTCAACATTGTGTACGATTCTCTGACCTGGAACGAAGGTTTTCATCTTGGCAAGACAGTTTGGCGAGAATAACACAGCAATATCGTGGATGATATATAGATTTGCTTTACATCCCAGTAGAGGCCTACGATGCGCGCCAGCCTTTGGGAATTAGGAGGTGAATTCGATAACCAGTTCTTGTCCAAATCCCAGGTATTAAGGGCAAAAAAAAATTAGCATGAATCAAATCAATATCTGAAACAAAATGTTCAGATTTGATTCATGTCGAGGTTTGACCCATACACGGACTCCAAACTACAGACACCCATTGCAAGGCGCGCCCTCAGAGAGAGGGAGCAGTTTTTGTTATTTAAATCAAGTGACACTGACAAAATGTCTAATCATGATTATCACAAAGGAACAAAGATCTGCCCTCAATGTGACGTCAGATGAACTTGGGTCCGTGGGAGTCCAGATGCAATTGTATAAGATCAAAGTGTAGTATAGCCTTTCTGAATTCGGGTCTGGACCATAGGGCCAAATCTGGATCCAAATTCGGCACTTCGTAATAATTATGTTGAGCCGATTTCCCACAGTTTTATTACCACAGTTTTAGATCCGTGTGGACTTTAATGCCCACTTTTCTTCGCCATCCTATGGGACTGAGACAACACTGCTTGTGATGCTAATGAAATGAATCTTAAGTGAAATCGCCTTGGGGAGCACGTGACTTCCTTCAGTTCTCATTAAGAACAATGCCAGCATCGGCAAAGAAATCGTGAATGACCATCACGTATCTGGTATGGTTCTATATACAATCGCGCCTGGAGCTATGATTTGCATTCTAGATCTGCTGCATTATCGTATCATATCGGCTAGCTAGCTGGAAATAGGGGCCCTTAAGACAAACGAGGTCATTTCTATACTCATTCTAATGAATAATTCTGGTGAGGTGAAGGAAACAGTGACAACGACCTCTGTTATACTCAGAGGGATGAAGCAACTGCTTCCTATCTCGCGTGCATACGAAGTTTTCCATTGTGATTGTGATTCCTAAGTCCTGCATTTATGTATATCACGAACCATATTTTGTAAACTATAAATGGACGTCACATGGTATTTTACAGACAAGTCATTTCAACTTCGATGGTTATACCTTGATATGCGTTTAGCGGCCATTTCAGAGGACAAGCATTTAGTACCGATGGGGTAGGCACATATAGATCATTCAGCTACATTCATTGTTACTGAATTGTGTGGGTGCAGGCCATAGGCCCGAAATTGCCTACACCGGCCAAATCACGATTTCAAATCCCCGGTATTATTAGAGCATTTCGTGGGGCCATGAGCTTGACGGTTTGGAAAAAAAAAGGAGGATGGAAGCCGTGAAGAGGACTGTGCGAGCTCGTACTTCCGTAAAATTCAGATGAAATTGGGCCCCAAAATTGCTCTTGTTTGCAATCACGAGTGCTGGTATCATTTTTAAAGATGGCGATGGGCTTCAAGACTACTTTTAGGGGTGTTCCTCTTTGGATGAAATTGTCTCCCAAAAGTCATCATTTAACCCCCAAAAACAGAAAATGAAAGATGATGAAAACAACTTTAATTTTATGTGTGTCTCGCATACCTTAGAGAGTTGTGAGTATTTTTCATAAGTTTTTTTTTGTTGAAAGTAGGCGTAATTTTCACTGAGGTCTATGGCAGTTTATTTACTGGTCAACCATATAACAAAGAACACCTACGATGGCCGCTACTTTAAATGTCTATTCTTAGTGCATTTAAACTTAAATAGAACTGGGATGTTTTCACATTTTCTAGGTCACTTCATTTTTGTGAGAAATTTACTTTGAAACTTCACTTCAGTTTGTTTTATCACTCATCTGGAATCCTGGCGCCCCTGGCGGCCACAATCGTGTTGCCAAGTTATGCATTCTTGACCCCCCCCCCCAAAAAGAAGGTGTTCTCATTTTCAAGAATTATTGTGAACGAATCGCTCCTTTAATACAAGTGTACGGGCCGTAGCTGTAAAAGTGAGCCCCGTAGAATGACAGCCCGCCATAATTTCGCAGTAACTTTGCGTTTCGAATTTCTCTGTCATTTTGCCATCCAGCTTGGTAACGTCCCCAGTGCCCCTAATTAATGAAGACAAAGATGTGTACCAAGGTGGACAGCCTGTCATTACAAGGGTGACCGATTCGTTTATTAGAAAAATAGAACCTAAACGCTTTTCCAGACGTCATGTACGTATAACACCGGCATGGTCACTTGTTTCAACACTACGCGTTGATTGAAGGATACCAGTAATATTTGATCAGCTGCAGCTGCAATTACAGTATTACTTTTGCCATTGAGTTTTCCTTTACCGTTCGATCAAAATGTGTCAGAATACCGATTGCACTACAGCGTTTGTAATGCGCAGGCCTACCTCAAATTGCACACGATACCCAGTTTACTCAGTTTGCCTATAGCTATATGGAGACCGTGTAAAGTACACTCACCGAACTTTCACGGTTCACGTTCGATTTTCAATGCAATAAATTCCAAAGGCAAATCAGTCTATGCAGCGATAAATACAATGCAGCCCCAGTTGGTAAATCGATTATTTAAGCTGCAATCTGAACAAATCTCCCAAAAAGGAGACTTTTAAACGCACTTCAGCTGAGTGGTATTTGAGTGCGTGATAAGATAGCACAATGGGTGCGTCATAGCCCATATCTCTTTGACAAAGGTTGAAACGAATGCACGGGTTGTCAAAAGTATCTTGACACTGGTTTGGATTTGGAAAATTGAAAATAAAAAAACCACAACCACAAAAATGTCATGCCAGACACGAGTTAGCATCATGGACCCAGAGGCTATATAATTATGCGCATCATGACGAGAAATGGTATAGTGACAACTTCAAGGCTATACTCATCACTATAAAAAACAAAGGAACGAAAATTAAGTACATGCCCAAGATAACCAATGTAAGCATGCAATGTGCGAGTGTTTACACTTGTTTATGGTAAATATAATATTTCAGCGAGACTCTTATCATACGGCGAGACCTGGCGATCCCCTAGTGTAACGATCTCGCATCGCCCCGGACTTCTCCGCTTTCCAACACGTGTGTACCATTAACCTTGTAAATAGTACACAGTAGTTTGTTCCACCTGACCTTACGGGTCACCCAGTGAACTTTTTACTTTTTTTGTATACAATGTATCGCATATGGGGGAAAAATAAATCATTTGGGATATATCCCAGTCGGTTTACAATAACTCGGCATGCCGCCTGTTCATGGCACACAATCACTAGCTGCCATAGTAGTTTTTGTAGCGAGAACCAAGCACAAAGCGCTAAGGACGACCAAACAATGCCGCATTTTTCCGGCTGTTTCTTTTTTTCTCTCTCTCTCCCCGGCCCCTGAAGCACGAGGCACACTCCGACAGGACAGCCGCAGCGCCACCTGTTACACACGCCACCTGTCCTGCGCAGGTTTTTCTAATCGGATAAAGCCCCTTTTCAGGGTAAAATTATTGCACAATAAAATCATTTTCAAAACCCACACACAGGTTATAGTTGTTCTGGCACCTACTATAAAAATAGGTCCTCTGTGTTCGGTCGGGGTTTTTGTTATCGTCCGCTTTGTGCGTGTGCGGCACGCGTACAAAGCTTTTTCAGGGTGTGTAACAAAAACTGAGGGAAATAATAACACATTGTGTACACTCCATTTCTCCCTTTGAATTTCTCAAATGGGAAAAGTGTGCTATATTCTTAAGAATGCTTTAAAAGACAGAAGAAATTCGGAGTGGTTTTTTTTGGGGGGAGGGCTGGGGTTTAAAAGCGAATGTTAATTTTTGTTTGAAACAATAGCTGGCCGAAAAATGTGAGAGTGATTATGTTACCTACCTTCTGCGCCGTTAAACAGGTTTCGTAAAATGTGCAATTCTGGTCGATCACTCAAGATAGGATTGTTGAAGGCCTCTCGTATCGCCTTATAGCCGTGCACTACCACCATCCTCTGGCCTAAGATATTCAGACTGAAGACCGGCCCGTACTGCTTGGCCATCCGCATGAAGACTTCATAGGGCTCCTCCGCGTTGGACGCAAAAGCCAGGGACGGCAGGTTCCCGATGAGAGGCCAACCCCAGGGGCCTGGGGGTAGGGTGCCGCTAACGGAAGAACGCCGACGGCGCACGATCCACGATACTAAGAGGAAGACCACTAGACAGATGAGGACTGTCCTGGAATCCAGGACATCTAGAAGACTTGCTGCCATCCCTATACGCATCACATCACCTCGGTTAGGCACCGTGCAAATCTGGCAGTACTTGACAGTAGGTCTATAGCGTGCAGATACAGTGTAGAACTGCTCATCCACTGTGACAGTCAGTACGAGCTTTTAGTTTCACCCTGCCGCGCATCGGACCCTCTCAATACGTGAGTGTACAGCAGATAGCGGCTCCGCGCAGTGTAATAGCTACATCGGGCCAGTGCGCTTGAACAACTTGTACTGAAACAGCTCGCGCACCAGACCATCAACAGCTAAATTATGTTTTCCCCCGGTTTTTATCAAGAGTTATATTTGCATGATCACTGGCGTCGCCGACTCGATTTGGGTAAATAAATATAATGTTTTGACAATTTCTAGCCTGCGGGGGACCGGAGCGGGGCCGGTTCCGGAGATGAATAGCGAAGATCATCATTATCATCCGATCACGTGTGGTCCGAATTATTCACGGGCATTTTCAGTTTCATTCAGGTCCGCATGCTCCGCGTGTTTGCTTAATTTCTACTCCATCAAAGGAGGGGAAAAAACACAAAACAAACATTATTGTCCGGCAGATCTCTTACATGCTATACCGTGTAAATTTGAGCTATACGCTGCTGTAAAGGGACAAAAAACTGAATTGAATGAGGATTATTGACATGAAAACGGCAGAGCAAAGTTTGGCGGGTACGTCAGTTATTTGCATGTTGTTGAGTGCAAACGCTCGGTAAATGGTTCTTTACAAAACAGCATGGGAAAATTTTGTTTGCGTGTCAAAAACTTAGGATAGAAAAGAAAAGAAAAAGAAAAGCCATATGGTGCATTGACGATCGACCGACGTTGAGTGTTTTCCCACACGAAAACAGTCAATTTGGTGCGGAATGCACAAGAAACATCGGAATATTTTCTGTTCATTCATTTGACATTTCCCTGGTCGAATGAAGTGAGTTAGATAAGTCCTCTTTCTTCAAGTTTATGATGATAAATGCTCTGTCTTTGTTTTGAAGTAATAGTAACATTTTCGTTCCGTCTCCAAAATTTCTGGAGATTTCCCATGAGTGTTAACTCATTTTTTACCAAGGCAAAACTGTTGGTGCGGAGACGCCCTTCTAAGTTCTAGAAAGCACGTTGAAAGGTTCCTATTATATATCCTAAATGATAAATACCCAAGTATTTCACCGCAGACGACTTAGTGTTGACGATCTGTCATTGCAAGGTTGGTTTTAATACCCTTTCTTACTGTGGGCGCTTCACTCAGACTCCGAGGGGGTTTGGTTACCAGAACATGGACATGGCTTTTCTCTATCTATCTTGACAACTGGGCCCACCACATTGCAAGGTTACCGTTGTGTATTTGTGTAAATCAGCCGAACATTCCAGCTGACGAATAGTGGGCCTATGCAGGGCCATCTGGTCCTTGGGGTATTTGCCATCATTTTGCGGTCTGAGTTTTATTTATTTATCAAATATTAATGCATTGTGTTAGTCGGTCGTACCCACCATACGTAGCCATGTGGTGACGGCTAGTTTCTCTGAGCTCCAATAGGCAGATTTCCCCGCTCATCACAGAGGCGCGCTATGCGTGCGGCACATGGAAAGCGTTGTCATGTTGTGTTAAGTAGTCATCTACGGAGGATCAGGACTGCCCAAAATGCATCGTTTTTCAATTTCCTTCACAATTTTTTTTTTATCAAGAGTAGTCGACACAAGCGTCCACAGTTAAGGTGTCGGGCACGACGTCGTCGACAACCATGAGTGACTTTCGCAGCAGCAGTTTGTGATTTGCTGCTGTAATCGACAGTGTCATGTTTGTCGACGACGTCGGCTGTAGGTACGATTGATGATTTTACAGGATGCAATTTGCATTGGGGAGATGCATATTACTATGTTTTGCCCTTGCACCAACGTATTTTATAAACACTGTAAATAGTCGGTGATGTCCGAGGGCTTGCGAGAAAAAAAGTGACAAGCTTTCTAGGATGGGACTCGAACTCACGACCTCCTGCTTATATACTAGTGCGCGGACATCTAACCACTTGGCCAATAGGGGTGCACCTTCACCTTTAAATAGGCCTAAACCATAGAGCTAAATAAAGAACCGCTCTATGGCCTGAATCCATCCGCCGAGCTCATGAATAAAAGTTATACCCTCAAAATATGCTATATTTAGAGAGTTCTGAGAGCCATACAATTGGGAAATCGAAGAGATATGGCAATGAACCTCGGGTCCGGACCTGATGGGGCTTCCAATTCTGATCATTTTGGATGCTATTGGGCTCGAAAGACGGATGCGCTATTTTGCCATGTTGTGGAGGGATCGTTTTTCAAGATGGCTACTTCCGCTTTGGTAAAATACAGGTCGTCTTCTTTGGGTGAGAATTTCTCGAAAAGTCAATGGTTCGCCCACCAAAAATTGAAAAGAAAATGAAATATGACATGTTAATCATCATTGTTTTCTGTTCATCCTAAATACCTGTGAGAGTTCTGAGCAATTTTGAAGTATGGGCATTTGGCACTGGTGTCTATGAGAATTTTAACACAGGGATGCATCCCTATCGCTTGCAGGGTCGCTTGGTTCAGTGGTTCAATTCTCATTATAGCAGCGTGTATCGAAACCAAACTACACGTAAACTATTAAATCTTGAAGGATGGAATTCTGCGTCGGGAGATGTAAATTTTATATTGAGTTTTGCCCTTCTCTGCCGTAGGCCTATTTTAGAAACACTGTACATTATAATACCTATTTGAGATATGCGGACACGATAGGAGGGCGCTGTTTGATTCCGGTAAACTCTTTGTATTTACCAAAGACCTATGGTATTTACCTAAGTGACCAAATAGCGCCCTCCTATTGTGCCCGGCATGTACTCAGTGTTGTCGACACAAAGCCTGGTGCCCCCAGGCTTTGTGTCGGCAAAATCGTCCTGTTCGCTCGTACCCCCCGCCCTGCAAACAGGACGCTGGGATACGCTGATGAGCTTCACAGAATCTGGTGAAGGAAGTGGCCTATGACCTATGTATAAAGCATCTGGCTGCAGCTATTTAAGACCGCAGTTAGACAGTGCGCGCAAATGCTATCCGAAAACTTTCCCATGGAAATACGCACATTCTATACCGGATGTGATTTCTGTTTCATTGCCGACCATGCGGACAAAATTTTGAGCGTCGCATAATGCAATCCGACCGTTCTTTATTCGAAATGGAGCCATACCTGAGCAAGTGACGGGAATTGTACATTTACAACACAGATAAGTTTTACAGAATATTCGCTTTTCAACGGAAAAAAAATCCTCTAAACTGGAATTAAAGAGTAATGAATCAGTCTTAACGGCGGTTTCAAACCTTGCAGAGTCATGACCGTGATTACGCGCAGGTGTACAGGTCACGCAAAATCCAACCAAGCAGAGCGCGAATTCATCAGAGTATATCCCAGCGTCCTGTTTGCAGGGCGGGGGGTACGAGCGAAAATCGTCCTGTTGGTCACAAAATCGTCAATTACGTCGCAACGAAGAGCGCCACATACATTGTCGGATAATGTCATCGTCGTCTGCTTTGGACAGCGCCTCCGATCCAATAGTGGATGGTGGTCTCCCCCCCCCCCCCCCTTGGAAGTTAAGACGACCGGCTGACCGGTGTCATTATGACTCCTGTGAGATTTCCTCTCTTTGACCATGGAGGATGCTTTGACCTTATATGGAATATCACACACGGCCTGTTACTGTCCCAATTATCTTCACTTAGGCATGCGCAATACAGCCAAGGAGTCTGTATTTCACTCAGTCCAAATTTCATACCACATGAAGCAGAAACAAACTTGAAATTCCTGGCTGCAGCAGTTTAAGGATCGTACACATTCGCGTGTGCAGAGCCACACTAAGAACGTCTTAATCTGAGCTTGCAAATACGACCCCGCGCACCAGCCAATTTTACTTGGAGTCGACTTTAGAAATTGTGACGTCATTTCGATCAGTGCCCTGCAAACAGGACGCTGGGATACGCTGATGAGCTTCACAGAATCTGGTGAAGGAAGTGGCCTATGACCTATGTATAAAGTATCTGGCTGCAGCTATTTAAGACCGCAGTTAGACAGTGCGCGCAAATGCTATCCGAAAACTTTCCCATGGAAATACGCACATTCCATACCGGATGTGATTTCTGTTTCATTGCCGACCATGCGGACAAAATTTTGAGCGTCGCATAATGCAATCCGACCGTTCTTTATTCGAAATGGAGCCATACCTGAGCAAGTGACGGGAATTGTACATTTACAACACAGATAAGTTTTACAGAATATTCGCTTTTCAACGAAAAAAAAATCCTCTAAACTGGAATTAAAGAGTAATGAATCAGTCTTAACGGCGGTTTCAAACCTTGCAGAGTCATGACCGTGATTACGCGCAGGTGTACAGGTCACGCAAAATCCAACCAAGCAGAGCGCGAATTCATCAGAGTATATCCCAGCGTCCTGTTTGCAGGGGGGGGGGGGGGGGGGTACGAGCGAAAATCGTCCTGTTGGTCACTTGAAAAATCGTCAATTACGTCGCAACGAAGAGCGCCAAATACATTGTCGGATAATGTCATCGTCGTCTGCTTTGGACAGCGCCTCCGATCCAATAGTGGATGGTGGTCCCCCCCCCCTTGGAAGTTAAGACGACCGGCTGACCGGTGTCATTATGACTCCTGTGAGATTTCCTCTCTTTGACCTTATATGGAATATCACACACGGCCTGTTACTGTCCCAATTATCTTCACTTAGGCATGCGCAGTCCAAATTTCATACCACATGAAGCAGAAACAAACTTGAAATTCCTGGCTGCAGCAGTTTAAGGATCGTACACATTCGCGTGTGCAGAGCCACACTAAGAACGTCTTAATCTGAGCTTGCAAATACGACCCCGCGCACCAGCCAATTTTACTTGGAGTCGACTTTAGAAATTGTGACGTCATTTCGATCAGAAATGTGGACTAAGCAGTTGATTGGCCAATTTGGCTGCCATTTTTGTGTGCAATACAACCATTGATTGCCATTAGTAAGACAACGGGTTACGGAAGACCGGAAAGAAGGCGCCCGCTGAAATGGGCAGAATCTGGAGTTCAAGACGCTGCAGTCTTGTTTTGCATAATTAATCTGCGCAAATATCATAGACGCTTGTGCGGATATTCCATATGCACGGAGGGTCTATCGGCAAAAAGCGCACTCCCTCATTTTTTATTGGGGGGGGGGGTAAAAATTCGTGAAAAGTGTACTCGCACATTCGTGCTGAAATGTACACAAGTTTTTTTTCTCTGGACACTTGGCCTCCGTTAAATCGAAAAGTGGTGGTTGGGGGGGGGGGGGGTAACATTATCTTCCAGTGGGGTGCTGTTCACGGACGATAATACACATTATACAACACCTGAATAAATCCCTGTCATGTGATTGGTGGATCGTTGATCACATGCCATTGAATTATTCGTCCCAACGCACGGCGCGGCCGCGCCACAAAAATAGAAGTTCTATTGCATGGTGACAACTTCCATTGCACGGGTTCATTACTGCCGGTGGTGGCGCTGTAACACGAATCTGTTCACAGACTGGCAAATTGGCGGACGGGTATGCGAGAATTCCGTTTGTTCTCTTAACAGAAATATCGGAACTCTGGGTAATGCTGATGCTGCCATTACTGCCGGTGGTGGCGCTGTAACACGAATCTGTTCACAGACTGGCAAATTGGCGGACGGTATGCGAGAATTCCGTTTGTTCTCTTAACAGAATGATCGGAACTGATGGTGATGCTGCCAAAACACACAGAAGCAAATATGATATGCTGCCAAACGATTGGAAGAATTGAATATGCTAGTTTCTGAACTTGTCCAGAACAGTTCAAGGGCGGATACAGAACACAATTTGTTTAGGTGGGGGCAAAAAAAATTGTTGGTCCCCCAAAAAGTGGGTCCCAAAAATTACGGCGAGGGGCTTGGGGCCCGCTTAACCCCGAATTTTGTTTGGATTCTAGATGCTCTGTGGTGCGATCTGAGGCAATTTCTGACCACTTTAACCAATTTTTTTGCCTGCCTTCATTGCGACGTCACTTAAAAAAATTAAAAATATGGGTGTTTTTTTTTAGGGGGACCATGGCCCCCGTTGCCCCCCCCCCCCCTGGATCCGCCCTGGGAACAGTTTTTAAAAATACAATTGGATATGGAAGTTCTGAACTTAGTTGTGGAGTAGTTTTAAACCGAGATGAATTGAATATGCTGGGTAGTTCTCAACTTGTCGAACAGTTTTGGATAAATCGGATATGGAAGTGAACCACCACTCGCTATATTGCCATCTGAAAAAGTAGAACTTTAATGTAAGTACCAGTTCACAAGTCAACCAATCAGATGACAAGAATTTATTCAGGTGTTATAGAAAACAAATAATGAATGCTGCACCGTTCGTGCAATGGTAAGAATAATTTCATTCGGTGACAGGTGAAATGTTCCATTCCACTCGGCTTCGCCGGCCTTGTGGAATGGAACATTCCATATCTGTCACCGAATGAAATTATTCTTACCACTGCATTCACAAACTAAAACGGTCGTACTGTGGCGCTTCTCAGGGTGGCACTATTGCCAACAGTCGCGCGAAATGATGATCCCCCAAAAAAGGGCACTCGTACGACGCCGCAGTTAGGCAAACTCGGTGAAAAGGCCCTTGTTTTACCCCCAAAAGGCACTTGTATGCTGGGTATGCCACTGGTGGGGTGGGGTGAAGGGGTGAAGGGAGGGGTGGGGAATTAAGATGTGGATGGAATCAGTGTTTCACGAATGTGCAACTCAACTCTCAACCAATTAAGCCTGAGACACAATCAAGAAATTCGTCAGACCTACATCTATTGTGTTTCCCAGTGCTAGTGATTATAATGCGCCCACGACTTGCATGAGGTTTGTAGTTTCGTGAGCACTGCGCCCTCTATATGCTCCACCGTACAGTGAACCTGGGTTTTATGTTTAAGCAAAAAGGCAAGACCATGACTTTTTACCAGAAATGACAAACGGTAAAGGCATTTTTTTTATGAGTAACCAAAAAGTTAACTGCCCGTGTAACTAGTGATTTTTTTGGCTTAATTTCTCGACACTTTTCATTTGTTGACAGTATTTAGAGGTTCGTTCATCAGGCAGGGTCAATTACATCACTGGTACCCGGCGAGCGGAACAATCAGCGGCGGTGCCAGTACGTACGTACGTACGTACGTACATGTACATGTACGTACGCAGCGAGGATTGTCCACGTGACGTCACTCGAGGTCTTGATCGTCAACAAGGAAGCACGAAGTGGAGATTTTTGCGATCATTTCGGTAGATCGTATTCGTAGCCCACAAATTCAAGAATTCGTGTGGAAATTGTATCAGAGTTTCTGGGTATAGCTGGTGCCAAAGGTAACCTCGTATATTTGGAGGCGGTGTAGGCTGGGGCTGTTGCTGTTCTATCAGTAAATTATCTGTTTGTGGCGAGCCTCGAACTAGCAAAAACGAAAGTCCGGGTGGTCTGTTCTTCCGCAGCGCCAGCGTTGACTCGGTTGGTGCACCGTGTGAGGTCTCCTTTTATCGGCCGAGCGCCCGGAACTGTGTGCACCCAAAAAAGACGTGGGCTAGAAGAATTGGGTAAGCTTACGTTGGCGATTGTGTTGTTACGGGCCCTGTTCCTGTAAGAAAACAAAAATCCACATTTGTCATTAGCCAAATTTATACATGTAAACACAGCATCATGTGGCCTTGTTAGACATTGGAACGATTTGCGTATGGACATCACTTTTTTCAATTTTTGAAGCATCAAAAAGTTGCAGGAAAAATGTTCCAACCTGACGCCACTTGTTTTTTCTTCATATATCATCTCAATGAAGGTCAGTCATTGCAAAAATGATGATATACAAGAATCTGGGACTAAGAAACATTTCCAATTTTGTTACGAAATAATTAGAAATTTTTTCTTCACTCCATAGTCTTTGTACACAACTGCTGAAGTGTCGTCAGGTTGCAACATTTTTTCCAAGTTACTTTCCTACGTCGTTATTTTCTCGACATTCCTGCCTCGACTATCAGCTTCATCATCCTTGTCTCTTTTTAATATCAGTTATTTACTTAGCGAACATGCATGGGAATTTCTAGCTTGAGTAACTCCAGCTGACATGCTCATATTCATTAACATGTAGCGCTGGAGACATAACCCATTCGTTAGAGTGTGGTAGCAAGAAACCCTAAAAAAATGGCCTCTACAAAAATGGTCCATTTTCACCTCTTTAATCCCACTTCAGATTCCTTGGACATACCTCACACCATTCAGCAGTCATTCACGAAGCTAATGATCGACTTGAAACAGAACCAAAAAAAAATGTGAAAATTGTTGACGATTTTGGCGGCTTGTCCATAAAAACCGTCCAGTTCCAACGGCTGTCGTCCATCTTGTTTACTTAATTATGCAAATGAATGCATCACGTGATGATTATTGAAAACAAATTTGCGCGATGTATGTGGGTACCACACCGCTTTCAAGCGCCGCTAGTGGGTTCAACTTTCGTCTGGTGCGTTGTCTTGCTTTCCACGACTGCTTTTCACGACAACGCACCAGCGTAGTTTTCTCAATAAATGTTCTTTTCACTGAGGCTTCCTCTGACTGGCTGATCTGTAATTACATATCATTGGCTGCGCCAGCTTCTTTAGTAAACCCGTATCTGCCAGGGAAATCAACTCAAAGCTGAACTTCGGCAAAGTAACATTTAAAATAGGAAGCCACATCGTGTTCTTTGGACGAAGGCTATTTTACTGTGACAGCATAGTACCTTACGGTGAACTGAAAATGGAAAGCTTTATAAAGTTCGGTTACGATGTCCTATGAATGTGTAATGAAGGATGTTGATACATTCAAACATCACCTGTTTCTAAGACTGAAACTGAACAGCTCAACTACGTGTGGCTCAAATCCTCCAAAGAAACCCAACACTTAGTGTATTAGTTATTGCAGTATTTTCTCCTCTGACTGTTTTCACTGTTTGATTGCTTTCTTGTATAACTCCTTCCAGGACAGTGACCCAGGATGCTTGCCTCCAATCTCCCACATATTGGAGATGCCGAGGACTCTACTTGTACCGTGGTCAAAGAAGGATGGGTCAGCAAGAGAGGTAAGAACACATAGAACTTCATTTATTTTGAGCGTATGAGGGCGCTCTAACGATGCTATTTTCGGGGTACAAACTCTAGAAATATGAAGCAGTTTGGTAACTGTTTATATCTTAAAAGTATTTACGTTGTGAAAATGTAATTTTTGAGCTGTAGCAGTATGACCTTGGATTTTGGACTGTTTGTACCCCAGATAGCATTTGTTACAACGCCCTCAAGGCCGATTCATGCTTCATGCGAAAGTAATTTTTAGCAAAGCAAATTTCTTGACGTAAACAACGGAAGTTTCACTGCGATGTTCATCAGTACCGTAACGAATTCGCTTTGCACTAAATTTGCATTAAGTATGCACAGGCCTTTAAGACAAGATAAATTGCATGGAGAGGCTCAGCTGTGCAGATTGCACCATCTATTGAAAATATCAAAGGTGCTCCCTGGGGAATGTTTGGGTTTTAAACGACCAAAAAAAGCCACTTGCCTTCCCAAGATAAAACTTATGACCTTAAGTACGGTAATATCTAAAAAAAAAAATAGGAAATGCATGCTTGTAAGTGTAAGGATGCCAACTAGTGAATTTCCTGGCCCTCGACAATGCACAATTCCAGCTCGACGACTACAATACCCAATCTCACTTGGGTTATCTCGGACTCATACATTTGAAATTCATACCAGAATTATTCCAGGTTGAAAGTTTTTAAAGTGTTGTGCATTGGGTACTTCAGTAGTGGGCTCCGTGCACAAGTACCCCCTCAGCGGTAAGAAAAGGAAGAGTTGGGGGAGACCACTTGGAGTGACATTCGAATGCGATGCTGTCGGCACCTGATGCTCACGCAAAGACGCTGTGGCTTTTTGCACATATAAATACGTGCATGAACAAGTATGCACGCGGTGTATCCTATCCACTGGGCTCTTTAATAAAAAAAACCCCTCTCTTGTTCATAACACAGAGCCCAGAGTGAGGTAGTTTAACAAAATGTATAAACCTCATCAAACCACTTGCCTCGTTTTGTCTGACATCCGCTTCTCATTTCATCAACTCAAGCATGTCTGCTCCCCAGGATATTATGGATTCTTGTTTAACACAGAGGACAGCAGAACCATTAGTTCAGAGATACTCTCTAATCCATTGTGTCATTCACAAAGTACCTGTCTGTTGTGACTATTTGACACAATAATGTCAAACTTGTTTATGTCTGGATAATAAATGGAACAGAAACAGCTGGGATTACAAAAAACGTATCATTGGCATTTTGCAAGTGAATAAAACACGTATCGAAATTGATTTGGGCACTAAAAATGTAAGTAATTAAACCAATCGGTTCTTAACAACTACATTGAATGGCTAGTCACATACTGTGGGATATGTTGAAGTGTGGGATCTGAAGCTGTACAGAATAACCTTACTTTGGATAACCAAGATATATGAGATTAAAATGGTAAACAATCCTTACCTTACGTCTCTTATTGTAGTGGACAGGTATGAACAAGTTTCTGTGATTGTCCGTCTTTTGGTCTTTGGTTTGCTTTCAGGAGAGTACATCAAGAACTGGAGGCCGCGGTACTTTCGGCTCATGTCCAACGGCAACTTTCTGGGCTACAAAGATAAACCCACAACTCGTGCTGACTTGGACCAGAAAGTCTTAAACAACTTCTCAGTGGCAGGTGGGTTGTGGCTTAGGTTTGTAAAAAAAATGGGGAAAAAAACTAGGTTTGTGTCCTAAATTTACATCCAGAGGGACTTCTAGATTTTTTGCTCTTCAGTTGCCAGTTTGAAATATTCCAGGTAGCTTCAACATCAACTAGCTCAGAGAAGCGTACAATGCCGACACAAAATGTTTTGTGATTTTCCAAATGAATTGGTATTGTTGGACATGTTTGAGTTTGTCATTTGGTTTGATATATAATGGATGTTGGAATGTATGTATTAGGAATACCATTTTCGTGTATGTCTGCGACAGTATTGTAGTCGAGTACTTTTTTCCGAGTACCGAGTACTGCCGATTACTTAGGTTGCCGAGTACGAGTACGAGTACTTGTACCTCTGAGTACAAGAACGGGTCTCCGAGTACGAGTACTTGTACCTCCGAGTACGAGTACGAGTATTTGTACTTCCTAGTACGAGTACGAGTACCGTAATTTTCGGAATATAAGCCGCGCGGAGTATAAGCCGCAGCATGCAAAAATCTGCAAATTAAGATTTGAAGTCGGCGTATAAGCCGCACCGGCGTATAAGCCGCACCGACCGCAGCGGTTTCAATTTTGTAAGGCCTCCAAATTCTAGTGAAAATGCTCTGAACCAGTTCCATTTACACTACAGAAGCTATAAAAAGGGCCACAAAAGTTGTATCAAATCATTTACAATCGATACTCTTACAAACAAATGTGGAAATTGATGATGAGAAATAAACACTGGGAATTGCTGCCGGCTGCCTCGTCCGGTCCCCGGTCGTAAAAGCCTGCGCCGGGCCGGTGAATGACAACATTTTCCCGCAGCACGTGAGAGAGTATGCATCCCACCGTGATTATCCCCCACCGCGTGTGTTGTCTGACTGGAGCGCTACGTACAAATCTTGCTTTGTGGCAACAGATGCTGAATTGTTTTGTCCTAAGAATAAGCAGGTCCGTTTTTACCTCAAAACTTATCAAATTTTTGTGATGACTAACGAGTAGTAACGTTAAAAATTCAAGTTTCGATTGTAACTTTCTTCGAAAATAGTCAAAACGATGCTGCCATTTTCATGGATGATTCCATTAATTTTGTAAGGGGTGATTTAGTCCCTGTTTTGAGGTTTACATCGTTTCTTGAATACTTTTCAAGAAAAAAATTATATTGTGACGTTGAACAACTGATTATCGAATAAAGAAATGTTTCGAACACCATAAAAAGTACTAGTCGTCTTTTTTTTTTTTTTTTAAACAGCGGAAATATTGGTAATTATTGTTCTCAAGAAAGTACACCCCTATATTACCACAAATGGTGTGGTCCGCTGGGGAAAGCATGCTGCATGCTGCAGCACTAGAATCACGTACGTACGGCTTGTTGCAAGCGTCGATCGAAGACAGCTTTCACCGTACTTTTTACCGCTCGGCACCTTCACGTTGCACGTGGTTTCGGTTTGTTAATGACTTTCTTAATTGATAATTCATTTCAGCAACATACATGTACCTCTTCATATACCAGTACATTAAATGCACATGTGAATTTCATTTTTATTCTTCAAGGCTCGGCGTATAAGCCGCCCTGTGTATAAGCCGCAGTAAACATTTTCATGGGCAAAATCAACGTATAAGCCGCGGCTTATATTCCGAAAATTACGGTACTCGCATTTCCGAATACGGCCATAAGGCAATTGGTTTATTGTGCGTAATTGGCCCAGGCCCAGTCAGACCGATATACAGACCCACTCACGGCCAGCTGTTAAATGTTTTTGTCCGGACTTGCACAGAGGAAAATCAGGAAATCTCGATTTCTCCACAAGCCAATCAACCATTTCAAACTGAAAGTATCGATAAAATAAGGCTATGGTAAGTGAAGCTATAACATTCCCCCCCCCCCCCCCCCCCGAGTACTGCTATTCGAGTACGAGTACTTTAATGATCGAGTACAATTTCGACATGTCGAGTACGAGTGCTTTGCTGTCCGAGTACGAGTACCATCATTTCGAGTACGAGTACTTCGACATTCGAGTACGAGTACGAGTACTCCAAAAAAAGTACTCGAGTAGTACTCGAGTACGAGTACCGAGTACGAGTGCTACAACACTGATCTGCGATCGCCCATAAATATGCACACTGGGTACAGTATGTGACATTCATGTCCAAGCGCTGTATTCCTACATACATGTACATTTGTAACTTGAGCACACTTGGCACCTAGACTTGACCAGTCTGCTCTACGTAATGACCAACAAAAAGCAGCCAACTTGAGTGACTATGCACATATGGACTCCCTGCATAAGTAAATGCTGATTTTTCAAATATAAGTTATGCCATAAGGTTGGGGTCCACTTATTTTCTTGTCCCTGTTACATCTGACATCTATGATTTTACAAAATGCACTCCTTAATGCAGTTTTCCTCCAAGAGTGATTATGAATAGCAAACTATCTACACCCCCCAAAAATAAATCTTTTGAAGTTATTCTTCCTGATACTTGAATGGCACATTGCAAAGTACCAGGATAACAGGGAATGGACAAATCTCACACTTTCGACCCTAAATTTAACCCTAACCCCTTGAGTACTTTTATTAGAAAGTATTCTGAATCCGCCAAAATCCACCAATTTTGTTATGCAAAAAACTGTTGGTGTCCTGAGTCCATTAGAATCCACCAGTGAGTCCATCAGAATCCACTAGTGTAGTACATGTATACACCTCGTACACACCAAAATATCCAAGGAGTTAAACTGTTTAGATCCTGAATCCATCCAAGTCCCCCAACTGCTCAATTATGGAGGTATCCTGAATCTATAAAAATCCTGCAGTAGTGCTAGGCTTACTGTCCTGAATCCATCAAAATCCCCCAACTTTTTCAATATGGAGGTATCCTGAATCTGCCAAAATCCTCCAAAAACAGGGGTGTGGATTTTAATGGATTCAGGTACGTTAGGGTTAAAGAATGACCTTTATTGCAGGTTGAATGGTCTGTGCCATCTAGGGGATGAGTTCTACTGAGTACGTGAAAAAAGTGACAGATGCACCGTGTGTAAATGTGACGTGAAACAACTTTTAAACTTTTTTTTTTAACATGCGAGAACCTTAGGCCTTTTCATGATGTTATCTTGCCTACCCATGTTGAAATCAACACAGGTCCAGCATTTGGAGCGGACCTTGGTACAATCAAACATGGGTTTGCAAGGCATACTGTTCACACTCGCACCAGTCCGTACATGGGTCAGCTGTATGTACATGTACATTTAGGATTTTCTACCTTGGGTAGCCTCTAAATCCTGGTTTCTGTCAAGTGTTGGACCCATGAAGAAGCTGTGTTGGATTCTTGTTAGAGTGAAAGGAGTTCACGGATTCTCCAAGTTGGGCCTTGGTCTAAACCATAGAGCTATATTAAATTACTAGAGCGCTAACTCGATGTACAAAGTAATGCCTGATGCATCCATGTTTGTGCACAAACCTATGGAAAACTCGAAATTTTGTACGGCTATTTACATATCTGCGTTTGTATTCCATACCGGTGCATCATCCAAGCCGATACGCCCAAAACCGAAACGCAAGATCAGCAAATGAGCGTTTCATTTTGCTCTACGCAAACAGCGCAACGTGTGCGCGTCCCTCCACTGCAGATGCTTTCGTCGTGACGTTTTTTGAACCGTCATGACGCGCTTAAGTTGTTTGCGGAAGTACTTGCGCGTTGCATTTAGAGTACACTTTTAAACTTCAATCCATCTATTTTGATTGTGTTCTACAAACACGCACATAAATTCAAAATGTCTGTGCCCAGGGCAGCTTCAAAGCGTCTCCGCGCGCAAGAATGAAGAGTTAGCGCTCTAGTAATTTAATATAGCTCTATGGTCTAAACACAGAGATATTAGATAGCGTTAAAGGCCCTTACATGTGCATGGAGGTTGTGCAATACTGGACAGTTTAACACACCAAGGGAAGTGACACTTGAGCCAAGTCTACATTTGCACATCATGATGGCGGCAGAGTCTTCTCTTGTCTGTGCCTGCACAAACATTGTCTTTTAAGTTAAGTTGTTATTTCCATATCGCCAACTGTGCACTATTTCATAAACATGTTTTTGAGTACTAAATTTAATTTTTTGAAAGTCTGTTTATGTACCCTGTAATGTGGATGAATTAAGGTAAGCATTAAAGGTAACATTCGTCTAGAAATGGTGAAATGTACCTAGTTGCCTAGTTGATTGTTCACTAATCAGATGTCTGGGTCTCAAGAAATCCCTATTTGTTTACATCAGATGCGGTAGCTATGGTACCGTATTTCTTCATTACCTGTGTTTACAATGTATGTTGTTTGGATTAAAAACCATCAAATTAAAACAACAGTGTACAATGTACATGTTCATGTATCAACATCATACAGTACTAGCGCAGTACATGCTTGTAATACATGTACATGTACATGTACATAGTAAGGTGCTGGAATTACGTAGTGCGTGTAGTAACTTAGACTGCTGACATGCCGAGTGTAAACAAACAGGTTTTTCAATATTTTCTCTGTAAATGTAAGACATCATGTGGATTTTCTGTGACTTAGACCTTTAAAATATGGCCAGTAAATCATACGTAACACTATAGGGGCCTACATTGTGTATTTGCTGATCTCTGGATGACTGTGTACTTTTAATGCTGGTCGTGCAAAATACAAAACCCAGATATTGGTATGTGTAATATTGACATTAAGTTGTCCTTTGCACTCGATGTGAACTTGAATATGGCACCTCAAACAGTGTACATGTAGCTACTGATACTGTAAAGTATGCTGTCTGTGTTTAGCATATTGCGGTTACAACATTAACCTGCATATATACACGTAGATCCATCTGAACATTCTTGCAACAAGTACATTGAACATGCAATTAAGTACAGTTTTAGAGTTGCCAAATTGTGGACCATTGTGTGCAATAACATGAGGAATGATGCATAGGATTCTACACATGAAGTCAACTTGAACTTTGACATAGTGTGT